TGTATTCTCGTTTTCTTGGTCTCATTTGATAGAATGGAAAACATATACAGAAATAGAGGTGTTTTTGATTGATTTACTATAAAAAGAACCTAGAAATGGAGCTCAAAGTAGGGGAAATGTTTGATTTTTGCCAATGTTCAAAAGTAAACAAATGATGCCATTGTCCAATATATGTCCAACTAGCCATTCTAATATGCAGTCATGAATGGGTTGATGTTATTTATACAGTTATTACAGCATTGCAGTAGTCTACATAATAGTAAGTCTAATATTTTTTGTTTGAATAAAAATTCAAAATAGAAAGCAAGAGTAATATCAGTGGGGCCTGGAGACGTACTGATGAACAAAGAAAACGTTATTTTAGAGCCTGGAATGTCTGCATTGTTCATTCTGGACCTTATTTTGAAATTGGTCATATTTTTTAAATTTTCCGTAAAATTGGCCAAATTGAAATTTTTCTGACAACTTATTGGGTATTTGAAATCAGAAAAGGGGCATTTTCTTGTACTCAATCGATAGAAAAAATGAATTTTCTAAAAAATAGCTATGATTTTTGGGGCGATTTAAAAATGGAATTGCCGAAAATAGGGCTCAAAGGGGGCGAAATCGCCGATTTGTAAACAGCACCGAGGTCGCTAACTTCGCGAGAGCATAATTCCGTCAGTTTTCCATCAAATTTCGTTTTTTTGGTGTCATTACAAGCGGGAAAAGATTCTCTATCATTTCATAAGAAAAAATATTTTTTTTTTTTTTTTAAATTTTGCGACACCAGGAGACACCTCAGGATAGGGGGTTGCGACAGTCAAAGGGTTAAAGTGCAGGCATTGTACTTCCCATTTCCAGGACTCAAGTCCGACTATATGAAAATAACCGGTTTCCCTGAATCCCTTCACTAAATATTACCCTGCTCACACTCCAACAGATCGTCAGGTCCCAAGTACCATTCGTCTCCATTCACTCCTATCTAACACGCTCACGCACGCTTGCTGGAAGTCCAAGCCCCTTGCCCACAAAACCTCCTTTACCCCCTCTCTCCAACCCTTTCGAGGACGACCCCTACCCTGCCTTCCTTCCCCTATAGATTTATATGCTTTCCATGTCATTCTACTTTGATCAATTCTCTCTAAATGACCAAACCACCTCAACAACCCCTCTTCTGCCCTCTGACTAATACTTTTATTAACTCCACACCTTCTCCTAATTTCCACACTCCGAATTTTCTGCATAATATTTACACCACACATTGCCCTTAAACAGGACATCTCCACTGCCTCCAACCGTCTCCTCGCTGCTGCATTTACCACCCAAGCTTCACACCCATATAAGAGTGTTGGTACTACTATACTTTCATACATTCCCTTCTTTGCCTCCATAGATAACGTTTTTTGACTCCACATATACCTCAACGCACCACTCACCTTTTTTCCCTCATCAATTCTATGATTAACCTCATCCTTCATAAATCCATCCGCCGACATGTCAACTCCCAAGTATCTGAAAACATTCACTTCTTCCATACTCCTCCTCCCCAATTTGATATCCAATTTTTCATTATCTAAATCATTTGACACCCTCATCACCTTACTCTTTTCTATGTTCACTTTCAACTTTCTACCTTTACACACATTCCCAAACTCATCCACTAACCTTTGCAATTTTTCTTTAGAATCTCCCATAAGCACAGTATCATCAGCAAAAAGTAACTGTGTCAATTCCCATTTTGAATTTGATTCCCCATAATTTAATCCCACCCCTCTCCCAAACACCCTAGCATTTACTTCCTTTACAACCCCATCTATAAATATATTAAACAACCATGGTGACATTACACATCCCTGTCTAAGACCTACTTTTACCGGGAAGTAGTCTCCCTCTCTTCTACTCACCCTAACCTGAGCCTCACTATCCTCATAAAAACTCTTTACAGCATTTAATAACTTACCACCTATTCCATATACTTGCAACATCTGCCACATTGCTCCTCTATCCACTCTATCATATGCCTTTTCTAAATCCATAAATGCAATAAAAACTTCCCTATCTTTATCTAAATACTGTTCACATATATGCTTCAATGTAAACACCTGATCTACACATCCCCTACCCACTCTGAAACCTCCTTGCTCATCCGCAATCCTACATTCTGTCTTACCTCTAATTCTTTCAATTATAACCCTACCGTACACTTTTCCTGGTATACTCAGTAAGCTTATTCCTCTATAATTTTTACAGTCTCTTTTGTCCCCTTTCCCTTTATATAAAGGGACTATACATGCTCTCCGCCAATCCCTAGGTACCTTCCCCTCTTTCATACATTTATTAAACAAAGTACCAACCACTCCAACACTATATCCCCCCTGCTTTTAACATTTCTGTCATGATCCCATCAGTTCCAGCTGCTTTACCCCCTTTCATTTTACGTAATGCCTCACGTACCTCCCCCACACTTACATTCTGCTCTTCTTCACTCCTAAAAGATGGTATACCTCCCTGACCAGTGCATGAAATTACTGCCTCTGTTTCTTCCTTAACATTTAAAAGTTCCTCAAAATATTCTCGCCATCTACCCAATACCTCCATCTCCCCATCTACTAACTCCCCTACTCTGTTTTTAACTGACAATTCCATATTTTCCCTAGGCTTTCTTAACTTGTTTAACTCACTCCAAAATTTTTCTTATTTTCATTAAAATTTCTTGACAGTGCCTCTCCCACTCTATCATCTGCTCTCCTTTTGCACTCTCTCACCACTCTCTTTACCTTTCTTTTACTCTCCATATACTCTGCTCTTCTTATAACACTTCTGCTTTGTAAAAAACCTCTCATAAGCTACCTTTTCTCTTTTATCACACCCTTTACTTCATCATTCCACCAATCACTCCTCTTTCCTCCTGCCCCCACCCTCCTATGACCACAAACTTCTGCCCCACATTCTAATACTGCATTTTTAAAACTATTCCAACCCTCTTCAACCCCCCCACTACTCATCTTTGCACTAGCCCACCTTTCTGCCAATAGTCGCTTATATCTCACACGCCCCTCTGGGTTTTCTTCTATTTTCTTACTAGTTTTTGTTCTTGTTTATTTCCTCTTATCTCCATGGGGAAGTGGAACAGAATTCTTCCTCCATAAGTCATGTGTGTTGTAAGAGGCAACTAAAATGCTGGGGGCAAGGGGCTAGTAACCCCTTCTCTTGTATAGATTACTAAATTTAAAAAGAGAAACTTTCATTTTTCTTTTTGGGCCACCCTGCCTTGGTGGGATATGGCCGGTTTATTGAAAAATAAAAAATTCTTAAGGTGGATTGAAAGGTTTTCTGCTATATGCCTGTTCCATGTACTCTACATATACAGTAAATTATGTTGACCTTGCTAGCTGTTGTCCAATTAAATATACCCTGCTAGCTCCAACAGAATAATCTTGCATAATACACAAACAGCTCATACTCGCCACAGTGGAAGAAGCCTAACTTGCATCTTCCTTTGTAATCAATCATATCATGTGCAGGTACATGAAGAAAGTTGCCAAATTTTGTAGAGATCAAATTTTGCCAGACACCTCCAGCATGCTGCAACCATCAACTGAAACTAAGGAGTACTACAAGATTTTCTTTGGCATTTGTCAACCTATCAAATTACAAACTAAATTAAGAGAGAGAACTTATCTCACCACATAATGGATGCCTTAATCTTTGACACTTCCATCACTGGCAGTCATCCTCAATATTCTGCTCCGTGACTTCAACCACTTCGATATTTGGTGCACTAAACTCCGATGGTCCAGAGAAGTCAAGACAACTGCTGTACGGAATGGTGACAACTGAGGAATCCCATCCGCCATTCATCTCAGTTTCAGACATGTTCTCTGCCGGCCCTTTCAAGTCAAAACTACATTTCAAAGTACATTTCTTTTTGGCGATGTTCAAGGGACAACCCCCCCTTTGTCACTACCATATATCAGCCATTCTGATACAAACTCCATTTGTTCTTTTCCTCTACAGTACTATATACATAACAGTTTGCCTACAGAAAGATTTAAAATTGGCCATCTTTACACAGGCCATCTCCCACTGAGGTAGGTTAACATTAAAATAAAATCACTCTGCTTGATTGAGTTCCATATGCTACTGGGAAAGTTAGCTTTAACAGCTACAAATATTCCTGGCCATAAAACATTGCAGTTAAGAACCATCTTATAACAAAGTAACTATACATGAACTGTTTTATGACTATTATATTTTGATATTAAAATAATATTATGATTGTGTTGCTTTATTTAAATTTGTCATTGCAAGTTTATATCCTGATACAGAATCATTCTGCCCAGTCCTGATCACAATTTCAGTAATAAAAAGTACTCTGGTATAGTAATCATTTACTATAGAAATCTTTATATAAATATATGGAGACTATGTCAGCAGATACCACATGAAAAATCTTGATTCACTTAATTCACCATTATTATACTATTCACAAAAAGCGCTAAATCCACATAGGCCATTCAGCATCTTCATCCATTACAACTGGATGGAAAGGCACGTAAAGGTACTACATCTACTGAGAAACAAGTTATAAAAATTCGCTACTTCAGTCTATACTTCAAAAACACTTAATGTAGAAAATAATTTGATCAGTCTGGTATTTATTATGTGGCCTTACCTTTGTAATCAACAGTCAATGGTTAGTATTATACATCACATGGACTTTGCTCAATACTACACAAGCTAAAAAAAAAAAAAAAAAGTCATGCCTATTCCTCCTCATGTATTACGAACTTTTTTATAAAAAGTTGATAGTAAAAATTAAAGCTTTACAATTTCTTAGATAAAATCTTTTAACACGGAATGATTCCTATCCAAATTTTGGAAAGAAATTAATTTCTAATCTTTTTAAGCCAGACCAAACATGAATTTTGAGTTAAATATCTTAAAAATTAATTTCCTCATCTTCTTTTTTGATAGTAAACATTGGGAAAACAAAAGGGCAATCAGAAAACAATGACAAACTTGCATATCATTATTAAATGTCAGAAAAAGGTGTATCTAATACAAGACATGGTGCTATCCATCATTTTTCGAGTTACCAGTTTGAGAAAGGTGCTTAATTATATCAACCCAGTTATATCCACGAGATCGTTCACCTGCTGCATTCTGCCTGTCCCACATTCTCCGCTTCTGTGCTTTGGTTAACTGCTCCTTTTTCTCCCTCTTACCCTGCCAAAGAAATAAATCACATTACCAACTCAATGAGAAAATGAAGGAGTAAACCAATACAAAATAGGCCATTTCCTTACCCCTTTGTATAATATGGCCTGTGACATACCTGTCGCTGGGTTTGCTAGTTATTCTACCCTCTCAGACCAGCATGAGGCCAATCTTTCCTGTTGACTGCCAGTTCAACCAAGTTGTTGCTGTTGGCAGCCCACTGGCCTGATTGATCTGGCCTTTTCTGGAGGCAGAGGTCCAATTTCTTCTTGAAGACTTTTCCACTTGTCCCAACAATATTTTTGATATCTGCCAGCACTGTAACAGGTTGAAGAGTCCTGGGGGCTATGGATGCTGATGTAGTGCACCCTTGTGCCTCTAGCACCCCTGCTTTTCATTGAGTCTGTTTTACACTTCCTCCTATATCTCACTCCGACATATAGATTTGGGGCCAGGCCCTCAAATATTTTTCCAGTACTGTACAGGTGTCCTTCACTTTGTGATAAATGCATTCCTGGATGATGACTGAACCTATTATAACACATAATATATAAACATTTATTCAAAACATAGCAAATTCCATATTTCTAGACTAATGTTTACCAAAAATTATGAGCTTGCCACACATGCACCAAATGGAAAAATACAAAAGAAAAATTAATTTATTTATTTTTACTAAAAAATTACAAGCATATCTGGTAAACATCAGTCATATACCAAAAATAAATGCAACTGGTCAAAAAACAGAGGAAAAAAATATAAATGTATGGACCAGGGGAATGGGGGGCTGGGGTGGCAGATTTTGAGTGAACTGCCTTAGAGATTCTGTAGATATGGGAAAAAATAGAAAAAATAAATACCAATTTGGAGAAAGAATAATTTAAAGTAAAAACTTCCTTGCAGTATATTGAAGTTATGTTTATAAAGTAGGTGTTATAAACATGCATGAGCACAGAGTACGCATTTAGCATATCATCTGCCGACAGTTTCAAGAAGTGCTAGGGCAACTTTTGTATTGATATTGTGCCCCTGGCCACAATGCCAAAGATATAACCGATTGTCTAAACGACTGTGAAATTCTGATCTTTAATGACTGACCTGGCAACTCACCAGACCTAGATCCAATACAGAACATATGGAACATTATTAAGTATAAGTTTTGTGGCAAGGAAATGTGCACTATGTCCAAGCTCTTGAGTGCCATTAAGCAGGTGTGAGAGGGCACTGACTTTTCTATCCTCCATACTTTACTGTTATCAGGGCCTTGGAAAAATTAGTGGTGCATCAAGAGGAAGGGTAATTCTATGAAATGCAGTGGACCCCCGGTTTACGATCAGCTCCCAATGCGACCAATTATGTAAGTGTATTTATGTAAGTGCGTTTGTATGTGTATGTTTGGGGGTCTGAAATGGACTAATCTAATTCACAATACTCCTTATGGGAACAAATTCGGTCAGTACTGGCACCTGAACATACTTCTGGAATGAAATAATATCGTAAACCGGGGGTCCACTGTACTAGGTTAGGCAAGTAGCCCATGTATATTTCAGTATTTTATATTAAAACAATTTATGGTGAGTGTTCTTGTTATCTGTATGATAACAAGAACACTTAGGAGTGTATATACTGTACAGTATATGATGCCTACTGTATACTGTATGTACGTGTATGTACATACATACATACATACATACTCTCACTCCCACTGTCTTTCACCCTTTCTTGTTCTCACTCTCACACTCACTTATTACTTAATACATTAACAATAATTAAATATATTCACAAACACCAATAAATATATACATACCTCTCCCTGATCGTCAACAGCTGAAATTTGCTCAATACCAGATGTGATTTCGGAAACGCCCAAAACTGATGCCTCAGCTGGCTGGTGGTCCAAAATTTCATCCTTTGCCTCTTTTAACCACTCAAAAAGTGTGAAGGTCATACTCATGCCAAGGTTGGCTTCTGCCTGCTCTTGTAATTCAGTTGTGATCTTTTCTTTGATAGGAGGTAAACTGCAAAATAAAGCAGCAGTTCCTGTATATGAAATTATCCAATCATGACACCCTATAAGATGAGTAGGAATTTCTGTCTATGCATTAATGTGTTCATAAAAAATGCTTTAACCTTTACTTTTTATTACTAATATAATTAGAAAAAGTGTAAAGCCCATAAGAGTCATTCAGCTCTTAATCTAATGGATTTTACAAATATTTTTGATTCTCAATAATTATAATGTTTGGGAAGATTGTAAATAAGACTGTAAATAAGACAGTGAAACTTTGTGAAAGAGGAAGACATCCAAGTTTGAAACAGAAATCTTTGAATATAATATAGCAAACTCAGGAGTCCTTAAGATGTCTTAATAACATATGCAGGTTATCTATGCATATTACTTCTCTTTTATGAACAATATGATTCATAGTTGATTCAGTAGTCACTTTATCAAATTAACATTTTCCTCAGAGTGGGTGAAAGAGCCTTATACAATATAACTAACAGTATGTTTTATTCAGGAAAAGACATTCTGAAGGGCTTATTTCATGATATTATTAAAAAATCTGATGTCATAAAAAAGGAATTTTCTGGCTGCCCAGCAAAACCCAATCAAATCATGTATTCATCATATCACTTTCTGAAATCACTATATTTTAACTCTACAGAAGACTTAATGTGGATATGAAGTTGCAGTTTGGAAGGCCTGGGGAAATGGAAGGTATTCAGACTCGATTAAAAGAAATGGAGCACTGATTCTATTCCTAAGATCAAAAAACTTTCCTTCAACTGTGATGTTTTCAAACCACATAATTATTTCAACTAATTTATTCATACACTATGACAACTTGTAAGCTACAGTAATACTGGCTTATGTTAAATAATTAAAACATGTGCTATCAATGGAGGAAGTGCTTGAGAGAAACCCAGGATGATGCTCATTTCCTCTTGGCAAAGAATAATTCACAACAGAATATGCATTTATCTTGATGCAAAAGAGTTAAAATTTTCAAAGAAATAATATCATAAACAATTTAACTTTTAGCCATCGAGGGACACTAAAGGCTTGGAAAGTTGATCTCATCATTTTAAATACTCTGAGGAATCATTATATGATGTGCACTTCAGATATATAATGAGTCATCTACTGCCACTCTGTGATTAGGTTGATGTGATGTAATAAATCTCTGAATGTATATATAACCAGGTAATAGTACTGTCTTTCAAATGGTGGTGTTATTTTTCAATACACCAGTCATTTCTCATTGAAGTGCGGTGATCCAAAAATAGGGAAAAAAGTATTCCCCATCATTCATTCAGTTGCTAACCTTACCAGAAATGTGCTGACACATAAACTACTGTACTTAAATCTTAAATCTGCCCAAAATGCAATCCATAACTATGGGCTTTTCCATGTATGATAAACCAGTACATAATGTAACACTAAATATCATGGGAAATAAACTTTATTTAACTCTACAGTTCAGATGACCCTCTGAACTGCAATGTTCACACCCATCGTTTAGAGTGCAAACACTGTATTATTGTCAGTACATTTATTATCATTATTCAGTCTCATCAACTTCACTTTTATTTCAATATTATTTGGACCAGGTAATAACACTGACTGTTATCATTTTATGCTACTATTGTATTTACTAACATTTATCCACAGGCATTTATGCCTCCCTGTATAATGTAAATGTAATGTGTTCACTAAGCTAATGACTATTTATATGCACATTATAACTGTTAAAGCTATAACTAAAATCATTGATAAATAAAATTTTATGCAGTGAGGTTCCCTCTTTTATAATTAAGAAATACACTGGATAATGTCCCAATATTGTCCTTGATACTATGCATACTGTACAGTACAATTAGTCTTTTATTTCATAATTCACACAATTCCTATTTGAACAGTGACAGGAACACTGCATCTGACATCATGGACATCTAAATATTTTGTCATCTGACAACTATCCAACTAAACAGGTTATTGTTTGCCCATAAAAGTTTTAATTGAATCACAGTGAAACATCTATGTTAAAAAATGTACAGTAGGTACATTGTATTTAGTGATAATGTACAGTAGGTACATTTTTTATCAATTTTACTGCTATTTAGGCAGCCAACAAATTGGAGTAAGGTTCAACTTACATGTGTTTGTTGTAAAATAAATCTAAGTTGATGATAGGTGCTGCATCTGGATAGTCTGGACCCCAGCTGATCTCCAACAAAAATGATTTGGCATCCCCTTCCTCACCATACTGTGGAGAAAGATTCATCCTATTTAATCTGTCTGATAAGCAAACAAGGATGAATTATATTGTTTAACTAATTACCAGTACTTAATAAGGAGGAAGACAATTAATCTTTACCCAACTGATTTGTGTAGTATGTTTTCCTTTTTCTTATTTTAACTACAGTATGTGTTATTAAATGTTTAGTTATAGTTTACACCACCACACATGATGACATGATGCTTAAAGGGCCCAGTGCCACAGTAGCTCTGAGAAGGACTATTTTTATTTATGTAATTAATGAATGAGGCATGCATAGAAGTCTATAACCAATTATAGGAATATGCCACAATGTTTATTTTTTTAGTTATCCAAGATTACTAATCCTCTGGGCTAATAATCCAAATAAAGTCTTCTGTACAAGATGTGTTTCTTATCCATGAACCGAAGACTGCAGAGTTCAGTAGTATACTGAGTAAGCAAGATAATCATTCACAGTTTAATGATGTTGCAGAAAGTAATCTTCTACCATAAAGAATAAATATAAAGAAACTGGCTTAGCTTAATTCACTTAACAAATTTTTAGAGATACAACATGGATATTCTGTTTCAACATGCAGTCATTCCCTTAAAACTATGTAAACTGGGATTTAAAACAAACTGATGGAAGAGATGTAAATACGAACTGATAGGATTTATGATGGGATATCAAGACAAATGTAAAACAGGTATATCAACTGTACATTGAAACACATTCATTAGAACATGGCAAAACTTAAAAGGTATTTGTTAAGTATCTGTATTACAAACATAATGATAATTCCAACATAACTGTGCAAGTGAAAATTTAATATCTGAATTTCAATATTCAGCTAGATCTCCAGGGAATGAAATAGTATTTATATATACTCATGCCATACTCTAAAATTAGGATTTTAAGAAGAAAGGTTGTTAATAATTAATCTAGAATCTATATCATAAGGAGGTCAATTCACTGTCATATGTACTTTGTGTACAAGATTTTTTAATCCACGTTAACGTTTGTAAAGCTAAGACGTGACTATAAAGTTTATAATGGAAAAGCATTTACAAATGTGCATATGTTTAAGAATAAAGCCTCTGAGCTTCAATATAATACAGTACATATTTGTATTATATTGGTATAATGTGCCAAGAAACATTCAGTAAACACTGTATTAAGGTTCCAGCCTATACTATTATTTTCTTAGGAATAGGTTAAACAAAATATTACTATTACAATCAAAACTAAGTACTAAACCCACAAGGGAGTTACACAAAATATCTAATTATGTAGAAACATCAGCAGTTAATTAAAACAATTAAATCATATGACAGTCACAGTATAGCACATTATATATAAAACCAATTATTCTCTAGTTATGTGAAAATTTAAGTACTTAAAACCTTATATTGAAATGTTGTATCGTTGATCATGCAGAAGTTTGCATCTCCTTCATAAATTGACTGGAGTACTTCCCGCTCCTCTTCATGTTCTTCCCGCATTATTTCAGCTAGTTGTAACTGAAAAAATAAATATAAATATTTTTAGAGGAGAGACATGCTTAATTAAGGCACACTCAGATCACATACTTACCCTGCAATTATTGTTCTAAACATCATGGGGTGGCCCCTAGGCCTTTATCCACAGTTCTGTCAAGTTCAATAAATTTTCAAGTACATATTTGTACACCAGTGGAGGTTATCCTATATAAATGCATACAATATATTTCCATGATTATTTTGAAAATGAAGTTGTAAGTCTTCCCTTTCGTCACATTAATCCACAAGACATTTTGACTATTTTTGTGGTGGATATACAGTATACAATTAGGTTGGGCTCCACAGGTGAATTATTATTATTATTATAATCAAGGGGGAAGCGCTAAACCCGTAGGATTATACAGCGCCCAGGGGAGGGGGGATGTGGAAGGCATTCAGGCTTAATTCGGGGAACTGGAGCACAGATCCAATTCCTTAAATCAAGAGCCCCTCACCAACATCAAGGAACCTTCCATGAGGGGTCCACAGGTGAAACATTTCAGCAGTGAAGAAATCCACACGTCATACACGTGAAACAGCAATATACTGCAACCTAAATTAACCCAACTAAACCTTACCAAATTACATTTACTTTATAAACAAAGCCAAAATGCCTAGATGTTTCCGTTGCCCTTGGCATGATAAATTCAGTGATACGAAGACAGCACTTAACTGCTGTTGCTCCTGCATGAGCAGCATGTGGAGCCATGTTCACAGCACAACAATCACTTCCAATGAATCATGCACTAATCACTCTGATAAAAAAAAAACTTTATGATAACTTGAAGACTTGTCACCCAAAGGAAAAAGTTAAATAGCTATGCAAATTCTTAAGACAGGTTACATTATTTATCATATATCATGTAAATTTTAGAACCAGGATCCAAATATGGGACAGAAGAAATACTTGACTAAGTGACCAAGTATCTTCAGCCTTACCCTTCATTATACGTCAGTACTTACTTACTTACTCCCTCAGGACCGTAAGAGTCCTCAGCTCTGGCAGGGGCAGTTTGGCTTAACCTCAAAACCTGGTCAAGTCCGGCTTTGGAGCCTCTGGTACTTACACCAGAAGGGACTAAATTCTACAAATACTGAAGAGGAGACAGTCAGTGACCTGGTGAGGAGTGTGACCTGTGCTCTCACCTGGGTAGTGTTGACCCTCGTCAGCTGCGGCGTGTTTACATGTGTTCAGCTACAACCTCCCTCAACCTACCCAGAAACTATTAAAATTCCATTAATAAAGTCCATACATAAGGATTTAAAAAGTTGACGGCATATCATAAATATATTTTACTTACCATTACATGAGGATACACTAAAATTGTCATTGTATACAATAAAAGACAGAATTAAAACGCTAAATTTTAAGCGACACTTTTAGATGAAAGTTCCTGGTGAGATCTTGAGTGGCGTCGCATCTTTGGTTATTTTTCTCTCAACATTTATTCTTGAGATCAAGAATTATGCAAATTGATTCCCACCAGCAGCTACAGTGACACCAGACATCACTGAACCAACACAACCAGTGTCACTCCACATCATAGCTCCTGCAGTCATCAATAGGAGAGGAAACCTTGAAGGAAACTACACGTACCCTGAAGAATCATCATCATGCCCAGGTTGACGAGGTTACTGAGGAATGTGTCTGATATGACAAAACAGTCGTCAAATCTGCCAGAAGCTTACATAAAGAGGGCCATGGATCAGGTAAAATTGGTCGCAAAAACCTTCATTCCACCAGCTCAATTCTTAAAACCATTCTAATGGAAATAAGTCACTTTGACTTTTTTGGGTTATCCTAGGTAAGATAAAATAAGATTTTATTCGAATTTTTAACCCCGGACGGTTAGCCACCCAGAGTAACTCAAGAAAGTCAGTGCATCATCAAGGAACTGTCTCTCTTACTTCCATTGGGGTCCTCAGTCTTATCCCCCAGGATGTGACCCACACCAGTCGACTAACACCCAGGTACCTACTTGCTTGCTAGGTGAACGGGACAGCAGCTGTAAGGAAACACTCCTAGTGTTTCCACCCTTGCCGGAGATCGATTAGATTGATTAGATTTTGCCACCGAAGTGGCTAGTTTATTGTGCACCCCATATCCATCCTGTGGACGGTAGCGCGAGAGCATATGGATACACAAAAGGCCTAGGAACTAGGCCCCAAAGGGTTAACAGGAATACATATGGATTTATATCTACATATCTATAGTTCACTTATCTGTTACAAGCAAATTTAGGAAATTTGCTTAGTATATCTGGTATCTTATTTTCATTAATAAGATATCTTGACATGTCACATAGGTTATTATACTGTCTGTCTCTGTATTCCTCAATAAGTGGACAATTAAGCACATAGTGTTCAAGAGAATGACCATATGCCTGATCACATAATTTACATTTAGTTTGATCATCATCTGTGTGTCTCCCAAACTGCCAGAAGTACTTATAACCAAGCCTAAGCCTGGCCACTACAACATCAGTCAGTCTGTTCACATTGCAAGTTGCTCCATAAACATACTTATCTACGTTCATGTTATCATAGTGGGTTATAGATCTACTCAGGCTTCTAACTGCATTCCTATAACAATCATTTTCATTATTTACTTCTCTCCTAATATTATTCCTAATGCTAGACACAGTTATACCAAAGTTATATTCTACATTCTCCTTCTCGATACTCTTCTTGGCTAACATATCAACTTTATCATGAAGGAGTAATCCAATGTGTGATGGGATCCATAGCAATTGTACATTAATTCCTTTTTCCCTAATTTTTGAGTATCTATACCTGGCTTCCCCAATGAGCATGTTGTTGGAGTCATTATATGAGCCAAGAGCCTTCAATGATGACATAAAATCAGTAATGATGATAGAGTCAAGCTCAGTGTCATAGGTTAGCTTTAGCGCCATTAGGATTGCAAACAATTCAGTTTGCAGTGTAGATGCCCAGTTGTTAATTCTTATGCCTAACTCAACAAATTTATTATCGTTCTTAACTAGGGAGGTGGCAACAAGAGCAGATGCAGCCCTGCCAGAAGACTCCTGTTTAGATCCATCAGTGTATATAACTTGTGATAACTTGTTACTACCAGCTAGGTGAGAAATTTCTTCTTGAGCAGTTGCTCTAACAAGAGATTTAAGGAAGGGATTACTAGCAATGAGCTTCTTGGGAGGAACTTGTAGGTATGTGATATTAAATGAACACATCTTCCATGGAGGGGTGAAATGCTCTTGTTGCCTACAGTGATACAGTTCATGCAGGTTATAAAACTTAATGCAATTGCACGTTTTCACAATCCATTTAGATCTGTGTGTATTTACCTCTAGACACTTGGTAAGATTCACTGTGACAGTGTCTGGTTCGTTTCTCAACATTCTAATACCGAGTACAGTGTTAATTTCAACAATCCGGAGATCGAACCACGGACACTCAGCATGTGAAGTGAGTGTTGCCACATCATTGGTCAATGGTCCCTTCATGGGGGTTATTCTGGGTTACTAATCCTCTGGTTAGAGTTGGTTACCTGGAGTATACCTAGAAGGTGTTCTGGGGGTCAGTATCCCCATGGCCTGGTTGGTCCATGACCAGGCCTCACAGTGGATCAGGGCCTGATCAGCCAGGCTGTTACTGCTGGCTGCACGCAGACTGATGTACGGACCACAGCCCCGCTTGGTCAAGTACTGATTTTAGGTGCCTGTCCAGCTCCCTCTTAAAGACAGCCAGGGGTCTAATGGTAATCCCCCTGAGAGGCAGTTGAACAGTCTTGGGCCTTTGACACTTATTGTATTGTCTCTTAGCATGCTCTTGGCCCCCTTGGTTTTCATAAGGATGATGTTGCACTGCCTGCCAAGTGTTTTGCTTATGTAGGGAGTGATTTCTGTGTGCAGATTTAGGACTAGCTCCTCTTAAGATTTTCCGTATATTGTCATCTTGCCTGCATTCGAAGGAGCATGAGTCGAGAGACTTCAGCTGTTCCCAGTAAATTTAGGTGCTTTATTGTACTTATGCGTGTAGTGAAAGTTCTCTGTACATTCTCCGGGTCTGCAGTTTTGCCTACCTTGAAACGGGCTGTGAAATGCCCAGCAATATCCCAGCCTAGAGAGAACAAGTGATTTGAAGAAAATCATCATTGGCTTGGCATCCCTAGTCTTGAAGGTTCTCATTATCCATCCTATCATTTTCCTAGAGACTTTGTTGTGATCTTTAACACTGAGATTCTCTGATATATCCAGTTTTTATTTCCTTGAGTTTTCCATAGTGGAGTAATTGAAATTTGTCTTCAGTGCACTTCATATTGTTTTCTGAGGCCCATTTAAAGACTTAATTAATGTCCGCTTGGAGATATGCAGTGTTTTCATTGGATGACACTGTCATGCAGATTCTGGTATCATCAGCAAAGGAGAACATGGTGCTGTGTCTTACATTTTGGTCTGTGTCAGATATGAGGATGAGAAAAAGGATGGGAGCAAGTACTGTACCTAGTGGAACAGAGCATTTCACTGTAGCCACCTCTGGCTTTACTCTGTTTACTATTACTCTTTGTGTTCTATTTGTTAGGAAGTTATAGATCCATCTACTGACTTTTCCTGTTAGTATCCTTTATCATGCATTTTGTGTGCATTTACATCAGATTGCATTTATTGAAGGTTTTTGCAAAGCCTGTGTATAGTACATCTGTATTTTGTATGTCATCCAATGCATCCAAGACCATGTTATAGTGGTCCAGTACTTTAAACCCATGCTGTCCTGGGTTGTGCAATTGTTGGGTATCCAAATTGTTGGCGATCTTGCTTCTTAGAACCCTTTCAAAGAGTTTTATCATGTGGGACATTAGTGCTGTTGATCTGTAATTCTTTGCAATTGCTTTACTGCCACTTTTGTGGAGTGGGGCTATATCTGTTGTTTTTAGTGACTGCAGGATGACTCATCTGTCTATGCTCCCTCTCCGTAGAATATTTAAGGCATGTGAAAGGGTTTCTTGTAGTGCTTGATGAGCAGAGTTCCATGAGTCTGGGCCTCAGGCAGAGTGCATGGGCATGTCATTTATTGCTTCTTCACAGTCCTGTCATGTTAGGGTTATATCAGAAATTCTTGAATTAACCAAGTTTCGAGTCTCGGTCACAAAAAATTAATTTAGATTGTTGACCCTTAGTCTCATTAATGGCTCTCTGAGCACTGAGTCATATTGGGACTTCAGTATCTCACTCATTTCTTTGCTGTTATCTGAGTAAGTCTCATCTCATTTCAGCAGGGGCCCAATACTAGATGTGGTTTTTTGTCCTAGATTTGGCATAAAAAAAAAATTCAGTTTAATTTATGGCTTAAAAATGTGTAGTATTCACAAAATGTAATGATTTAACATACAGTACTGTCACATACCACAGCAATATTTCCTCGCATTTTTAAGCTAAAATAAACATCACATACATATATGGTAATCACCTTATTGAAAGCCTTCAGCTTTTCAGAATTTAACATATAGCTCATTACAGGTTGAATGGAAAACTCCAAATGCTATACAGTACAGGCAGACAGAGATTAAAAGGAGAAAGTTTCGGTTTACCACAAATCGACCTTGGACACAGCAGTTTAGGCAACAAAATCAGCCTGGAACGCATCGTAAAAAGGTGTTTTTGGAACCAGTACCAGAATGGACATTCTTTAAGTAAGTGCAGGCTCTACTGTGTTCTTGTTGGACGAGGTAAGAAACTGGAGAAAAATAAAAAAAAAAAAGAGGAAAAAATGAGTAAAAAAGACTTAAAATAAAAAAAAAATATGAAAAATACATTGGTGTGGCATTATGAATGATGCAATGATAAAGATTTTTCAAAGTCACACAGTGTGACTTTGTAAATTGTCCAAGTCGGATCGAAATGTTGTCGTGAGGGTTATTTGTGTGTAAGACAGGCTTAAGATTATTTAACCCAGAAGAGTTAATAATAACTTGGAGTAAACTAAGAAAGCCAAATAATATAAATGGCTTGTAGTTTATTTGCATTGTATGTCCCTCCCCAGGAAATGACCTATAACAGCAGATTAATTCTTAGGTATGATTACAACATGAGAATGAATCAAGGTAGAATGACATGAAGAGCATTTAAATCTGTAGGAGAAGGAAGGCGGGGTAGGGGTCGTCCTCGAAAAGGTTGGAAGGAAGGGGTAAAGGAGGTTTTGTGGGCGAGGGGCTTGGACTTCCAGCAGGCGTGCATGAGCGTGTTCGATAGGAGTGAATGGAGACGAATGGTATTTGGGACCTGACAATCTGTTGGAGTGTGAGCAGGGTAATATTTAGTGAAGGGATTCACAGAAACCGGTCATTTTTATATAGCCGGACTTAAGTCCAGGAAATGGGAAGTACAATGCTTGCACTCTAAAGGAGGAGTTTTGGGATATTAGCAGTTTGGAGGGATATGTTGTGTATCTTTATACGTATATGCTTCTAAACTGTTGTGTTCTGAGCACCTCTGCAAAAACAGTGATTATGTGTGAGTGAGGTGAAAGTGTTGAATGATGAAAGTATTTTCTTTTTGGGGATTTTCTTTCTTTTTTGGGTCACCCTGCCTCGGTGGGAGACAGCCGACTTGATGAAAAAAAAAAAATGATTACAGCACTACATATGCTCGGTGAGAAGGAGCAGTAGGTGTAAGGAGAGTTGTACAAACATCTTGCTCTGTCTGGAAATCAAACCCAAGTCCATTCTGTTGTTAGCCAAGTACTTTCTCAATGATTAAGGTGCACAGTACTCACTATGCTACACTTTTTGGCAACAGTGTAATTGCTTAGTGAAGAGAGATAAATTTTTTTTTTTTTTTCAGAGGTGACCGTGTTGAGATTCTTGTGGGTGAAGACAAAGGTAAACAAGGTTTAGTGAACTACATTGTCCAGGAGAGAAATTGGGTAATGGTGGATGGCCTTAATTGTCACTACCGCTATATTGGCAAGAAAAAGTAAGTGCCTACTTGCACTGAAATTTTAGTATATTTTTTCATTTGTTCCCAATAAATAATTATCACATTTATGTGCAGTATTTTGTCAGACTGGTAATATTACATGTGGTTTATACAGTCTATTACTCTTTTCTGTAGGACATAAATTAAGGCTGATACTCTATTTTCTTTTGCAGAATATATTTGACAAAATTCTGAGAAGTATGCAGATTTTTAATTGATCTTTTATGCTGTTTTGCAGTTCTTAACTTTTTTTTTTCATGTACAATACATACTGTAGACTATTCAGTTTGACTCATCTGTTTGTTTTCTAATAAGTTGTTATATTATAGAGGTTTTCCTGGCATGATGGTCAAAAGTGAAGCACCTCTTCTAGTGACGACACAGGTTGGTCTTATTGACCCTTCAGATGGTAAACCAACCCAGGTGTGTGTTTCTTGAATTATACATTTGAACTTCATAGTTCATAACTCAAATGTTCAACAGTCTGAACCAGTTTCCCCAGACACACACGTTATAATTGGAGATAATTTCCTAAACCATAATGTTTCATATCTAATTTCATAAGTTTTAACAGTGAAATTGGAAATTATATACAATACTCCAAGAAGTTCCACTTTCTTCTCTTTCGCTATTTTCTCCCCCTTCCTTCCATATCCTAGCCTCCCTCTTTCCCATTTGCCACCTCCCTGTTTTGCATTCCCTCCCTCCCTCCCTCTCTCCCATTAACTACCACCTCTCTTATTGCATCTGACACAATGCACTTTACATATAGTCTTCGTTCCCTTAGTGCTGTGTATAATGCAGGGGAAATGTGGTAAGAGAAGTGTTAACATGGTTAGCAGCAGGTTTATCTCGCATCTTCTCATTGCATTTAGCACAACACTTAAATATGCACTCCATGCCCCCCTCCCTCACCATGATGGTAAGGGTATTGAGTGCCTGGGCATATTGTGTGGGAAAGTTGTTGTGCCTGGGCTGTAGTGTATGGGGGAGAGGTATGTTATGAGAAGTTGAGCTGCCACATGTCAGTCCCTGGAAGTGAACTGGACATGGCCAACCACCTTTGATGGGTTTTGAGAGGTTCCCTACTGCCACAGCTCTCTCACATTCCCTTCTCTCCCATCATAACTGATAGCACTTTTCGTTTGATTTCAACCCTCCCACTGGATTCCAGCCTTCACACTATACTTCACCCCCACATCATGCTCCACACACACCATATTCCACCCCTCACTAAAACATCATACTCAAGCTCCCACACCGGTGTACCACCCACACCATCCCCACACTGTACTCTATTTCTTGCAAAGTTCTCAACCTCTTCCCTTCCCCCTGTAATGTAATGTGCTCTCCATACAACCCCAGAACATACTACGTATACTGGAGTCTCCACGTCACCTCTGCAATGTACTATGCTCCCCACACTACACTACTCTCACAATGTACCATACCCCAACACCAGCCACACTGTACTCCACCAGCACAATGTACAATAAGTACTCAATTAACGTCATTTCATTGTAATGTTGATGAGAAAAAAAATTTATTCCCGGCAGGGGCCACTGTCTGTATTGAGTTTGAACATTATCCCTATGTTTGCATGGGCTTTCTCCAGGTATTCCAGTTTCCTCCCACATCCCAAAGATGTGCACATTAGGTTAATTGGCATGTCTAAATTGTCCCAGTTTGAGAGCGTGTACTCACCTAGTTGGGGTTGCAGGGGTCAAGTCATAGCTCCTGGCCCCGCAATGTGTGCCCTGCAATAGAATGGTGTCCTGTCCAGGGTTGGTTCCTGGCTTTCACCCTGAGATGCCAGAATAGACTCCAGCCACGTGTAACCCTGAATTGGAATAAGCGGGTTGGAAAATGAATACAAATTATTGTAAAGTAAAAATTCGTAAAGTATGTGATAATCACACAAATGCATGACATTAAATGATGCAGTATGAAAGTGCTCATATTTGTTATTGAAGCACTTGTATAAGCTGCATATTTGTTATTGCTTGTTTTTGAACTGCGTGGTGGTAGGTGCTCCTTACAGTTCTCACTTCGCAAACATTTATTCCAAACCCCTTGGACACAAAACCTCCTTTAACCCTTTCTCTCCCTCCTCCCCATCCAGCCTTTCCTAGGATGACCCCTATCCTTCCCTCTGTAATTAAATACATATATGTACAGTTATTTATCAGTCTTTACCAAACAAATATGAACTTTTTAAACATGCATGAAACAAATACACACAAAATTTTAATGTTATTTATTATTAACACATCGGCCATTTCCCCCAAGACAGGGTGGCCTGAAAAAGAAAAACTTTCATCATAATTCACTCCATCACTCTCTTGTCAGAGGCATGCTTACACTACAGTTATAAAACTGCAACATTAACACCCCTCCTTCAGAGTGCAGGCACTGTACAGTGAACCCTCGACTTATGAAGGCCTCATCTAACGATAAAATCGACTTACGAAGCGTTTAAGCATAAAAAAATTTCCCTGACCTATGAAGAAAAACTCAACTTACATCATTCGTCCCGAATGCTGTCCGTCTGGCCAGAGCACCTCAGCTAGTGCCATTGTTTGCAAGCCAGGGTGGACAGTTGCACACATACATTCGATAAATTTTGTATTATTCCACTGTTTTTAGTGCTTGTAACTGCTAAATAAGCCACCATGGGCCCAAAGAAAGCTTCTAGTGCCAACCCTGTGGTAAAAAGGGTGAGAAATATATTGAAATACTATTGCACCACGGTCAGCTGTTGCTGCACCACCGTTAGCTGTACTACTCAAAGATGTGGAGAGACTGTTGTTGGTGTGGCTTAATGAGAAACAATTAAGCCCAGAGGGTTAGCCACCCAGGATAACCCAAGAAAGTCAGTGCGTCATCGAGGACCGTCTAATTTATTTTCATTGGGGCCCTTAATTTTGTCCCCCAGGTGTGACCCACACTAGTTAACTAACAACCAGGTGAATAGGAAAAAAAGTCTGGAACTAGTGCTCATATTGGTGAATTTAAGGCCAGCAAAGGTTGGTTTGAGAGATTTAAGAATCGTAGTGGCATACACAGTGTGATAATGCATGGTGAAGCTGAAAAATTCCAACCCCAAGTGTTTAACCCTTTCAGGGTCCGTCCCGTAGATCTACGGCTTTACGTTCAGGGTCCAAACCGTAGATCTACGTCATGAGCTCAGCTCACTCTGATAAACTGTGAGTGGTAAATTTGGGCCTAGATATGAGAGAATACATCTATGTGGTATGTGTGCACCATATAAAACAAATCCTGCAGCACACTGTGTATAATGAGAGAAAAAAAACTGAGACCGTGATTTTCGATTAAAACAGCGACTTTGCAGTGTTTTTTCGTATGTTTTTTATAGTTGTATTTGTGATTTCTTGGTCTCATTTGATAGAATGGAAGACATATCACAGAAATAGAGATAATTTTGATTGGTGTTAGCACTGGAAATGGCTTGAAACTGAGCTCAAAGTGGCGGAAATGTTAAATTTTTGCCGATGTTCAAGAGTAAACAAATGACCTCACACGTCTTATACACACCAGCTGGTGGGTCTAATATACATTCACAAATGTGGTGATGATATTTATACAATTATTACAATATTGCATAACAGTAAATCTTCTATTTTTTGGTGTGAATAAAAATTCATTATGTGAATAAAAATTCAAAATGGAATTTATTTGTAAAGCCTCAAAACATAACTAATGAACAGAGGAAATGTTAGTTTAGTGCCAGGAATACCTACATTGTTTATTCTGGACCCTATTTTGAAATTGGAATATTTTGAACTTTGTGTTAAATTGGCCAAATTACCAATTTCCGGTCACTTTATTTTGTAGTTGAAATGGTTGACTTGGCGATTTCTTGTGCTCAATCGATAGAATAGAAGTAATACTAGTGAAATAGCTAAGAATTTGGTCGACTGGAATAATGTAATTGGCCTAAAATGGGAGTCAAAGTCGGCAAAATCGCCGATTCGTAAATATCGCTGACACATCAAAATTCACGAGAGCATAATTTCATCAATTTTCCATCAAATTTCGTACTTTTTGTTTTATTACCTTCACAAAAAGATTCTCTACCATTTCATAAGAAAAAATAACAATTTTTTTTTTTTTTTTTGAAAATTCTTGGACACTGGGGCACCACTTCAGATTTTGGCCTTGGACCCTGAAAGGGTTAATTGTGATGAAACAGGCCTGTTCTGGAAGAAAATGCCAAACAGGACCTACATTATTCAGGAGGAAAAGGCACTCCCAGGACACAAGCCTATGAAAGACAGGCTAACTCTCATGTTTTGTTGTAATGCTAGTGGGGATTGCAAAGTGAAGCCTTTACTCATGTATCACTCTGAAAATCCCAGAGTGTTCAAGAAAAACAGTCTCATCACTCATCACTACATCTTCAACTAAGGTAAGTGTCCTTTATTCTTTATTTAGTACAGTATATTGTGCATGTATCCTCCTTTTTCTGTGTAGGAAAATGTATATTTCATTTGGTAAAAATTTTTTTTTTCATACTTTTGGGTGTCTGGAACGGATTAATTGGATTTCCATTATTTCTTATGAGGAAAATTAATTCAACTGACGATAATTTCGCCTAACAATGAGCTCTCTGGAACAGATTAATATCGTAAGTCTAGGGTCCACTGTACTTCTCATCTCCAGGACTCGATGTATCTGTTGAAAAAGATTACCAAGATAAATAATATACTGTGGACCCCCGGTTTACAATCAGTTCCCAATGCGACCCATTATGTAAGTGTATTTATGTAAGTGCGTTTGTATGTGTATGTTTGGGGGTCTGAAATGGACTAATCTAATTCACAATATTCCTTATGGGAACAAATTCGGTCAGTACTGGCACCTGAACATACTTCTGGAATGAAATAATATCGTAAACCGGGGGTCCACTGTATTGAAGACAGTCTCTGTTTTCATGTTTGCCATGTTCATAACACCAGAGTGACATTTGTAAGGAATTAATTGGTTCCAGATTTCTCCATTCATAAGTGCAGATATTTGTAACTGATGCTCATGAGCTGGGGTTCTACTGTATTTTCTTCTCATGCTCATTAAGAATAAATTACTTAAACTGTTCCTCTGTGCAGTACAGTATTGACATTTAAGAGTTAATAGTGTACTTTTTAATAAAAACTATGCAAGAGTGTCATTTTCTCAAGTCTGTGAATAACTTACATGTGTTTTAGGCTGAGTGGCGCTATACAGAGGAAGGAGAGAAAGTAAGAGTCTCTTTACGTACAGGAAGAATTATTCCTTTGCCTAAATTAGCTGAGGAGACTCCTGACTACAAGACAAAATCAACATATAAGGTTCAAGAGAAAGACACAAGTGCTGATCAGCTGACAAGGTACAGTGTTTGTTAGTCACCTGTGATGTGCATTTTACTAATATTATTTTCTGTTGGCAAGACAGTGATAGTGTGAATGATGGTGAAAGTGCTTCTTTTTTTGGGTCACCCTATGTCAGTGGGAGACAGCTGATTGTTAAAAAAAAAAAAATCTGCTGGAAAGTAATTACCAACAGATTGACTAGGCAGAGACCAGGCATGCTTAGCAGATGGATGATTGAGTGTCCACTCTTTGTGCTGAATGATCCATACACTTTCATCATTTACTGTAAATAATCTTTCGAAAGTAAATTGGAGGTTTAAAAACAGTTGCCATAACTGTTAACATTTGTTATTGTAGGTTTAAGACTGTAACACAGTGTATGAGTATTTTTTTTATTAACACCGGCCATTTCTCACCAAGGTAGGGTGGCCCGAAAAGGAAAAACTTTCACCATCATTTACCCCAACACTACTGTGCCAGAGGCATGCTTACACTACAGTTATAAAATCGCAACATTAACACCCCTCCTTCAGAGTGCAGGGACTGTACGTCCCATCTCCAGGACTCCAGTCCTGCCTGCCGGTTTCCCTGAATCCCTTCATAAATAGTATTACCCTGCTCACACTCCAACAGTATGTCAAGTCCTAAAAGCCATTTGTCTCCATTCACTCCTATCTGATACACTCATGCATGCCTGCTGGAAGTCCAAGCCCCTCGTACACAAAACTCCCTTTACCCCCTCCCTCCAACCTCTCCTAGGCTGACCTCTACCCTGATTATATGAATTAATAAGGAAAATGTAGTTTCTGAGAGTACATGAATTTAATTGAGATGAAAGAGACAAATGCAGAATAAAGCTTTGACAGAAATGACATATCATCTGTGTAACAAAGTTAGTAAAAAAAAAAATATCTCAATGAGAGTTCTGTTCTTCATTTGTAACTACTTCAATCATTTTATCGGCTATAGGTCATCTCTCTTCATGTATAAAATATTTGACATGATGGAAAATAAACACAAGTGCAGTATAATGCAATCCTTTATTGACCACTCCCACACAGTGGGTGAAACATAGTCAATAAAGGATCACATTATACTACATTTGTGTTTATTTTCCATGTATTGAGGTGTTGGGCTTACAAAGTGTTTATGCACACTCGGAAAAGACTATAATTATGCACAGCATTTCAGGGTTAGAGTTTAAAAATTGTACATTTGGGGTGTCTAAAAATAATGAATGTTGATAGCTAAGTAATAATAAAAACTTAATAATATAATGTACTGTACTGAATTTAAGATGTGGTATATTTGTAGAATTTATTCTAAAAGATTGTAAATAGCAACCAGACATCATTTTCCAAAAGGATGCTAACATAATTACATCCACCAAGATGTTAACAGTTACATCCACCAAGATGTTAACATAGTTACTTCCACCAAGATGTTAACATAATTGCATCTGGAGTATACCTGGAGAGGGTTTTGGGGGTCAATGACCCCATGGCCTGGTCTGTGACCAGGCCTCACAGTGAATTAGCACCCAATCAACCAGGCTGTTGCATCTGGCTGCACGTCAACTGATGTACAAACCACAGCTTGGCAAGGTATTAACATAGTTACATCCAGCAGGATATTAACACTGTTACATCCAGCAAGATGTTAACATTGTTACATCCAGCAAGATGTTAACATAGTCATGTTAACATGAAGCTCCTTGGCAGACGGATTGGGCATGATATCTTCCATCAATGACCCCTTGCTATCCTAATATTACTCGTCTAGACTTCTGGTGGGGGTTGTGAAGGCTTATATTTTTCATAATACCTGTAGCTGTTATGAAGACACTGGAGTATCTATAATATTTGTTATAGACCACTAAATGTACTCATGATGAGAGTAAATAGACAACTCTGAAGCTGTATATAAAAGCTATTAGCTTGGCTATCATTTGCAGAAAACTGCATTTTCATATGTCACCATTTTGTTGCAATATATTTTTTAAACTAAAAAATTAATTTGCATATACCTTGAATATTCATGTGGGTTGAATATTCAGCACAGAGTGATGGAGGTTGAATCTTCCATCCGTTAAGTGACAAGCAGCAGCTATTGCAACAGCTGGAATGAGAGAAGGAAAGCTAGAGTAAAAGCTGATGTGACTAATGCATGAGTTGAGATCTGAAAAGGAGAATACAGTACAAGCTTACCTGCATTATGTTTTTGGGTTAGAATAAAAACAAATCAGTAGCAACACATTGAAGAGAGAGAAATTTAGTGATCATAGAAAATATAAATTTTAGAAAGAATGCCTGGTTTCTCTACATATGTGCAGTATTAAAGAGCAGTATTTCAAGCCAGATGTAAATGTAGGTACAGGAGGGCCCTGCTTATACAGCAGGTCAGGGCTACTGCTGTAAAGTGAAAATCAATGTAAAGTGAATCATAGCTTTTTTTTCACTTTCAAATGTATATAAAATCCTGACCACATGCTTACACAATCATATATTAAGTGAGCAAAATATCTAGGCTTAAAAATACATATAGAGGACACACATTACTTCTTCTTTCAACAACTGGCCATATCCCACCAAGGCAGGGTAGCTCAAAAAGAAAAACAAAAGTTTCTCTTTTTAACTTTAGTAATGTATACAGAAGAAGAGATTACTAGCCTCTTACTCCTGGCAGTTTAGTCGCCTCGTACGACACGCATGGCTTACGGAGGAAGAATTCTGTTCCACTTCCTCATGGAGAACACATTACTTATCTTAAAATATTCTCATCCTTAGCTTTATGGTGAGTGGTGAATATATTTATTGTAGGAAGTATGAAAAACTGAAGAATGGGTATAAAGGAAAACCACTGTATTAGCAAAGCACTGTAAAGCAGGGCTCTTCTGTAATTTGAAATACATACAAGCGGATGGGTCTATGAAAGATGAGGTGAATCATAGAATTGATGAGGGGAAAAGAGTGAGTGGTGCACTTAGGAGTCTGTGGAGACAAAGAACTTTGTCCTTGGAGGCAAAGAGGGGAATGTATGAGAGTATAGTTTTACCAACGCTCTTATATGGGTGTGAAGCATGGGTGATGAATGTTGCAGCGAGAAGAAGGCTGGAGGCAGTGGAGATGTCATGTCTGAGGGCAATGTGTGGTGTGAATATAATGCAGAGAATTCGTAGTTTGGAAGTTAGGAGGAGGTGCGGGATTACCAAAACTGTTGTCCAGAGGGCTGAGGAAGGGTTGTTGAGGTGGTTTGGACATGTAGAGAGAATGGAGCGAAACAGAGTGACTTTAAGAGTGTATCAGTCTGTAGTGAAAGGAAGGCGGGGTAGGGGTCGGCCTAGGAAAGGTTGGAGGGAGGGGGTAAAGGAGGTTTTGTGTGCGAGGGGCTTGGACTTCCAGCAGGCATGCGTGAGCGTGTTTGATAGGAGTGAATGGAGACAAATGGTTTTTAATACTTGACGTGCTGTTGGAGTGTGAGCAAAGTAACATTTATGAAGGGGTTCAGGGAAACCGGCAGGCCGGACTTGAGTCCTGGAGATGGGAAGTACAGTGCCTGCACTCTGAAGGAGGGGTGTTAATGTTGCAGTTTAAAAACTGTAGTGTAAAGCACCCTTCTGGCAAGACAGTGATGGAGTGAATGATGGTGAAAGTTTTTCTTTTTCGGGCCACCCTGCCTTGGTGGGAATCGGCCAGTGTGATAATAAAAAAAAAAAAAAAAAAATCTCATACTCTTTAAATACAAATCCACTAGTGCTGGATTACTGGGAAATACAGTGGACCCCCGACTTACGATATTAATTCATTCCGGAAGTCTGTTCGGGTGCCGTTACCGAACAAATTTGTTCCCACAAGGAATATTGTAAATTAGATTAGTCCGTTTCAGACCCCCAAAAATACACGTACAAGAGCACTTACAAAAATACACTTACATAATTGTTCGAGTTAGGAGCTGATCGTAAGGCGGGGATCCACTGTATAATGCCGATTAATAAACTTAAAATATTGTGGTATTACTGCAGTTATACTGTATTAATATTATACATGTATACTAATTTCATTTTCAACTTATTATAATGGTTCTTACTATTTGCAGCATAACCTTTGAACCTCAGCTGAAGACATTTGCCATGGAGATAGCAGAAAAAATGGGCATCAAAGAAGATAGGATTCCTCGTAAATCTTTTTGGTATTAAATAATAAGACATTATTACAGTAGATCATTGGTCAGCCTGTGCCCTCGAAGGAAGATGTACCAGATTTTCAACCACACTGGATAATTACTGTACATTATTTTTTTTATAGTCCCTGTTGTTGCACATTCCTCCTTAGCATTATCCATTGAGATGTCAAAGGAACAAGACTGGTTGATAATGCTGAATAACCAAACCCCAGATAATAATAATATCTTTGTTCACTACAAGTACATGTACAAGGTATACAGGCCTAGCTGACAACAATGACATACTACTATATAGAAAGCCGCTTGTTATGCTCCGCATGTCAGCCAAATTAGGTCAGTGTCCCAGGATGCGACCCCACACCAGTCAACTAACACCCAGGTACCCATTTTACTGATGGGGAACATAGACAACAGGTGGAAAGAAACATGCCCAATGTTTCTACTCTGGCTGGGAATCGAACCCAGACCCTCGCCGTGTGAAGCAAGAGTGTTAGCTACCAGGCCACCAGAGCCCCAGTATTCTGTTCTACATATATTCGTACAAGTGCTAAACAGATATGGGCGAGTCAACATTGTAGTACTAAATATTGTACATAAACTATTTGAATGTGAATAAAATTGTATAATAAATTATTTGCCTTTTTATTACCTTATGTATTCATTAAAAACAAATATTTTTTAACAAATTTGCTTACACTTAACTGACAAAAGGATTTCTAGTTGATGTACTGTATATGGCTTGTTCCAAGGTATTTGGAAGATTGTCATACCAAAGATTGGCTCAGATAATCTGAGAACATAGAATCACTGGCAAAATTCTAAGAAAGATAAAACAATTGAGTGAATTAGAAAACCCTTTTGAAGACACCCCTCGTGGTTGGTGAGTGGGAGGGATTATTACAGTCTTCGTTGATGCCTTAGAAAGCACTGGCTGGGGCTTTTCATGTCAAGGTGGATACAGCTGAAGAGACTAATCCACATGTGCTACTTTTTTCTGTTCCCTGGAAGTTGATCCTGTCCCTGGACTTGAAGCCATGGTAGACCACACTTCTTTAGTGAGCGCATAAATGTAAAATTAAAAGGCTTGGCACTTGCCTCGCCGAATCAACTGGCTGGTTATTTGCTGGTCCATCACGACGAGTTGGGTACTGGTTTGCTCATTTATATGCTGTCCAAATTTACCTTGTTGATTCAAGGCTTATGCACTGCAAGCTTGAATAGCATCTGGTGAAAGAGATAATATTAGGCTTGCCAGTTGTTCGAGGAGGAGGAGTATATTTGGCTAGAGTTCAGCGGGCGTTGGAGGTATACTGTACATCCCTTTGGTCCTGCAGTACTGAATGGCCCATTATGAGTCTAGGAATATGTTATCCTTTGTTTTTTAATGAGGTAGATACAGCTTCATTGTGGTGACTTGTGGCTCAGTGGTAGAGCATTTAGCTCGCACCACAAGGATCCAGGTGCATGGCTTGTGATCCAAAGAAGTAGTGATATCCTTTTTCAGACTGCCTCCCATTCCCTAGGTGCTGTTCGATCTTTACAGGTTTGTCTTCTAACAGCTACTAGTTTTCTCAGAAGATGGTAGCCTATCGTTTTATTCACTACTGGGTTGCTGTATGACCCTAGTGGGTTTAGCTCTTTTTTATAATAATAATAATACTGGGTCAGCTAGCTCTTCCTCATCTCCTGCCCCATGGTGTAGCCCTTGTGTATGGCAGATAACATTTTCAGGAATTGCTTTTGATTGGAGCCTGACATTAGCCCTTTAAATGAAACTCAGTGTGGATGCTGTGCAGGTACTATACATTCTTAAGGTTCTCCACCATACTTGTGGGGCAGATCAGCAGACTTTGCTATTCCTGCACACAGCCTTGTGTCTCATCAGACTGGAGTATGACTGCTAGAACTACTTGGCCAGCCCTTTCCTGATGCATTTGTTATATCCTCTGTATTACCTAGGGACTCGGCTTTTCACAGTGATTCTATACTACCCCTGTTGAAACCCTTTATGTAAAGTGTGGTAAGCTTTTCCTGTATCTCCACCATGAGCTAGGCCTTCTCTGCCTGTTTTGGGTTTGGAGTACATCAGGCAACCTAGCTTATGCTGCAGAATTTGAATTAGAGAGATGGGGAAGAGAAAAGGGTAGCCCTTTGCTCATCAAGCATGGCTTCTTATGCTTGGTGCTTGGATGAGGTCTGCTCTCCTGGATTATGACCCTGATGTGCTTGTGATCAAACAAAGAGGTTGGGTTCTCTCACTGCCCTCCTTGGACATTTCCTGAGACATGTCTATGTAGGCAGTGGGTGGGGACACTCAGGTGCTGAACTCTGGTGCTGACCTTGTTTAATTTCTTGGAGCATGCTAATGTTTCGAGGATAAAGCTATTTGCTGATGGATCAAAGAGCAGAGAGGGTTGACTTTGCAGTGATCCTTGGTGAGGACTCTACTGTATATTATTGTTATAGCCCAGGAAATGAATGAGCAGATGCTGAAGCAAAGGCTGCTAATTCGAGCTCACTCTGCAGGAGACTTGTGTCTCACCATGGCTTCATGGAAAGAGGTGGACCCCACAGATGAGAAGCAAGTTATACAGGCTCGACAGAATTTATATTACATTTAGTGCTAAAGTAATTTGTAAATGATGTAATTACTTCTAGTGTGCCCGAAATGCTTCTTGTATAAAGGGCTCTCCTTAGGACATGCAACCGTTGTATTAGCAGAACTATTCAGCTCACTGTTATATTCATGTATGTTTTGATAAAATAAAAATTTAAATTTGGAACTGCCACTTTGTGACGACTGTCAACTGAAGACCTGGCATACACATCCCACCCATAGCCACCTGTTTGTAGGTGCTCTTGCCTCCCCTCCCCCCTCTTCTATGTGGTTTGTGATGTGTAGCTGACTGTGGAACAAATTTTACCTGTTTACCCACGATTTAAGCTTTTTTGCTTTTTATTGTGGCTTTTATTATTGGCGGGGGTGTCAGTATGAATCACAAGGATCATTTAGGGGAGCTTTTTTCACACTGAAAACTTAATGGGATTTTTGGTATAAACCTCTGTAATAAATACTGACATGTTGGTTTAGAAAAACACGTAAGCCAACACTAGGACATATTTATTAGAATGTTTTGGTCCTGGGACCCTTATCGAGGTCCCAGGACCAAAACGTTTTCTAATAAATACAGTGGACCCCCGGTTAACGATATTTTTTCACTCCAGAAGTATGTTCAGGTGCCAGTACTGACCGAATTTGTTCCCATAAGAAATATTGTGAAGTAGATTAGTCCATTTCAGACCCCCAAACATACACGTACAAATGCACTTACATAAATACACTTACATAATTGGTCGCATTCGGAGGTAATCGTTATGCGGGGGTCCACTGTATGTCCTAGTGTTTGCTTACGTGTTTTTCTAAACCAATGGGATTTTTAACTGATGCTGGTTATCTAATCTTGGTATAAAAATATTAGTTTGTATTATATGTTTTATTCAAGTTAGCAGTTTTTCATTTTTTGTAAATTTTATTCTTGTCATAAATTTCCAAAGTGCCGGATTTTTTGTACATTGTTCCAGCCACAGTTTTCCTACTTTTTATTCTTTATCCTTGTTCATGTGTTGTGTTGTAAAAAAAAATAGGCAATATTTAGAAAGCCCATAAAAATCTCAGCTTTTCCAGAAAACTTACACTACATAGTTTTTTAATGGGTCTGTTACTAAGCATGAACAGTTAAGATACAAGTTACAGAATAATATATCTGGTCAAAGTGCTCTACAATTTTTATATCTACCAACCATTCACTATATACCAGCAGAGGGTGGGGCTCAGCCAGTACCCATCAGAGCATAGCCAATTTTTTCTGACTGGCTGGCTAGCTGACACCACGGAAGTCCAATCTATCATATATGTTCTAAACCTAAAGTGGTGAACGCTGTGGCTCGTACGTTGGTTTGCGTGAAGCCAGCAGCAACAGCCTGGTTGATCAGGCTCTGAGCCACCAGGAGGCCTGGTCACAGACCGGGCCGCGGGGGCGTTGACCCCCGGAACTCTCTCCAGGTAAACTCCAGGTATATGGTGCCTACTACTTCCCCCCCCCCCCTCCCACAGACACAACTGGAATTTACGATGGTGAATGTGGTGCAATGATGCAGGAAAAGTATCCCCGTGCACTATAAGCTCAGCCCCTTCTGCTTCAATAGTTCGAGAAAGGTATCCCCATCTCCCATTAGCTAAAGCTCCCTTCTGCCTCAATGATCTGAGAAAAATATCACCATCTCCCATAAGCTAAGCTCCCTCTACCTCAGTGATGTGAAGAAAAAAATCCAGTCCTTCAGTGATCCGAGAAAGGTATCCCATCAGCTCAGTCCCCTCTACCTCAGTGATCCAAGAAAGGTATCTCTGTATCCCATAAATACAGTCCCCTCTTAATTACATAGAATAACCCCCAAAAAAGTCAGTCTTTCATTTTTACCAAGATTAGAACTTTACATTTTCCTCGCACTGAACTGCATCTGCCACTTCTCCGACCACAGTATAATATGTATATATACATACAAGCATATGCTTGTATGTGTATATACATACAGGTATAAAGGTGCACTTGTGTCCTTTTACCAAAAATAAAGGTGCTCACATATATACCCACATGCATACATAGCTACATCAACACGTGCATGCACTTAAACACACATACATATGTACGCACGTACATGGGATGCGGGGATACCTTTCTCGGATCACTGAGGTAGAGTGGACTGGACTATGGGATACAGGGATACCTTTTTCGTATCATTGAGGTAGAGGGGACTGGATTATGGGATACAGGGATACCTTTCTCGTATCATTGAGGTAGAGGGGGCCCTCTACCTCAATGATACGAAAAAGGTATCCCCGTATCCCATGTACGCGCGTACACATGTATGTATGTAAGATAAGATAAGATAAGATTTCGTTCGGATTTTTAACCCCGGAGGGTTAGCCACCCAGGATAACCCAAGAAAGTCAGTGCGTCATCGAGGACTGTCTAACTTAAGAGGCATTATCAAGTTGTCTCGTGGATACCACAACCGGGAATAGTGACCAGAGGACACCAGTACATGCCAGTGGATGCATGGAACATTACCTAATTATAGTACACCAGACTAGAAAATTTGAAGCCTATCGGATAAGGCATTCTAAAGTTTAAAGGAAAACTTGAGGAATAAAATTAGGCAACACCTATTATTATTATTATAATCAAGGGGGAAGCGCTAAACCCGGAGGATTATACAGCGCCTGGTGGGGGGGGGGGGGAATGTGGAAGGCATTCAGGCTTAATTCGGGGAACTGGAACACAGATCCAATTCCCTAAATCAAGAGCCCCTCACCAGCATCAAGGAACCTTCCTTGAGGGGAGGCAACACCTATACTGTACCTCTCTGAAGAACTAATAACTACCAGCACTGCTACAAAAGGGAACAAGGATATACGCAACCACCTGCTGGTAGCAGTTATTGAGAGCGGTAGTTAGTGTGTGGTGGGTGCAGCAGGAAACAGGATACTACAACTGTATGTTTGTCATGGTTTGTGAGTTATCATTCAGCCATGGCGGCCACCTCCTCCCTACCTCAACCTCTGCGTACCCTTTTCTATTATTATTCAGTGCTTCTTTTAGTCACGTTAATCTTCAGTAGGGAAAGGTCTGTGTTGCTCTCCTGCGGAAGATGATGGATATATATGTGGTTGCTATGTCACGACCCCTTAAGGGAGGTTCCTTGACGCTGGTGAGGGGCTCTTGATCTAGGGACTTGGATCTGTGCTCCGGTTCTCTGAATTGAGCCTGAATACCTTCCATCCACCTCCCCACATGCACTGTATAATCCTACGGGTTTAGCTCTCCCCCTGATTATAATAATAATGCTATGTCACGTTAATGTCAGTAGCAGAGGGTAAAGGTGAATTAATTACATTGTCCCACCTAGGTTTCAACGTGGACAGGTGACGCACTTGTCTTGCTGCCTCTGTCGCCATAAACATTTTTAAACATGTATTTATTCCGATGTATAGGAGGAACACAAGGAAATGATGGGGAGAATGTAAAGAAATATTTATAGCAAATTCGATTAGGCTACCTATATATATAATATATATATATATATATATATATATATATATATATATATATATATATATATATATATATATATATATATATAATATATATATATATATATATATATATATATATATATAATATATATATATATATATATAATATAATATTATATATATATATATATATATATATTATATATATATATATATATATATATATATATATATATATATATATATATATTATATATATATATATATATATATATATAATATATATATATATATATATATATATATATATATATATATATATATATATATATATATATATATATATATATATATATATATATATATATATATATAATATATATATAATATATATATATATATATATATATATATATATATATATATATAATATATATATAATATATATATATATATATAATAATAATATATATATATATATATATATAATAATATATAATATATAATATATATAATATACATATCATACATACATACATTACATACATACATACATACACATTTCTAATGTGGAGCGGGGAAGGACATCAGAGCGGAAAATATTGATAGCAAAGCTTGACCTTATAACCCTGTGTGGCACGAGAAGCTGGTCAACTCAGGAGTGCTGGACAGTGGCACCTTCCAGGTGAAGAACTCTTGAGCCAAGGTATTAAAGTTACCCCCTCCCCTTGGAACAAACTTGATTACCTCCCATTCCCCTGACACTGTATGCCTTACCCCTATTGGTTTACCACTTCCCCGTGAATATTATAATGAACACTGATGCGACAGACAACCCTATGGGTGGCAGTAGGTACACAATAGTTCAATAACTCACAAAACTTTGCGTGTATGTTATTTTGTGGTGATGCTGTGACACCCGGGCCACATACATTACACAAAGAGGACATCCATTACAAAATGCGCCACAGAATAAAAAGACAAGCTGGCAGCCCAGCCACAACCCTGGTATAAAACGAGCTGGAACACTATTAGCCTTCAACTTTACACACATCTACCAACAAGGTTAGTGACAGAGCCACATTTTTTATGTACAATATATACCTTACACGTTGATATACAGTACTTTTTATCGTATTTTAAGCCTTACCGTGGAAAGTTTTTAAATTACTTAAATTCATTTTTTTATTGTACCTTGTTTTTCCCAAAGCATATTTGCTTAAGGCAAGTATTAAGCTTTTGCTGTAATTTAGTCATGTTGAAAGTATTTAATCTATTCAATTTTATTTTTACCTTTTTTTTCATAAACTTACTGGATGTAATACTCTGATATCAGTATGAGTTATGGAAATTTCGTCTATAATGAGTGCCGGTGTTTTAAATGTGATTTGGCCGACCAACAGTGGCTTGTTCTGTCATTTAGTCGACACACAGTGGCTTGTTCTGTCCTTTAGTCGACACATAGTGGCTTGTTCTGTCCTTTAGTCGATACACAGTGGCTTGTTCTGTCCTTTGGTCGACACAGAGTGGCTTGTTCTGTCCTTTAGTCGACACACAGTGGCTTGTTCTGTCCGTTAGTCGACACAGTGGCTGCTTAGTAGACTAACAGTGGCTAGTCGACCAACAATGGATTATCCTCCTACGTAGTCGATTAACAGTTGACTATCCTGACACTCGATCAACAAGACCTACTGTGCCACCTAGTCTTCCACGATGACCTGTACTATCATTTAATTGATCCCTAATAGCCTGTACTGTCATTTAATTGACCCCTAATAGCCTGTACTGTAATTTAATTGACCCCTAATAGCCTGTACTGTCATTTAATTGACCTCTAATAACCTGTTCTGTCATTTAATTGACTCCTAATAGCCTGTACTGTCATTTGACTCATAATAGCCTGTACTGTCATTTAATTGACCCCTAATAGCCTGTACTGTCATTTAATTGACCTCTAATAGCCTGTACTGTCATTTAATTGGCCTCTAATAGCCTGTACTGTCATTTAATTGACCCCTAATAGCCTGTACTGTCATTTAATTGACCCCTAATAGCCTGTACTGTAATTTAATCGACGCACACTGGACTATACTGCCACTTAGTCGACAAACTGTTACTTAAACTGCCACCTAGTTGATCCTTCCTGGCCTGTACTGCTACTTGGTCGATCTACTTCGCGGCCTATAATAGACTTAGCCGACCCACTGTGCCTGTACTGCCACTTAATTAATTGACCACAGTGGTCTATACTGTCTATTAATCGACTTAAAGTGGCCTATACTGACATCTAGCTAACCCACTGTAGTCTTTGCTGCCACTTAATCAGTTGCCCCCATGACCTAGGTTAGGTCAGGTTTGTCAAGAAACAGGACAAGTGTTTCCGGACGTTGGTCTTAGTCATACGATGACCTGCAGCTGGAGCTTTTGGTCATCTGACCGAAGCCTTCCTCTGGCTTACCGGTCCGCCCCTTTAAAAATTATGGTCATAGTTATAACTACTTAGTCCCCACCAGCTGATGAAGAACTAATATATACTTTTTCAGAGAAACTATTGTCACACACTGCGTCATTATGTGTTCGAATGTGATAAAAAATATGAATGTGTAGGCTACTGTCGCAAATGTTTAAGAAATATCAAAGTACTTCATAGTTATATATTACCAGTAATTCTAGAAAAATACCCTGGTTGCTTATTGTAAATAAATCGTAACTACTAAATTTCCTAAATACAACAGTAACTTAGTAAATATTGGGTAAGTAAACATGTAAACAATTCAAAACCACATGTTAACTATATTGCAATGTTTCTTGTATCTGAATTCATGAATATGTAAGCAACTCATTACTGTTGGAAACAATTCGTAAATCTGTAAGTAGTTCACTAACACTAAGTTTCATGACTATTAAAATAGGTAAGACACATATGCAACAGTTAGGTATCTTTATTTTGAAACGCTTCGCCTACACAGTAGGCTTCTTCAGTCGAGTACAGAAAAGTTGATAGAAGCAGAAGATACTTGAAGACGATGTAATCAGTCCATCACCCTTAAAGTTTTGAGGTGGTCAGTCCCTCAGTCTGGAGAAGAGCATTGTTCCGTTGTCTGAAACAATATTGTTTCAGACAACGGAACAATGCTCTTCTCCAGACTGAGGGACTGACCACCTCAAAACTTTAAGGGTGATGGACTGATTACATCGTCTTCAAGTATCTTCTGCTTCTATCAACTTTTCTGTACTCGACTGAAGAAGCCTACTGTGTAGGCGAAGCGTTTCAAAATAAAGATACCTAACTGTTGCATATGTGTCTTACCTAGCAATCTGTCGGTATTTTATACCATTTTGATGTTCACTATTAAAATATTTGGACCTAGTATCTGGACCCATTAAGTGCCTCTGTAATTGTTTGACTACCACCCACAGGACAGGTATGGGGGTGATTACTGCCCACAAGATGGGTATAAGGTGCATAATAAAGCTATAAAACTAACCTAACATTAGAGTGCCTCAAATACATCTCTAGATCACTCTTATACTCTCAGGTCAAACTACCTTGACCTAACTCACCTCTGAAAAAACTGCCATGTGTTTTGACGCATCTGATCCTGTAGCTGTTAATAAATCTCTCTTATTTTTGTTTCCTTCATTCACTTCTTGTCTTCCATTGCTTCTCTGGCAGTCCAAAACTCATTAAAGAGTTCTGTCTATTATTCACCCGCATACCTAGCCTATGGATGGTAGTTAAACGATTGCAGAGGCAGATAATGGGGCCAGGAACTGGACCCCAATGTTTTGATAGCTAGGCAAGATCCTATGTCTGACCCTAGTAGTTAGCTATCTTGATCCATCTCGCCCTCAGGTCAATCCACAGTGACGTATATTGATCCCCTGGCTGACCCATAGTGACCTAAGCGCTGTGATTGTGAAGAGCGTGGTAAAGATGACCATGTTAAGTGTGATGACGCTGGTGGGAGTTCTGATCACCGTGTCTCACGCTCACCCTCATAACTTGGGTTTGTAAATTGCTTATCTGGATTTTTTCTTAAGATTATAGTATAACATAAATTACTACAGTGATACACATCACGAAATACTCACACTTACGAAATGGAAGTTAAGAGGATGTTTCGGTCCGTCTTGGACTATTGTCAGGTCACAACGGCCGACATGATCCAAGAAGAATCGAAACATCCTAACATTACCTGGAGCTTTTGGTCATCTGACCGAGGCCTTCCGCTGGCTTGCCTGTCCACTCCTTTAAAAATTATGGTAAGTGCGGGTGTTTAGTCATTTGTTCCAGGTACGTTATTGTGACTTTATTTCAGTAGTATCAGTTACCAGTAGTGTCAGTAGTAATGACTCATACCAACCGTTAGTGATTCACTACCTCCTGCATGAATCACTGTTATACTGACCGTCCATGTTTCGAACCCCCCACACGCGACATTTAATAGAGTACACGAGGGGCATTAAGCCTGCACTTTTAACCGTATCACCACCAGACAAATCTTAGGACTCACTTGCCAAACCTCGCCTGTTCCGTTTCGTGGCTTGTAATAATACTTTAATCTATAAAATAGGGATTAAAATAATCTCTCAGCGTATATTCGCTGACAGAAATACATCTTTCGGTAACTATATCCTGTGATTTGAATTGTTCATTGATACATAATATTAACAAAAACTATTAAATTACAACATATAAAAATTGCAATATGAATATAAATTAATGTAACTTACATTACTATTATTATTTTAATTATTTTATTAGTATTATATTATTACGGGGGAAGCACTGAACCCAATGGAGTCGTCCAGTGCTTGGGAAGATCAGGTTCAATTTTTTGGATCAAGAGCCCCTCACCGGCGTCAAGGAACCACCTTCCTTGAGGGTGGAAATATTATCAAATTGGTGGGGTCTTGTGGCTGGTGAAGGGCTCTTGATCTAAGAAATTGGAGCTGGCTTTCCCTTCCTTGGATTAAACATGAGTATTTCCAAGTCCCCAGGAACTGGATGCCCATTACGGGTTTGCCGCTTCCTCATGTATGTAGTAGTTTCTGGAGTTCTGGAGAGAGTTCCGGGGGTCAACGCCCCCGCGGCCCGGTCTGTGACCAGGCCTCCTTAGGTCAGTGTCCCAGGATGCGACCCAGCACCTTAACTACTGGGAACGCTTGGAAGCACTTGACTTGTACTCGTTGGAACGCAGGAGGGAGAGATATATCATAATCTACACTTGGAAAATCTTGGAAGGAATGGTCCCAAATCTGCACACAGAAATCACTCGCTACGAAAGTAAAAGACTGGGCAGGCGATGCAAAATGCCGCCAATAAAAAGTAGGGGCGCCATTGGTACACTAAGAGAAAACACCATAAGTGTCCGGGGCCCAAAACTGTTCAACAGCCTCCCATCAAGCATTAGGGGAATTGCCAATAAACCCCTGGCTGCCTTCAAGAGAGAGCTGGACAGATACCTAAAGTCAGTGCCGGATCAGCCGGGCTGTGGCTCGTACGTCGGACTGCGTGCGGCCAGCAGTAACAGCCTAGTTGATCAGGCCCTGATCCATCGGGAGGCCTGGTCATGGACCGGGCCGCGGGGGCGTTGATCCCCGGAATAACCTCCAGGTAACACCAGTCGACTAACACCCAGGTACCCATTTTACTGATGGGGAACATAGACAACAGGTGGAAAGAAACACGTCCAATGTTTCTACTCTGGCTGGGAATCGAACCCAGACCCTCACCGTGTGAAGCGAGAGCGTTAACCACCAGGCCACCAGAGCCTGGTGTGTAGTAATGATAATTTATCCATAGCTTGTTTCTGGTCATTTAAATACAGTAATCCAATTCTTCAACTTGTCGGTTTTCTAAACCATTTATATTACACATACAAATACACATATACGTAACAAATATATGCACAAATATACATACATACAGACTGGTGTGCACGCACACCATCCAACGTTTTTAGGCTAATAGCAAAAAAAAATCTAATTAGACACTTCCTGTCTAGGTAACACCCTTTGTGTGCAAGCATCCACCCTACTTCCCTAGAAATACAAACACATATGTAGTATAATGTGGTCCTTTATTGACAACGTTTGTGACTTGATAAAGCCCACTATATTACCTGGAGTTTACCTGGAGAGAGTTCCGGGGGTCAACGCCCCCGCGGCCCGGTCTGTGACCAGGCCTCCTGGTGGATCAGAGCCTGATCAACCAGGCTGTTACTGCTGGCTGCACGCAAACCAACTTACGAGCCACAGCCCGGCTGGTCAGGAACCGACTTTAGGTGCTTGTCCAGTGCCAGCTTGAAGACTGCCAGGGGTCCACACCTTCAACTTCTTTTCTAAGACTGTGGTCTGGGAGGTGCATTGGGGTTGGGGAAGTGGGAGACCTGCTAAGAAACTATGGGTTGTTGCTGTGGGGGTGGAGTTTGTAATGTAGTGGGTGGGGGCATTGGATGTGGCATGGGTGTTTTGATTTAGAGTGTTTGGTTGCACTGGGGTTGACCTGGTTGGGAGGCTTCTATAGGAAGTTGTGTGTGTGTGTGTGTGTGTGTGTGTGTGTGTGTGTGTGTGTGTGTGTGTGTGTGAAAAGATAAGATTTTGTTCGTATTTCTAACCCCGGAGGGTTAGCCACCCTGGATAACTCAAGAAAGTCAGTGCGTTATCGAGGGACTGTCTGTCTTGTTTCCACTGAGGTCCTTAAGTCTTGTCCCCCAGGATACGACCCACACCAGTCGACTAAAACTCAGGTACCTCCTTACTTGCTAGGTGAACGGGACAGGTGTAAACACGCCCAATGGTTCTACCCTTTCCGGGGATCGAACCATGGACAGTGTGTGAGGCGAGAGTGTTGCCCACCAGTCCACAGGACACTGTGTATGTGTACTCACTTATTTGTGGTTGCAGGGGTCGAGTCACAGCTGGCACCGCCTCTTCCCTGGTCGCTACTAGGTCCACTCTATGCCTGTTCCATGAGCTTTATCGTATCTCTTAAAGTTACTATGTATGGATCTTGCTATTTTATATGTCGTTATCATGTCCCTCTATCCCTCCTGTCCTTCAGTGTGGTGTACTCACCTAATTGTAGTTGTAGGGGTTGACTCATATTATTATAATCAAAAAGAAGCGCTAAGCCACAAGGGCTATACAGCGCTGCGGGTTGACTCATAGCTCCTGGCTCCGGTGTATGTGTGTGTGTGATGTGACAGTCACACAATACAGTTTACCTGGAGAGAGTTCCGGGGGTCAACGCCCCCGCGGCCCGGTCTGTGACCAGGCCTCCTGGTGGATCAGAGCCTGATCAACCAGGCTGTTGCTGCTGGCTGCACGCAAACCAACGTACGAGCCACAGCCCGGCTGGTCAGGAACCGACTTTAGGTGCTTGTCCAGTGCTAGCTTGAAGACTGCCAGGGTCTGTTGGTAATCCCCCTTATGTATGCTGGGAGGCAGTTGAACAGTCTCGGGCCCCTGACACTTATTGTATGGTCTCTTAACGTGCTAGTGACACCCCTGCTTTTCATTGGGGGGATGTTGCATCGTCTGCCAAGTCTTTTGCTTTCGTAGTGAGTGATTTTCGTGTGCAAGTTCGGTACTAGCCCCTCTAGGATTTTCCAGGTGTATATAATCATGTATTTCTCCCGCCTGCGTTCCAGGGAATACAGGTTTAGGAACCTCAAGCGCTCCCAGTAATTGAGGTGTTTTATCTCCGTTATGCGCGCCGTGAAGGTTCTCTGTACATTTTCTAGGTCAGCAATTTCACCTGCCTTGAAAGATGCTGTTAGTGTGCAGCAATATTCCAGCCTAGATAGAACAAGTGACCTGAAGAGTGTCATCATGGGCTTGGCCTCCCTAGTTTTGAAGGTTCTCATTATCCATCCTGTTATTTTTCTAGCAGATGCGATTGATACAATGTTATGGTCCTTGAAGGTGAGATCCTCCGACATGATCACTCCCAGGTCTTTGACGTTGGTGTTTCGCTCTATTTTGTGGCCAGAATTTGTTTTGTACTCTGATAAAGATTTAATTTCCTCGTGTTTACCATATCTGAGTAATTGAAATTTCTCATCGTTGAACTTCATATTGTTTTCTGCAGCCCACTGAAAGATTTGGTTGATGTCCGCCTGGAGCCTTGCAGTGTCTGCAATGAAAGACACTGTCATGCAGATTCGGGTGTCATCTGCAAAGGAAGACACGGTGATGTGGCTGACATCCTTGTCTATGTCGGATATGAGGATGAGGAACAAGATGGGAGCGAGTACTGTGCCTTGTGGAACAGAGCTTTTCACCGTAGCTGCCTCGGACTTTACTCTGTTGACGACTACTCTCTGTGTTCTGTTAGTGAAGAAATTATAGATCCATCGACCGACTTTTCCTGTTATTCCTTTAGCACGCATTTTGTGCGCTATTGCGCCATGGTCACACTTGTCGAAGGCTTTTGCAAAGTCTGTATATATTACATCTGCATTCTTTTTATCTTCTAGTGCATTTAGGACCTTGTCGTAGTGATCCAATAGTTGAGACAGACAGGAGCGACCTGTTCTAAACCCATGTTGCCCTGGGTTGTGTAACTGATGGGTTTCTAGATGGGTGGTGCAATATAGTTACTAATACTAACCTAGTAATGTAGTGATCAATATTAATTTAGTGATGTAATGACCAATGTTAATCTAGTGATGTTATGACCAATAATAACTAGGATGCATCGCAATGACTGGATTTATCTGCAAATATATTGGCAAGAGGACAGAATAAACCTCTATTGGAAAACATTTCGCCCGCAGGAGGCTGGGTTAAATATTTACTCTGTAATAATGTCCTCTTGTCACTAACAAAGGTGATTATTGGAAATAAACTAGAATATTTAGTTAGGTTAATTTCATACTTCATAAGCACTAATGAGAGAAAATGGTAGGTGCAAAATACCTGACGCCCGTATAGTGCACTCTAAATAGTGGTATATAATGCCGACCAGTAGATGAGTAAGGTAATGTGTTAGTATCTTTATTTCAGAAACGTTTCGTCTACACATTAGATTACCGTGTAGGCGAAACATTTCGGAGATAAACATATCTAACTGCTACGCGTGTGTCTTATTTATCCACTTTAAGACTGTCTAGACACAAGGCTCTTTCCCCATTTTCCGTAAAACTTTTATTCATTTTATTGACGATATATTCCTGCTCATTCCTGGGCCACATTAGGGTGTGGAGTGTCCCGGTCCATGCATGGAGGTCGCCAGCTGCTACGGGAGGTTCTACCTCGGTGTCTGACAACACCCAAACCTTCCATTGAGGTGCGCACAGCCTTCAAACACTGCGCTACCCAGGTCAGTTTCTCCAGTTAATAGTTTAATATATTTATTATGCACCACATCCACATGATGTGGGCGGTAGTCAAAAGGTTACAGAGTCACATAACGGGTCCAGGGACTGGGCCACAAAGTTCTGGGAGCTAAACAGGTTATTGAGGTAATGGAAATACAAGGACCCCAGTGGAAATATTCCACTTTGACTTTTTTGGGTTATGCTAGGTAATTTATACATTTGTTACTATGTATCATAATTGTACTTATGTGAGCCTGTACTTATATAAACTTACTTTCTTAATGAACAATGTCTCCAGCCTCCTCATGCACCATGCACTGTGCCACACTGCTTTCTAAAATAAATCCAGACATGTTTCTAACCCTGCAAGGGGGAAATCTTTGATACCAGCGAAGGGCTCTTATACCAAGGAACTGGAGCTACCCTCCCCGTAATGGGATCAAACCTGATTACCCACCCCTATTCCTAACACCTTCCCCCATTCAATTTCCCTGGCTATGTATGACCTGTGCAGGTATAGCACTTCCCATGATTGTTATCAAGCAACCACCCAGGGAGGTACTGCCATCCTGTTTCAGAAGTGTGACACGAGCAGTGTGTGCGTGCCTGATGACCCGCCATTGGAGCTTTGATCATCTGACTGAGGCCTTCCTCTGGCTTACAGAAATACCCCCTTTAAAAATTAAAGGTCACAAGTTAGATAGGTTAGATAAGGTCTGTCAAGAAACAGGACAAGTGTTTCCTGACGCGGGTCTTAGTCATGTAATGACCCGCGGTTGGAGGTTTTGATCATGTGATTGAGGCTTTCTGCTGGCTTACCGATCTACCCCTTTAAAAATTAGGGTTATAAGTCTTCAAGTTAGATATAGAAAACAAACATGTAAATCATAGAATGTGTTATCACGATTTCTCGAGTTATAAATAAAATCCTGCAGTGCTATATAAATCTGCGTAGTCACGCAAAACGGAGTTAACCATTTTTTTTATATAGTATTACAAATTATGTAATGTGTTTTATTATGAACAGTTTTTAGAACATGACACTGTGAGGCTATTTTGATTTGCATGACAATTTACAAGGTTAGAGGAACACTAACTAAAGCGCCTCTTAATTAACATCACGCCGGATAATTTACTGGTTATAATAATAATACATATTCTTTTTTAGGTAAAACAAAAAATGACTGATCCTCATCATGCACAGAAAATGGACTCTCTCAGCCTTGCTACTCTAGGTATGTAAATATATTATACATATTCTCATTTGTTAGGAATCAAGCACTGGTAAAATAATTAAAAAAAAATCTAATGCAATACAGTTGCAGACAGGTGATTTTAACAATGCAGAACAAGCCTCGTGGGGATGGAATTCTTATGCTCAAGATCTTTCGCACTCTCGTGCGTCGTCAGGAGCTATGCAGTGTTGCAAAACTAGCAACAGAGAGTGGAGAGAAAATTCTCTCTGAGGCAGAGCATAAGTGTAAAGCGTCGGGCCATGTCACAGTGGAGTGTGACGGCCGACCACTACTCAAAATCTAATTATAAGTAATATAAATGATATTGACAAAGTATGTCTCTTACACACACACACACAGGTGTGGAGGAAGCCTTGAGAGAGCAGGTTGTGGAGTGTGTGGTGGAGCGTCTGGAACTCAGCCTAGAGGGAGGAGCTCTGGACACAGCAAAACTCCTTGACTTGATCTCCACCATTGATGGAGATGACCTCGGGGTGAGTATAAGGTCTCCACCATTGATGAAGATGATCTTTGGGGAGAATACAAGGCCTCCACCATTAAATACAGATAATTACCTGGAGTGAGTGCAAGGTATTCACCATTGATGGAGATGACCTGGGTTGAGCACCAGGTCTCCACCATTGATGGAGATAACCTATGGGTGAGCACAAGATCTCTGCCATTGATGGAGAAAACCTAGGGGTAAGTACAAGATCTCTTGAAAACAACCTAGGGGTGAGTACAAGATCTCCACCATTAATGGAAATTACCTACATGAGCACAAGGTCTCCACCATTGATGGAGATGGCCTCAGGATGATTACAAGGTATTTACATATGTGGCCAGGTGTTTACACTTGTGGCCAGGTATTTACTGCTACAACAACTACTAGCTTTTTTTAAATAATTACACCAGTAAAATAATAATGATAACATTATTAAGCATAAATAACTAATAATATAAATACAAGCTGTTATGTAATTATGTAACAAAGATTGAAATACAGGCATACGTAGCCTAGGCAATAAGCTTTCATAAAGACAGGCATAAGTAACACAGGCAGTAAGCCTACATACAAACAAGCATACGTAGCTTAGGCAATATGCCTACATACTGACAGGTATACGTAGCTTAGGCAATATGCCTACATACAAACAAGCATACGTAGCTTAGGCAATATGCCTACATACTGACAGGTATACGTAGCTTAGGCAATATGCCTACATACTGACAGGTATACGTAGCTTAGGCAATATGCCTACATACTGACAGGTATACGTAGCTTAGGCAATATGCCTACATACTGACAGGTATGCGTAGCTTAGGCAATAGGCTACTGCAGTGTTCCTTGACTCCTGTTCTTAGTGTGTTCCTCACTTACAGAAAGTTCTGTACCTCCGAGCAGTGATGACCTCCTGTGTGGTGAACAACCCATCAGACGTCAACGCTACCCAGGTGAGGTCAACACAGGTCAGCTTAGGTCAACACCCGCCACAATGATTATGTCAGACAATTATTAGCATAACGTTTTATAATCTGAGAAAAGGAGGATTAATTGTGACCAGATTATTGAGTGCGGCAATACTATGAATGAATAGGTTAAACCAATTATAAATTTGAAGAAATAAAATAAAGAAATAATTAAAACTGAAAGAGGAAATGGTATAAATAATGTCATGGGAATGGGCAGGGTTGCTAAATAGTTATAATCTTACTGATGCCACCTGCCGCTTACAGCACTTGATCGAGCTTATGGAGTGTGTACGGAAGGAGGCAGCCGACTTCTGTGACACCAGGCTCTCACTGGCCAAGCTCTGGATCCAGGGTGATGGAGCCATGTCTGCGTGTAGTGCTGTTGTTGTGGCCCCGCAGGTATGTATGTATGTATGTGTGTGTGTGTGTGTGTGTGTGTGTGTGTGTGTGTGTGTGTGTGTGTGTGTGTGTGTAAGTCATATAATATGATCGACTATACAAAACTGAAATATCATAATAATTATAATTTGATTTATTTTCCTGTTTAATTGTAACTTTGTTTTTTGTTCTCTAGTATGCAGGAGCTTGTAGCGCCTGCGCTAACACCCTGGGTGTGAACGCTGTTGCAGCATGTGGTAAGTGTTGCAGGTGGTAGGTGTCGCAGCATGTGGTGTTGCAGGTGGTAGGTGTCGCAGCATGTGGTGTTGCAGGTGGAAGGTGTTGCAGCATGTGGTAAGTGTTGCAGCCAGTGGAAGTGTGGGAATGCAGAAAAGTAGAGAGAAACAAGGAGACAGTGTCTAATGTGAATGTTTCTTAACATTAAAAAAACCGTATTTACTTATTCAGTTACTCGACAACAACAAAAAATGGTATGGCTTGACTTCACACACGAAGGTATAGAATCATGTTGATGAGGGTCGGATAGGCATTAAAAACCATGGGCACCTTACGGGCTCATGACTGTTAAAAGGTCCATTAATGATTACTAACCTGGGTTAGGAATGGAGAAGAAGACGACTGGCAGGTAATAGTTTAATGTCTGTTACACACCACAAATCCATCCTGCGGGCGGTAGTTAAAAGATTACAGTGGTACATGATGGGTCCTGGACGACACGTGTGTCAGAAAATTTATAACCTTGCATACAAGGGGCTTTTGGCATGTACACTCAACCACTGTATTTATTTTGTACGACTATGTATCTATGTATCATGTCCAAATAATAATAAATAAATAAATAAATAAATTGGCATCGACAGGATTGATTGGTGTCCCGTAGCTCTATTGCTCGCGCACTCAACTAACACACTGAGGTACGTGGTTTGTTCCCCGGTACAGGTGGAAACATTAGGGCGTGCTTCCTAACAGTTAAATAGGTACCTGGGTGTTAGTCGACTGGTGTGGGATGCATTCTGGGGACAAAATTGACCTAATTTGCCCGAAATGCTCTGCATAACAAGGGACTTTCTATATAGAAGCTGTACATTTGTAGAAATACAGATTTATTATTATTATTATTATTATTATTATTATTATTATTATATTTTTTTATGGGTGCGCGCGTACTCGGTCATCTGTAAACCTCTATTCTTTGCCATCACAGAACCGGAAATCGTTTTTGAGTATGGATCCGGTATCTCGGACAACGCAGCAACAGTGTACTCGTTTTTCACCATAGATCTGGTATCTCACACAATGCAACAATTGTTTACTCGTTTTTTTTGATCATGTATCCACTACTACTACAGTCGGTGTTTGACTAGAATATAGCAACAGTTCTTCACACTCCTGGATGTATTCAGTGATCACACATCTATTCGCACGCTGCTGATTTCAAATGCTTAAGACAACTCGATCATTATTTTGTGTATTGGGTTACCTGTTGTCCTTGTCCACGACACCTCCCAGGCCAACGTGTCAAAGCTGCAAGTTGTAACATCAATAATAGTGTCGTTAGGTGGTAAGATTTGTCAGGAAACAGGACAAGTGTTTCCTGGCGCGGATCTTTAGTCATGTGTGACCCGCAGCTGGAGCTTTTGGTCATATAACAAAGGTCTTCAGCTGGCTTACCGTTATACCCCCTTTAAAAATTATGGTCATAATTATAACTATTTCTTCTTTTTAATGTTGTCAGTGTTATAGAAGGGAGCACAGCTAAAATGTTTCAGGATAATTCACTATGTTGGTAACTTCCCCAGGAGACAGTATGGGAGGCTCACCCCAGGAGTCTGATGCCACCACCACCCCAGCATACACCTCCACCACTACCACCACCGCATCCACCCCCACCTCCACCATAACAACAACCACCCCCAACGCCCTCACTAGCTTCACCAAACAAAATGTAAGCGCTGGACCCGGCCGGATTACTCGGGAACTTCTGGAGGCTTTTTTTTTTTTTTTTTTTTTTTTTAAGGGGTTCTGGAGGCTTGATCCTCCGTCTCTTAATGTGTACATCTTAGGAGAAAACATGAGAGTAGTTATGAAATAATATTGATATTTTTTTAAATCTCCCATTGTGTGTACTATATAACCTCATTCCCGTGTTCAACCATAGTCCCATTCCTATGTACAATTGTAGGTCTCCCTACATAGCTGTCCCCCCCTATACCACTACCCGTCTCCCTACCAGTGTACCGTTTCCATATCGCTATACCGGCTCACTGTACCACTGTAGCGTCTTCCTGTACCATTGTAGTGTTTCAGATGGTGGCTGGTGTTCAGCTGTGTGCTGGCGAGCAGCTGGGGTGGTACAGCAAAGAAAATGGGATCAAACCTGTGGCCCTGAGGGACTTCATAGCTAACTTCTCAGGCTGGGAGGACATCCCTGAGGTGAGTGTGGATGAGTACATCACTGAGTTGAGTGTGGCTGAGTACATCAAGGTGAGTGTGGATGAGTGCACTCAGAGTGTCCATTGTATCTATATGCATTTAGTTATAATGATGCTGTCTTGCTGTTAGAAAACAAGACAGCACCATTCTTGTCTCTGGGCTGGGTCATGCTGAGATGATAATTCCTAGGTGACAGTAACTCCAGCTCTACTGCAACGATGCCCCTGAAACAGCCCTACCTGCTGAACCTTGAATGGAATACTTGACGATATCCTCATGGTCCTACTGGAGTCTCATCTCAGACTGATACTACTGAAGTCTCCCAGCTCAGGCTGCCAATACAAAGTTTCCAAGCTCTGGCTGCCAGACTTCTTCACTTGATGTATGGAATCAATCCTGTGATGGAATACAAGGAAAACATATATAATTTGTTCCCACTGTACAGATGTGACAGTGAACAGGCAAAAGGGGAGGGAGTTGGCCTGTACATTGCAGAGTCACTTGTTTGCACAGAACTGCTTAATGCCTCAAATGATGTAGTGGAAGTTTTAGCAGTAAAGGTCGAGAACCAAAACCTAGTCATTGTGGTAGTCTACAAGCCTCCGGATGCAACATCCCAGCAATTCCAGGAACAGCTGTTAAAAATTGACCACTGTCTGGAAAATCTTCCAGCTCCTGCACCCAACATCTTGCTCCTGGGGGATTTCAACTTAAGGCACCTAAAATGGAGGAATATAGCAAATAATAGTGTTGCAGTAATAACACCAGGAGACAGCTCTGATGAAAACTCACACTCACACGAGCTTTTAAATCTCTGCACAAAATTCAATTTAAACCAGCAAATAATAGAGCCTACTAGACTGGAGAATACACTAGACCTCATCTTCACTAACAATGATGATCTGATAAGAAATGTCACCATATCAAAAACAATATACTCAGATCACAACATAATTGAGGTTCAGACATGTATGCGTGGAGCCCCAGACCGACATAATGAGACTAGTCACAAGGGAGCATTCGCCAAATTCAACTTCAATAACAAAAACATAAAGTGGGACCAAGTAAACCAAGTCCTAACCGATATAAGCTGGGAAGATATACTAAGCAACACAGACCCCCAACTTATGCCTAGAACAGATTAACTTGGTGGCACTCGATGTATGCACAAGGCTTATTCCTCATAGAAAAAGGAGGAGTAGATGTAAAATAGAAAGAGACAGGCGCTCCCTTTACAGGCGACGGAAAAGAATAACAGAGCGGCTAAAAGAGGTCAATATATCTGAAATGTGTAGGGAGACACTGGTCAGAGAAATAGCAAGCATCGAACTTAAGCTAAAGGAATCTTATAGGAGTCAGGAATCGCGGGAAGAACTAAAAGCCATAAATGAAATCGAAAGAAACCCAAAGTATTTCTTCTCCTATGCCAAATCAAAGTCGAGAACAACGTCCAGTATTGGGCCCCTACTTAAACAAGATGGGTCCTACACAGATGACAGCAAGGAAATGAGTGAGCTACTCAAGTCCCAATATGACTCAGTTTTTAGCAAGCCGCTAACCAGACTGAGAGTCGAAGATCAAAATGATTTTTTATGAGAGAGCCACAAAATCTGATTAACACAAGCCTATCCGATGTTATCCTGACGCCAAATGACTTCGAACAGGCGATAAATGACATGCCCATGCACTCTGCCCCGGGGCCAGACTCATGGAACTCCGTGTTCATCAAGAACTGCAAGAAGCCCCTATCACGAGCCTTTTCCTTCCTATGGAGAGGGAGCATGGACACGGGGGTCGTCCCACAGTTACTGAAAACAACAGACATAGCCCCACTCCACAAAGGGGGCAGTAAAGCAACAGCAAAGAACTACAGACCAATAGCACTAACATCCCATATCATAAAAATCTTTGAAAGGGTCCTAAGAAGCAAGATCACCACCCATCTAGAAACCCATCAGTTACACAACCCAGGGCAACATGAGTTTAGAACAGGTCGCTCCTGTCTGTCTCAACTATTGGATCACTACGACAAGGTCCTAAATGCACTAGAAGACAAAAAGAATGCAGATGTAATATATACAGACTTTGCAAAAGCCTTCGACAAGTGTGACCATGGCGTAATAGCGCACAAAATGCGTGCTATAGGAATAACAGGAAAAGTCGGTCGATGGATCTATAATTTCCTCACTAACAGAACACAGAGAGTAGTCGTCAACAGAGTAAAGTCCGAGGCAGCTTCGGTGAAAAGCTCTGTTCCACAAGGCACAGTACTCGCTCCCATCTTGTTCCTCATCCTCATATCCGACATAGACAAGGATGTCAGCCACAGCACCGTGTCTTCCTTTGCAGATGACACCCGAATCTGCATGACAGTGTCTTCCATTGCAGACACTGCAAGGCTCCAGGCGGACATCAACCAAATCTTTCAGTGGGCTGCAGAAAACAATATGAAGTTCAACGATGAGAAATTTCAATTACTCAGATATGGTAAACACGAGGAAATTAAATCTTCATCAGAGTACAAAACAAATTCTGGCCACAAAATAGAGCGAAACACCAACGTCAAAGACCTGGGAGTGATCATGTCGGAGGATCTCACCTTCAAGGACCATAACATTGTATCAATCGCATCTGCTAGAAAAATAACAGGATGGATAATGAGAACCTTCAAAACTAGGGAGGCCAAGCCCATGATGACACTCTTCAGGTCACTTGTTCTATCTAGGCTGGAATATTGCTGCACACAACAGCATCTTTCAAGGCAGGTGAAATTGCTGACCTAGAAAATGTACAGAGAACCTTCACAGCGCGCATAACGGAGATAAAACACCTCAATTACTGGGAGCGCTTGAGGTTCCTAAACCTGTATTCCCTGGAACGCAGGCGGGAGAGATACATGATTATATACACCTGGAAAATCCTAGAGGGACTAGTACCGAACTTGCACACGAAAATCACTCACTACGAAAGCAAAAGACTTGGCAGACGATGCAACATCCCCCCAATGAAAAGCAGGGGTGTCACTAGCACGTTAAGAGACCATACAATAAGTGTCAGGGGCCCGAGACTGTTCAACTGCCTCCCAGCATACATAAGGGGGGATTACCAACAGACCCCTGGCAGTCTTCAAGCTGGCACTGGACAAGCACCTAAAGTCGGTTCCTGACCAGCCGGGCTGTGGCTCGTACGTTGGTTTGCGTGCAGCCAGCAGCAACAGCCTGGTTGATCAGGCTCTGATCCACCAGGAGGCCTGGTCACAGACTGGGCCGCGGGGGCGTTGACCCCCGGAACTCTCTCCAGGTAAACTCCAGGTAAACTGTATTGTGACTGTCACATCACACACATACACATACACCGGGGCCAGGAGCTATGAGTCAACCCGCAGCGCTGTATAGCCCTTGTGGCTTAGCGCTTCTTTTTGATTATAATAATATGAGTCAACCCCTACAACTACAATTAGGTGACTACACCACACTGGAGGACAGGAGAGATAGGGGGTCATGTTAACGACATATAAAATAGCAAGATCCATACATTGTAACTTTAAGAGATACGATAAAGCTCATGGAGCAGGCATAGAGTGGACCTAGTAGCGACCAGGGAAGAGGCGGTGCCAGCTGTGACTCGACCCCTGCAACCACAAATAAGTGAGTACACATACACAGTGTCCTTTGGACTGGTGGGCAACACTCTCGCCTCACACACTGTCCATGGTTCGATCCCCGGAAAGGGTAGAACCATTGGGCGTGTTTACACCTGTCCCGTTCACCTAGCAAGTAAGGAGGTACCTGAGTTTTAGTCGACTGGTGTGGGTCGTATCCTGGGGGACAAGACTTAAGGACCTCAGTGGAAGCAAGACAGACAGTCCCTCTATAACTCACTGACTTTCTTGAGTTATCCAGGGTGGCTAACCCTCCGGGGTTAGAAATACGAACAAAATCTTATCTTTTCACACACACACACACACACACACACACAACTTCCTATTGAAGCCTCCCAACCAGGTCAACCCCAGTGCAACCAAACACTCTAAATCAAAACACCCATGCCACATCCAATGCCCCCACCCACTACATTACAAACTCCACCCCCACAGCAACAACCCATAGTTCCTTACCAGGTCCCCCACTTCCCCAACCCCAATACACCTCCCAGACCACAGTCTTAGAAAAGAAGTTGAAGGTGTGGTATACAAATGCAGATGGAATAACAAACAAGTATGAGGAGTGGCACGAAAGAATCAAGGAGACATCCCCAGACATAATAGCACTCACAGAAACAAAACTCACCAGAATAATAACAGATTCAATCTTTCCATCCGGATATCAAATCCTCAGGAAAGACAGGGGGAGGAGGAGTTGCACTGTTCATTAAAAACCAGTGGGATTTTGAGAAAATTGAAGGAATGGATGGCACGGGCGAAAGGGACTACTTAGTAGGAACAATCCAGTCTGAGGGACATAAGCTGATAATTGCAGTAATGTACAACCCACCACAGAACTGCAGGAGGCCAAGAGAAGAATATGATGAGAGCAACAGAGCAATGATCGACACACTAGCCGAGGTGGCCAGGAGAGCACACATGGAGGGAGCAAAGTTACTAGTTATGGGTGATTTCAATCACAAAGAGATTGACTGGGAAAACCTGGAGCCCCATGGGGGTCCCGAAACATGGAGAGCCAAGATGATGGATGTGGTACTGGAAAACCTCATGCATCAACATGTTAGAGACACTACCAGAGAGAGAGGAGAGGATGAACTAGCAAGACTGGACCTTGTATTCACCTTGAGTAGTTCGGACATCGAGGGTATCATGTATGAAAGGCCCCTGGGAGCTAGTGATCATGTGGTTCTGTGCTTCGACTACATAGTTGAGCTCCAAGTGGAGAGAGTAGCAGGAATAGGCTGGGAAAAACCAAACTACAAAAGGGGAAACTACTCAGGCATGAGGAACTTCCTTCAAGACATTCAGTGGGAGAGGGAACTGACAGGAAAACCAGTACAAGAAATGATGGACTATGTGGCAACAAAATGCAAGGAGGCAGAGGAGAGGTTTGTTCCCAAGGGAAACAGAAATAATGGGAAGAACAGAACGAGTCCTTGGTTCACCCAAAGGTGTAGGGAGGCAAAAAACTAGGTGTACTAGAGAATGGAAAAGGTACAGAAGACAGAGAACTCAGGAAAATAAAGAGATTAGCCGAAGAGCCAGAAACGAATATGCACAGATAAGAAGGGAGGCTCAGAGACAATATGAAAATGACATAGCATCAAAAGTAAAGACTGACCCGAAGCTGTTGTACAGCCACATCAGGAGGAAAACAACAGTCAAGGACCAGGTAATCAGACTGAGGAAGGGTGATGGGGAATTCACAAGAAACGACCGATAGGTATGTCAGGAGCTCAACACAAGATTTAAAGAGGTATTTACAGTGGAAACCAGTAGGACTCCAGGAAATCAGAACAGGGGGGCACACCAGCAAGTGCTGGATGAGGTACATATAACCAAGGAGGAGGTGAAGAAGCTGCTATGCTAACTTGACACCTCAAAGGCGGTGGGACCAGACAACATCTCTCCATGGGTCCTTAAAGAAGGAGCAGAGATATTGTGTGAGCCATTAACAAAGATCTTCAACACATCATTTGAAACTGGGCAACTCCCTGAGGTATGGAAAATGGCAAATGTAGTCCCAATTTTTAAAAAGGGAGACAGACATGAGGCACTAAACTACAGACCTGTATCACTAACGTGTATAGTATGCAAGGTCATGGAGATCATCAGGAGGAGAGTGGTGGAGCACCTGGAAAGAAACAAGTGTATAATTGACAACCAGCACGGTTTCAGGGAAGGAAAATCCTGTGTCACAAACCTACTAGAGTTTTATGACAAGGTGACAGAAGTAAGACAAGAGAGAGAGGGGTGGATCGATTGCATATTTTTGGACTGCAAGAAGGCCTTCGACACAGTTCCTCACAAGAGGTTACTGCAAAAGCTAGAGGATCAGGCACACATAACAGGAAAGGCACTGCAATGGATCAGAGAATACCTGACAGTTACTAAAAACAACAGACATAGCCCCACTCCACAAAGGGGGCAGTAAAGCAACAGCAAAGAACTACAGACCAATAGCACTAACATCCCATATCATAAAAATCTTTGAAAGGGTCCTAAGAAGCAAGATCACCACGCATCTAGAAACCCATCAGTTACACAACCCAGGGCAACATGGGTTTAGAACAGGTCGCTCCTGTCTGTCTCAACTATTGGACCACTACGACAAGGTCCTAAATGCACTAGAAGACAAAAAGAATGCAGATGTAATATATACAGACTTTGCAAAAGCCTTCGACAAGTGTGACCATGGCGTAATAGCGCACAAAATGCGTGCTAAAGGAATAACAGGAAAAGTCGGTCGATGGATCTATAATTTCCTCACTAACAGAACACAGAGAGTAGTCGTCAACAGAGTAAAGTCCGAGGCAGCTACGGTGAAAAGCTCTGTTCCACAAGGCACAGTACTCGCTCCCATCTTGTTCCTCATCCTTATATCCGACATAGACAAGGATGTCAGCCACAGCACCGTGTCTTCCTTTGCAGATGACACCCGAATCTGCATGACAGTGTCTTCCATTGCAGACACTGCAAAGCTCCAGGCAGACATCAACCAAATCTTTCAGTGGGCTGCAGAAAACAATATGAAGTTCAACGATGAGAAATTTCAATTACTCAGATATGGTAAACATGAGGAAATTAAATCTTCATCAGAGTACAAAACAAATTCTGGCCACAAAATAGAGCGAAACACCAACGTCAAAGACCTGGGAGTGATCATGTCGGAGGATCTCACCTTCAAGGACCATAACATTGTATCAATCGCATCTGCTAGAAAAATGACAGGATGGATAATGAGAACCTTCAAAACTAGGGAGGCCAAGCCCATGATGACACTCTTCAGGTCACTTGTTCTATCTAGGCTGGAATATTGCTGCACACTAACAGCACCTTTCAAGGCAGGTGAAATTGCCGACCTAGAAAATGTACAGAGAACTTTCACGGCGCGCATAACGGAGATAAAACACCTCAATTATTGGGAGCGCTTGAGGTTCCTAAACCTGTATTCCCTGGAATGCAGGAGGGAGAGATACATGATTATATACACCTGGAAAATCCTAGAGGGACTAGTACTGAACTTGCACACGAAAATCACCCACTACGAAAGCAAAAGACTTGGCAGACGATGCACCATCCCCCCAATGAAAAGCAGGGGTGTCACTAGCACGTTAAGAGACCATACAATAAGTGTCAGGGGCCCGAGACTGTTCAACTGCCTCCCAGCACACATAAGGGGGATTACCAACAGACCCCTGGCAGTCTTCAAGCTGGCACTGGACAAGCACCTAAAGTCAGTTCCGGATCAGCCGGGCTGTGGCTCGTATGTTGGTTTGCGTGCAGCCAGCAGCAACAGCCTGGTTGATCAGGCTCTGATCCACCAGGAGGCCTGGTCTCAGACCGGGCCGCGGGGGCGTTGACCCCCGGAACTCTCTCCAGGTAAACTCCAGGTAAACAGGGAGGCAACAACGAGTCATGGTACGCGACGAGGTGTCAGAGTGGGCGCCTGTGACAGGCGGGGTTCCACAGGGGTCAGTCCTAGGACCTGTGCTGTTCTTGGTATATGTGAACGACATAACGGAAGGGATAGACTCAGAAGTGTCCTTGTTTGCAGATGATGCGAAGTTAATGAGAAGAATCAAATCGGATGAGGATCAGGCAGGACTACAAAGAGACCTGGACAGGCTACAAGCCTGGTCCAGCAACTGGCTCCTTGAATTTAACCCTGCCAAATGCAAAGTCATGAAGATTGGGGAAGGGCAAAGAAGACCGCAGACACAATATAGTTTAGATGGCCAAAGACTGCAAACCTCACTCAAGGAAAAAGATCTGGGGGTGAGTATAACACCGAGCATATCTCCTGAGGCGCACATCAATCAGGTAACTGCTGCAGCATAAGGGCGCCTGGCAAACTACGGATAGCGTTCCGATACCTCAGGATTCGTTTAAGACTCTGTATACCATTTACGTCAGGCCCATACTGGAGTATGCAGCACCAGTTTGGAATCCACACCTAGTCAAGCACGTCAAGAAATTAGAGAAAGTGCAAAGGTTTGCAACAAGACTAGTCCCAGAGCTACGGGGATTGTCCTACGAAGAAAGGTTGAGGGAAATCGGCCTGACGACACTGGAGGCCAGGAGGGTCAGAGGAGACATGATAACGACATATAAAATACTGCGCGGAATAGACAAGGTGGACAAAGACGGGATGTTCCAGAGATGGGACACAGAAACAAGAGGTCACAATTGGAAGTTGAAGACCCGGATGATTCAAAGGGATGTTAGGAAGTATCTCTTCAGTCATAGAGTAGCCAGACCGTGGAATAGCCTAGAAAGTGATGTAGTGGAGGCGGGAACCATACATAGTTTTAAGACGAAGTATGATAGAGCTCATGGGGCAGGGAGAGAGAGGACCTAGTAGCAATCAGCGAAGAGGCGGGGCCAGGAGCTGTGACTCGACCCCTGCAACCAAATAGTGAGTACAAATAGGTGAGTACACACACACACACACACACACACACACACACACACACACACACACAGGGATGTTAGGAAGTATTTCTTCAGTCACAGAGTAGTCAGGAAGCGGAATAGTTTGGGAAGCGATGTAGTGGAGGCAGAATCCATTCATAGTAAAGCTTTAAGCAGAGGTATAATAAAGCTCATAGTTCGGGGAGAGTGACCCAGTAGAGGCCAGTGAAGAAGCGGAGCCAGGAGCTATGAATCGACCCCTGCATCCACAGTTAGGTGAGTACACACACACACACAACACATACCCCACTATCATTACCACCACCACACAATCACTACCACGCCACAATACTATTACAACACAATCATCACCACCACAAACCTACCCCTACAATCATCACCAACACATACTATGTACCCCTGTAATCATCAACACATAGTACCCCTACAGTCATCACCATCACTAAACGTACACACCTCCCACCACTATCACCACAACTACTAACATCTCCACTAACCTGCAGGAGCTGGCTAACGTGACAGATGCGATCGTTAACTGTGAACCCAAGATCAGCGAGGAAGGAGGAGTTAACACCTTGCTGGTAAGTTGACAACCATGTGTGTTGAAGCAGTCTCTCTCTCTCTCTCTCTCTCTCTCTCTCTCTCTCTCTCTCTCTCTCTCTCTCTCTCTCTCTCTCTCTCTCTCTCTCTCTCTCTCTCTCTCTCTCTCTCTCTCTCTCTCTCTCTCTCTCTATATATATATTATTTAACTGTATAGTAACTATAGAAATATTATGACATAAACCACATCATTCATGAGGTGAGTCTAGTTTGCCTCTGCTATATATATATACCATTATTATTCAAGAATGAGACACGTAACATATAATGCATAAGTGTCTCATTCAACCAGTCGATTTTCTAAATCATTTATCACACCATTATTATTATTATTATTATTATTATTATTATTATTATTATTATTATTATTATTATTTTATTGTCATAATTAATTTCAATACTGAAGCGTCTATCTGTTTTCACAGGTTCGGGGCACACTCTGGTCTGCTTGCTTCTACCCCAAATATTTTAGCACCTGTGGATTTAAAAGTGAGTAACACTGTGTTTGTGTTTATTCACCGAGGTCGGGTGGAGCTCAAGCTCCCGGCCTTCTTTTATTCACGAGTAATAGAGTACTACATAACAGGGGAGCAGCAAATTATTCTAACACACAGGATATGTGGACAGGCTAAACCTGGACTGATACTCCATAGATGTATTTATAGTTGTTAAAGTTATTCAGATGCTCAGTATTATTCAGTGGGTTTGAAGAAAAACTGAGCTAATACTCGGCAGTTATTTTCACAGTTGTTTCAGATATTCAGATATGCAAAACATAATCACAAACGTGAGGCCAGGAGGTTTTAGCCAATTTGTGTAATATGTTACTATGTATAATCATTGTACTAATGTATACCTGTAGCTATAATAAACTTATTACACTGTCTTACAGGTAACCTGACCATGATGCTGTTCCCTGGCTACCACCAGCAGATGGAGAAGGAGGTAGAGCAGTTCATGAGTCAGATAATAGACTTGGGTGACGACACTCTCGGCCATGACCAACCCCAGGGTCACCAGGACGCAGAGATGGTCGATGGTCAGTCAAAATGAGCAATAGTAAAAGAAATAGAAACTGAAATACATACAAGAACATGTTTTCTACTGCATTTTACACTCTTTAATATTTTTTAAAGCACTTACAATATATCGCTTGCATATATTTTTTGTATTTTACCATTTGTAATTGTAAAGATGTTAGTGCAAGTGTATCTCCAGGCGATAATCAAACTAGAAACCAGGAAGTGAAAATAATGTACCATATATATATATATATAATATATATATATAATATATATATATATAATATATAATATATATATATATATATTGTGAGGTGCATATCTCTGAGTATATATATGTTGGGAGTTTACTTTAATTCTCACTTTAGGGATTAAATTATTCCTTACTGATGAACAGATTATGCCTTAATCACCTTCGTGTAGGTGAGAGGCTTTAATTAAACCCCATTATCCACCAATGAAGATAACATACACTGATACGTATTACTGGGAGGTATGCAAGGTATGTCTTGACCTGCGGTCATTCCTCAGCTGGTTTGCTGGAAACCTCGCCTGAGAAGAATGAAGAAGTATCAGAGATAACAGATGTAGACATGGAGCGGGATGTAGAAGCCATGACAGCTGAGAACCTCCACCCACCACCACTCTCAGCTCAGATGAAGGTAAGGCTACGCTACCTATTATTTTTTAGGAAATAGAGCAGTTTCTTCATTTCAATTCAATTCAATTCAAGTTTATTCTCTATAAGGGTTACAATGTGGGGTTTACAGAGGGGGCCACTAGGACACCTAGCATGGCTAGGCATTTCGAGCAGACTAGATTAATTCTTAACATTAAATCCTTACAGATTATGGTATTAAGGCTAAGTGACTACATCATAATTTGTGAGTTTAGTAATGTGAATGATTTTGTTTTGGCACAATACAAGGTGTCTATATTGGAGTATCATAGGCAAACTTATGACTAGTTAGGATTTATTTTTTTAAAATTTGACGCAAATCTTAGTCATATGATGACCCGCTACTGTAATCTTTATTTCTTGAGGTACATGATGAAATTTTTACAGACATCATTGGCGTACTATATAGAAAAAAAAACCTGGTTTTGCAGCCTGGTTGATCAGGCCCTGATCCACCCCGAGGCCTAGTAATAGACCGGGCAGCGGGGGCGTTGACCACCGAAACCCTCTTCAGGTATACTCCAGGTATGCAGAGAATTTTGGGCAACTTAGGATAACCTTATCCTTCAGGGTGCGACCCACAACAGTCACTAACACCCAGGTACCTACCTACTGTTAGGTAAACGGGTGCGCACTAAGCTTAAGGAAACATACCCAACGTTTTACCTGTGCTGGGGGATCCATCCCGGACCCTCAGTGAACTCAGGACGCTATAAAGTAAGCCACGAGCAACCTTAAGATATGCAAGAAAGGTATAAAATACCGACAATATGAAAGTTAAGACACATGTGCAACATCTGGATATCTTTATTGTAGACGTTTCGCCATCCAGTGGCTTTATCAATACAGATTCTAGGACATATAAGGAAGACAGTAGAACTATATACAAAATATGAGGTAATCAGTCCCTCAGCCTTGGATTTAGTGTTCACAGCATCGTGGTGGAGTAGAATCTGGAGCAAAGGCAAGAAGACTGGCGGTTATATAGGCGTCAGTGGATAGGGACGGGCAGCAGACGAGGGCATAGTCACTGGTAGGCGGGATTCCCCAGTGGAAGTAGGTCCTTCCCAAAGAGATGGGTTAGTTGCAGCAGCCGTGAAGAAGGTCTTGTAGATGTCCTCTGAACCAAGATTCCATGATGTTGCAGTGTCTGACAAGTTGTGCAAGAAAGGTATAAAATACCGACAATATGAAAGTTAAGACACATGTGCAACATCTGGATATCTTTATTGTAGACGTTTCGCCATCCAGTGGCTTTATCAATACAGATTCTAGGACATAATAGGAAGACAGTAGAACTATATACAAAATATGAGGTAATCAGTCCCTCAGCCTTGGAGTTAGTGTTCACAGCATCGTGGTTCTACTGTCTTCCTATTATGTCCTAGAATCTGTATTGATAAAGCCACTGGATGGCGAAACGTCTACAGTAAAGATATCCAGATGTTGCACATGTGTCTTAACCTTAAGATAATTGTAATCACCCAGAATTGTGTAATTGTACCTAAATAAACTGACTTACAATGGAGCTTTTGGTCATATGACCAAGGCCTTCCACTGGCTTACCGGTCCATCTCTTTAAAAACTAAAATTTCATGATGAAGGTAAGCACCCCTACTATTAAAATATTATCTAAATTTTATAACAAAAAAAATATAGGCATAGCTATTATATTATGCTCAGGGTGGGTGGCAAAACTGAAGCTAACGCGAATTTAAGCAAAAAAAAAAAAAATAGGTACTACTGTATATAAACGAATTCAAATGTTTAAATATAATAATACTTATTTTTACAAGGCTTATTATCTGTGCATTACTCGTGGACCGTTAATTAAATCGCAGTCCACGTAATTAACAACAACAGAGATATTTTACTTAAACTCCAAAATAGGGAAAAAAATAAATTTTCATCATATATATATATATATATATATATATATATATATATATATATATATATATATATATATATATATATATATATATATATATATATATATATATATATATATATATATATTATACTACGAAATCATCAATTATCAATATTTTAGTCATCTATAATCAACATCTTAATCATCTATTATTAATATCTTAATCATCAGTTATCAACATTTAAATAATCAATTATTAATAGCTAAGTTCCAAATACCATCTTAATGGATGGGACTCGAACCATGGCAGGCGGGTCCTAAAACTCGCAGGCCACCAATTATCATCTTAATCATCAATTATCCGCTTACTTGTCAATTATTATCATATTAACCGTCTTTGCTGTGCATCCTTTCGTTTTTATGTATAATGAATGTCTTATACAGTTAATTTGAAATGAAGAATCTAATCTTAATCATCAGTTATCAACACGTTAACCAACATGAAAATTAAGACATGTGCAACATCTGGGCACCTAAAGTCGGTACCTGACCAACCGGGCTGTGGCTCATACGTTGGATTGCGTGCAGCCAGCAGTAACAACCTGGTTGATCAGGCCCTGATCCACCATGAGGCCTGGTCACAGACCGGGCCGCGGAGGCGTTGACCCCCGGAACTCTCTCCAGGTAAACTCCAGGTATCTTTATTGTAGACGTTTCGCCATCCAGTGGTTTTATCAATAAAAGTTCTAGGATATAATTTAAAGACAGAAGTACTGTGAGAAATTATTAACTATATACAAAAGATGTGGTAATGAGTCCTTCAGCTTTGGAGTTGGTACTGAAAAGCACTGTAGTCGTCCTAGAACTTGTGCTGATAAAGCCACTTGATGACGAAACGTCTACAATAAAGATAACCCAGATGTTGCACATGTGTCTTAATGTTCATCTTGTTGGTATTGCATACCATTCTTGTACAACGTTAACCAACAATTACTTCCTCCAGGGCAAGGAAGCCCATCCTTCCAAGGACCTGCACGATAAATCTGTCCACACATCCACTGAGACATCTAGCCAACGTGAAAAATCCACTGAGAATCCCTCCCAAAATTCATCTGAGAAACTCGCTGAAAATTCAAGTGAGAAGCCCCCTGAAGTTTCCGGGGCCTCTGAGGTGACCACTGCAGAGGAGCTGACTGATAGTACCATGAAAGAAGAGGAGACAGTGGGGGAGGATGGCGGTACTGAGACTACCACACAAACTGGTGTCTAATTTCGTCACTCCAATGTACACACAAATCTGGATGATGCACGATGCTGTAAGTCCGACAAAGTGAGAATTTCACCGACATTTTCTGTATTGGGAAAGAGTCAGGCGGTCTGGTTGACATGGTTTGATCAGGTTACTAACTTCGAACAAAATCTTTAGTACGATGTTTTACCCAAAAAGTGAGTGATGAAACTCTTTTGTGGGTTTATAAAGCCTCTCTGTGAGTGAAACATCGTATAATAATGTTTCTCCCATGCTACAAAATGTCCTTGAAATTACAGATTTGGTCGTCAGGACTGCAGTGGCAGGCAATATATAGGTCTATTACACAAATAACCAGGTTACGACGACGTTTCAGTCCGACCTGAACCATTTAGTCACACCGAAACGTCGTGGTAAGCTCCTCCTATGTGCGGGTTATTTGTGGATTGTTCCAGTCACGGTATTGTGTTTTTTGTTTTTTATAGGCCTATAGGCCCGTAAGTGGTAAACAGTTCCCCTTTCCTCTAACTATTCAGTATATCCATGTTACTCAGAGTCATATTAGAGTTTGTTTCGTGTTTTTAAAACCTCTATATACTCAAAGAAAAAAAAATTATATCTTTGTTATTAACTCATAATTATAATTTTAAGAACTAAAATTATAATGTCGCGAGAGGCTAAAAAAATCAGGTGTGCTTAATATGTTTTTATTTAGATAGAGTAGAGTTTGTAAAATGTTAAACTACTTCTTAATGTTAAAATTAACAAATGAGATTTATGCAGTGTTATCGTCTATATTTTTTTGTAAAAGCAGGTAAATACAGCATAATTTTTTTTTTTTTTTTTTTGGGGGGGGGTATTTTTCTACACTCAAAACCTATGCATATAAATATTAGATACAAATAATAACAAAATTTAAGTTTTGCAGCACATTAGAAGGACTGAACTAATATTTTGAATAGGTAATTATGTCTTCTCGTCTGATTCATAGTTGACGAAAGAGAGAATATATTATTGTAACACAATGAATAATATTTGTCTATTATCAGTTATGGTCAGATGCACTGCAATAAAAAAAATTGTCCAGACAAAATTATATCTTTTTTCTATTAACAGCCCATAACAATCAGCATTTATAACCTGTAATGGTCAATATTCAATTGGTTACGATATTTATTAATATGTATGTTATTATCATTTAATATAAATTGTCTGGGCTCGGTGTAATCTAATAATGAATTATGTAACAAAATAATGTTAAATGGTTGTAATAATTGTATAATGTTGGTTGTATCATAAACTAACTAAATAATGGTATATCTGACAGACAAACTTCATCCAGCTGGAAAAAAATACGTTTGTGTTGCATACATATCCTGAAATAATAACTGATAAGGACACCCAATTTTAGCCACTTTGTCCATCACGGGAACACCAATAATAATGAAATTACTGAAAAAATATATTTTAATCTTTGTGATTCAACGAGATATAATTTGGTCAATAATATTTTTTTGAGGAATGCCCTTGTCTGAAGAGTAAATATAAAAAAAATTATTGCTATATATTGATGTATAATGATATAGTCATATTACACATTATTAAATCACTAAATGTACACAAGTGGAATATTAAATTATTTTAATCATTATAATTATTAAAATAATTTAACATCTAAATTTTATGTTCGTATCTAATATAATAAAAAAGAATACGCTTGAATTTAATTTAATTCTTGCAGTAATAAAAAAAATCTAAAGAAGATATTATGCATATAATGTTCGGATAAATCTGCTACTATTGGCTTCTTGAAGAAAATATTTTAAAAGTAGACTTTCGTTTCTGTAGCTTAATTAAATCCGCGGGGGCGTTGACCCCCGAAACTTTCTCCAGGTATACTCCAGGTATGGATTTTTTATTTATTTTCGAAAAACTGATGGTTCTCTTGCTAAACAAATATCCTGTCATTCATTAACATTGAGATAGAGAGAAACAGAGAGGTTAATCTTGGGAAATGATCTGATGATATATTTGTTACGATGGAAGACTCTTAGTTGACAAAAGTAATGTTAAAACCAAGACACGGGTCAGGGATGCCTCCATTAATATGTGGGTTCAAGGTCACCTACAATTTGCACATCGTTATAACTATTTAAGCTGTAAAGCCCTTGTGTCTCAGCGCTTCTTTTTGATTATAATAATAATAATAATTATAACTATTTAAGAGCGACATGAGTTATTTACCATTACGATTACTAAAATGTGAGTTTCCAGTGCCTTTGTGTCTTGCACTGTAATTTCCAACAGTAAGTGTAGGTTCAGACAGCACTAGTTGGAAGCTCCATGTAGTTAAACTTATCTGGAGTTTGCCTGGAGAGAGTTTCGGGGGTCAACGCCCCCGCGGCCCGGTCTGTGACCAGGCCTCCTGGTGGATCAGAGCCTAATCAACCAGGCTGTTACTGCTGGCTGCACGCAAACCAACGTACGAGCCACAGCCCGGCTGATCAGGAACCGACTTTAGGTGCTTGTCCAGTGCCAGCTTGAAGACTGCCAGGGGTCTGTTGGTAATCCCCCTTATGTGTGCTGGGAGGCAGTTGAACAGTCTCGGGCCCCTGACACTTATTGTATGGTCTCTTAACGTGCTAGTGACACCCCTGCTTTTCATTGGGGGGATGGTGCATCGTCTGCCAAGTCTTTTGCTTCAGCAGGAACATACAATATGTTGAGAGCATTGTTTCTTACATAAATCCTAACACCATGGTACTGAAGCCCTCTGTGTTCTTAATTGCAAGAAGTTGATAGGGAAGCGATTTTTTAGTATACAGAATACAAGAGTTAGTAGATTTGAGGTTATGTGTAACAAATGAAGGCAATTTAGGGAGTGGGATCTTTCAGGGACTCTAATTCACACATAACATCAACGAGTTCATTAGTTACTCTATGATGAAGGCCAAGAAAGCCTTTCCTAAGTGAAGCAATATTCCAACTAAGTTTATACGAGTTTTGTTCCGTTATAGAAGTCCTGAGATGACACTTAATTTATCACCATAATGAAAGAATTTGCTAAACGGAGGACAGACATTATTTACTTCATCCGAATTCCACTTCGTCATGAATTTATAAATGCACTTCCTTTACCAAGGTCATGTGGGATGTGGGAGTTACTCTGCATTCTTGGCCCCTCAAGGAAGGTTCCTTGATGTTGGTGAGGGGCTCTTGATTTAGGGAATTGGATCTGTGCTCAAGTTCCCCGAATTCAGCCTGAATGTCTTCCACATCCCCCCCCCCAGGCGCTGTATAATCCTCCGGGTTTAGCGCTTCCCCTTGATTATAATAATAATAATAATAATAATAATAATAATAATAATAATAATAATCTGCATTCTTGGTGTGTGAATGTATGGTAGGTGGTATTACCACATGTATCCTTCTCTCCAGTCATTATGTGATAATTGAACTTATGTGGACCTGTACCTAAATAAACTTACTGCCCGTCACCAGACTTAATGATAACCCGTCACTGGCGTACCCTAGCTAGGTGTTACACCCCATTAAAAATAAAGGACCACTACATGGTAGTTTATTCTAAGATTAGATGATACTCATATGGGTTTCCTAAAGATTGTCAAAGAACAGATACACGGTTATAATCATAACCATAATATTTAAAGGGGTTGACGGGTAAGCCAGCGGAAGGCCTTCTGGAGTTTATCTGGAGTTTATCTGGAGAGAGTTCCGGGGGTCAACGCCCCCGCGGCCCGGTCTGTGACCAGGCCTTCTTTGGTCAGATGACTAAAAGCTCCAGCTGTGAGTCATCATGTGACTAAGACCCGCGTCAGGAAATACTTGCCCTGTATTTCCTGACAAACCTTATACCATCCTAAAGATTGTCATTGTGTGGACAGAGTGATTGTGAACATATTACAAATAAAATTTAATGCTTCCCTGCTTCAGAACTATAAACATTCAGTTTATACATATTAGTAGTAGTGGTAATGTGCAGCACGATGCTTCAAATAAACACAATATTTGTTGGGACTCACGAGGGTTAAACAACATTACTGACAGATGTGACCGGCATCATGCCGGATGTTCACTCTGTGACGTCACTCTAGATATAGTTATTCTAGAAGGTTCTAGAATGTTCTGCCTGGTGTGACGTCTTTTATAGAACTGTCTAGTGCTTCCTAAAATCCTCCCAGAGTCACGTGACGGAGAATCAGCAAGTTTATTTTCTTTTATACATACCATAAATAGTTGTGTACAGTAAATTATAAAGAATTTAACCTACGACAACACTCAAAGTCAATGTGAATTATCTAAGATTTTAACCTGGGCAGGAAACTTGCAATCATCATATTTTGGCTCAGAATTTGCAAAGATTTTATAGACATGAATGACATTGAGAAAATGAAGTTCAGTGTTTTTCATTTAGTTATTATAGGTGTTTCGTTTTTTTTAATTTATGCAATCTAAAGAAAACGTATTGCAATATAAGGTAAACTTAACTATATGTTCAATTTTATCATCTAATAAGTAGGATAAGATTTTTAACCCTGGAGGGTTAGCCGCCCACGATAACCCAAGAAAGTCAGTGCATCATCGAGGGACTGTATGCTTTATTTCCATTGGGTCCTCAATCTTGTCCCCCAGGATGCCACCCACAACAGTCGGCTCACTTGCAGGTAGTACCTACTTGCTAGGTGAACGGGACAACAGTATAAGGAAACACACCCAATGTTTCCGCCCTTGCCCGGGATCGAACCACGGACACTCAGCGTGTGAAACAAGAGCGTTGCCTCCCAGGCCACGGGTCACCGTGGTTCAGGTTCAAATAATAATAATAATAATAATATAATAATAATAAATAATAATAATAATAATAATAATAATAATAATAATAATAATAATCAGGGAGTTATATCAATCCAATACAGGGTGTGAGAAATCTGCAGCAAATGCTATAACCAGCATTGTGTCTTGTGTATATATATATATATATATATATATTATATATATATATATATATATATATATATATATATATATATATATATATATATATATATATATATATATATATATATATATATATATATATATATATATATATATATAAGACTGCCATCCCCACGAGCCCCTTTGAGGCGGGGTAGATGGCAGACCAGAGGCCTAGCTTCTTCCTACGAGCCCCGTAAGGGCGGGGAATGTGGCTAGGCCTGGGGACACTTGGTCCCAAAGATGAGGAGGTACTTGTACCTCCTCCCATGGGAGACTTAAGTCTCGAGACACTCCCCAGATAGGGAGCCAAGGCCGGGTCACCACTACTTGGAAAAGACCCGGGCCGGGAGAATACCGGCGAATAAAATATATATATATATATATATATATATATATATATATATATATATATATATATATATATATATTATATATATATATATATATATATATATATATATATATTATATATCGTCGGTATATTCTACCACTGTATTATCAGTTACAGCATATATAGGAGCAGAGAAATCAGGTGCTGAAGGCGTGAGGTCAGTGGTGTGTCCGGTCATTAGATCGCGGTATTTTGCAAGGGTAACAACAGGTTGGCCAGTACGTCTGACACGTCAAATCTACCCAATTTCTGGACAACAGTGTCAAAAACGGGGATCACTGAAGATTCATAGTAGTGTCTGTTTTGTAGATCGATTTCCTTGTTAATAAGTCTGGCCTCTTTCCACTTCATCAAGTGTCCATATGAGCTTCGGTGAATTGCACACACAATACATATTATTCCTGCTAATAAGTGTACGTAAATGTAAGTTAGTAAGTGCACGTTTGTTTATGCTTTCTGAGGTGCTGCTCCAGGTATCTTGCCATATGTCTACGTATCGTCGCAGCCACCACAGGGAATAACGCAGAATCCAGTATCGACATTTGTGAGTGTAGTAATACTATTCTTAACCAGGTCCCTGATGGTGGGTGAAGTACTGGAGGCTACACTCTTCTTGCAACTGGTAAATGCACTGGATACTATTACACGAAGATTACCATTTTAGATGACATGTCAACAAATTCACAAGGACCCTGGGCTAATCCTTCTGAAGTGGGGCCTGGAGCCTATCTTTCTGAAGAGGGGGGCCTGGAACCTGTCTTTTTGAAGAGGGGCCTGGAGGCTGTCTTTCTGAAGAGGGGGCCTGGAACCTGTCTATCAAGAGGAGTCTGGAGCCTGTCTTTCTGAAGAGGGAGGCCTGGAGCCTCTTTCTTAAAAGTAATTTTGGACCAGTCTTTCTTAAGAGGGACCCAACATCCAGTATTGCACATATATCTCATTTATCAAATTGTTGATTTTCAGTAGTTTTTGTCCTGCAGTGGACCTCTGATAATTTTTCACCTCCTTCAGTACGCTGAAGGTGCGTCACCTGAAGCTACGGGTGCTAGTAAACTGATAAAATATCGTAGTGCAATTGTGACATTAGAAAAAAAAAGACAGCCAAGGGTTCGGGATCAAGTATTCGTTGAAGTAATTCCTATGAATTGCATTTCAGTCGAAAGTTCGGCGAATATGTTTGCTGGAGGATGATGACGTTTTTACAGAGATCTTTTGAGAATTTATTGCTGTACTGCCGATGAAACTGTTCAGCTGGTAAAAGTAACTTTATATTATTCAGACTGTTGAACTACCAAAGACATCCTGGAAATGGTACATGTTATCTGCAGTGACTCAGAGCTGCATAACAGGACTGAAATAACAAGTCTGATGATAATGAAGACATTAGTCCTATAATTCTGCTCAACATCTGATTTATCAGGTAACTTGCAATGCGTTACAGCACCCCGTCCCCCCCCCCAAAAAAAAAAAAAAACAATTATGTTACATAATGTGGCATCGCAATGTCGACGAATCTATTGAATGTCATCTGCAAGACATTCAATGTCGCCCTTCTCTCAGCATCAAGTGTAGCAATAATGGGGCATGGGAGGGAGGGGAGGCTCGTTTGAGGCTGAGAGGAGGGCCAAATGGCCCTGATGACCCGTGGTGAGGGCCAGCAGCATGAGGGGCGCCTCCCAGTGATGTAAGGTGCGCGTGCGCCCCGCCACCCCCAGCTACAACGTGTGTAAACAAAAGGCAAGAAGTGTCACCTCCTTCCCACTAGACCCCGTCTTTTCTGCTGTTTCTTGCCCTGCCCCAGTCCACGCTACGGTCATGCATGCCATTGAAGGTTCGGGTAATGTCCCGGCCTTCCTGACCAAGCTATGGAGGCTGGTAGATGACGCCAAGACCAATGATTTGATCAGTTGGACACAGGTGAGTGGACCCTAGTTTCTCTGTCACCTGTCTCACTCCCTTCTGTCATTTATATTCCCTTAAACCGATAAATTATCCCTTCCAATAAATAAAATTGCACTTGAGCCTGTTGCATAATCTATTAAAGAAAATATTACAATGTTTACATATACGTAATGTCACGTTCATTATAGCAAATTTACCTTGTTAAACTTTGCCCAAATAGTAAAGTAAATGTTTCCAGGCTAGTCAGATTTTTTTTCTATTATTAATAAATATGAAATTATGTTATAACTCAAGTTTTAGTTGGTAACCTGCATGTATATGATGTTCTACAGAACATCAATATTTAGTTGGCCACAGGAGGCTTATTTCCACATTGTTTGTGGACTAGCAAAAGCATAAATTAAAGTTATGTTGAAATATAAATCATACTAATTATGAATAAAGTTAAATTCCAGGTTTTATTTGTATTTCTTGTTAAGCCAATAATGTGCACAACCTATCAGCCAAGTTAAATGCTGTTGGCCATTTCAGTTAAGTTACAGGCTAATGAACATTTCAAGAAACTTGGAAATTAGACAATCTTTTGGTAAATCTAAGGTTAGCTTGTTCCTGGCAAGTCTAAACATAACAAACACAAATTTTGGGCATTTAGAGCTGTTGCATATAAAGTTTGAGTGTCTAAACTTTACAAATAGAATTATCAAGCATCTAAAGGTAATGGACAAAACCATCTTACATGTGAAGCTAACAAGCAAAATAATTCGGCATCAGAAGGTAACAAATAGGATTTTTTTTGTCTATGGTTAACAGAATGAATTTTCAGGCCTTGAAGCTAACTGACAGAAGCTTTGAGGAAATTTAAAGCTAACACCCAGAGGTTTTAAGAGTGTAAAGCTAACAAAGAGAAATTCCAGTCAAGCCTAAAGCTAAGGAACATATTTTTCTTTTTGCAAGTCTTAAGCTAAAAGATTTTTTGGGTATCCAATGGTAACAGAATTTTCAGGCATCTAAAGACAATCAAAATTTTCAGTCATGTTCAAGACTAAAGAATAAGTTTTTTCTAAGTCTTAAAGCTAATGAACAGAAGTTTTTGGCTAAATTAAAGATATCACTCAAAATTTTTGGTCAAGTTTAAAGCTAATGAGCAGAAATTTTGGGAAGTTAAATGCTACCGAAAAAGACTTAAAGGAAAGTTTAAAATTAGCATAAAGTTTTAGTAAATACCTGTATTTAGTTTTGCATTTGAAATTAAGTTATAATTAAAGCTGGCTCCTCAGGAAACTTTAAAATTAACATAAAATTTTAGTAAATACCTGTATTTAGTTTTGCATTTGAAATTAAGTTATAATTAAAGCTGGCTCCTTGGTAGAAATCAAACATTATTTTATATATTTTAAAATATGTACAATTTGAATCATGGGATAAAATATTTCTCAGACAAATTGTTATTTTTTAAGAGCAACACATCACAGCCAGTCATTGCTTAGTATTTGTGGCCTGGCCAGTCACAGCAAACATAAATAAAGGTGATGTAGACATAAGCAAAGACTAATAGGCAGAGCAAGGTTAAGTTATTTTAGGTTGGGTTAAGTGAGTTTTATAAAGTTTGGTCATCAGACCATGGTGTCCCATGGCCTGGTAGGCAGTGCTCTTGCCTCATACACCGAGTGCCCGTAGTTCAATCCCCAGCTGGGTGGAAGCATTGGACGTGTTTCCTTATGCCTGCTGTCCCCATTCACCTAGCAAGTAAGTAGGTAACTGGGTGTTAGTTGACTGGTGTGGGTCACATCCTGGGGGAACAAGATTGAAGGACCTCAATGAAAATAAGGCAGTCCTCGATGATGCACTGACTTTCGTGGGTTTTCCTGGGTGGCTAACCTTTCTGGTTGAAAATCCTGAACAAAATCTTATCTTCTTACCATTTGCACAACAAAATAATGTCTCAAATGTAAAACCAACTTTATATAATAATTCAAATTTTAATTAAGCTTCAAAATCTGTAGAGAAACAGCCTTCAATTATTACCAGAACTACTGTAGTACATACTTCAAATAAAACATTTGTTAGTTATGAATAAAATAAGATCAAGTCACTGAATGAGTAGGGCTTGAATCCATGGCGGTCGAGTCCTAAAACTCTCAGCCCTGCCCGTTCCATGATTTGTTCATGGGCTTTTTCGGATAAGAAGTCATTCTAATAGATTTATGGCATCTTTTTGGACACAAAAGATGTTTATTGTTCATTATTATTATTATTACAAGCAGACCTCACTAATACGGGAGGTTAGATTCCAGACCACCACCGTAAACTGAACATCGTTTTATATGTTAACAGCTCATAGCCTGTAAAATTGAGTTGTAAAAAAAAAGGAAATCACAACCATTTATTAAGTGTGCAGTAACACTAGGCCTAAAAAGATGCAAAAGTAAAAAAAAAAAAATAAAAAAAAAGGCTACAAAAATGCTATTAAAACTTTCTCCATACAGTGGACCCCCGGTTAACGATATTTTTTCACTCCAGAAGTATGTTCAGGTGCCAGTACTGACCGAATTTGTTCCCATAAGGAATATTGTGAAGTAGATTAGTCCATTTCAGACCCCCAAACATACACGTACAAACGCACTTACATAAATACACTTACGTAATTGGTCGCATTCGGAGGTGATCGTTATGCGGGGGTCCACTGTATTGGCAATAAGGTTGTCTCACTTTCTTATCACTTTCGTGTTCACTGGAGTAGCACTCTTAATTTTTTTCAAGAACTCCTTGGAGTTCACTACCTTGCTAACTGTTTGGTGTGCCAAACCTAGCTTACTACCTCTCTCAGCATTATTTCTAGCTTTTGATTTAAAGTAAGAGGCTTGCAACTCATCTTTTCACTAGCATTAAACTTCGGGACCATTGAACTGTAATTAATAATTACAATAATAACAATAACACAAGTAAAATATTTGAAAATTTTTGAAAATTGCCAAAATATGACACTGACACAAAGTGCACAAATGTAAATTGACCAAGCACAGGTAACAAAATTGCACCGAAAATAATGAAAATAAAAATAATTAGAATCACACACAAAGTGGGAGTTGTCACAGCTGCTCTTTGCTGATGACACTGTGCTCTTGGGAGATTCTGAAGAGAAGTTGCAGAGATTGGTGGATGAATTTGGTAGGGTGTGCAAAAGAAGAAAATTAAAGGTGAATACAGGAAAGAGTAAGGTTATGAGGATAAAAAGATTAGGTGATGAAAGATTGAATATCAGATTGGAGGGAGAGAGTATGGAGGAGGTGAATGTATTCAGATATTTGGGAGTGGACGTGTCAGCGGATGGGTCTATGAAAGATGAGGTGAATCATAGAATTGATGAGGAAAAAGAGTGAGTGGTGCACTTAGGAGTCTGTGGAGACAAAGAACTTTGTCCTTGGAGGCAAAGAGGGAATGTATGAGAGTATAGTTTTACCAACGCTCTTATATGGGTGTGAAGCGTGGGTGATGAATGTTGCAGCGAGGAGAAGGCTGGAGGCAGTGGAGATGTCATGTCTGAGGGCAATGTGTGGTGTGAATATAATGCAGAGAATTCGTAGTTTGGAAGTTAGGAGGAGGTGCGGGATTACCAAAACTGTTGTCCAGAGGGCTGAGGAAGGGTTGTTGAGGTGGTTCGGACATGTAGAGAGAATGGAGCGAAACAGAATGACTTCAAGAGTGTATCAGTCTGTAGTGGAAGGAAGGCGGGGTAGGGGTCGGCCTAGGAAAGGTTGGAGGGAGGGGGTAAAGGAGGTTTTGTGTGCGAGGGGCTTGGACTTTCAGCAGGCATGCATGAGCGTGTTTGATAGGAGTGAATGGAGACAAATGGTTTTTAATACTTGACGTGCTGTTGGAGTGTGAGCAAAGTAACATATATGAAGGGATTCAGGGAAACCGGCAGGCCGGACTTGAGTCCTGGAGATGGGAAGTACAGTGCCTGCACTCTGAAGGAGGGGTGTTAATGTTGCAGTTTAAAAACTGTAGTGTAAAGCACCCTTCTGGCAAGACAGTGATGGAGTGAATGATGGTGAAAGTTTTTCTTTTTCGGGCCACCCTGCCTTGGTGGGAATCGGCCAGTGTGATAATAAAAAAAAAATAAAAAATAAAAATAATTGAAAAGTACCATATTAGTGAAGTGCCATTACTAATTGCCAAAATTCCACATGAGCAGGCTATCAGTTCTTTCATTAATAAGATTTAGCTTTCATCACAATTACTAATTGATTCAAGTCTGGTAGCATGACACCTGGTAAGAGTCTGTTACAGAACGGTAGTGGCTGGAGTTGGTTGTCTTGGACTAGGGGTTCATGTGTGCTAGCTAATTAAGAATTTTTTTTTTTTAATAAAAAATCTCACACTGGCTGCACTTCAGTTGAGTAGATTGCATTTGGCCTGAGCACTGTATATTGGATGCCCCTGCTCTAGACAGTGTTCATATGTATCCAGATACAGTAATGGAGAAGGCTGGAGGCAGTGGAGATTTATGTCATGTCTGAGGGCAATGTGTCATGTGAATATAATGCAGAGAAACTGTAGTTTGGAGATTAGGAGGAAGTGTGGGATTACCGAAACTATTATCCAGAGGGCTGAGGAGGGGTTATTGAGATGGTTTGGACATGTAGAGAGGATGTAACGAAATAGAATGACTTCGATAATGTATAAATCTCTAGTGGAGGGAAGGCAGGGTAGGGGTTGGCCTAGGAAAGGTTGGAGGGAGGAGGTAAAGGAGGTTTTGTATGTGAGGGTCTTGGATTTCCAGCAAGCATATGTGAGCGTGTTAGATAGGAGCAAATGGAGACACATGGTTTTTAGGACTTGATATGCTGTTGGAGTGTAAGCAAGGTAACATTTATGAAGGGATTCAGGTAAACCGGCAGGCTGGACCTGATTCCTACAGATGGGAAGTACAGTGCTGGCACTATGAAGGAGGGGTGTTAACGTTGCAGTTTTATAACTGTAGTGTAAGTCTGCCTCTGGCAAGGCATTGATGGAGTGAATGATGATGAAAGTTTTTTCTTTTTTGGGCCACGCTGCTTTGGTGGGAAACAGCTGATGTGTTAATAAAAAAAATAAAGAGATAAACACAAAGGTTTATTTAAGACTTTTATTTAAGGTCTTCAAGTTTCCAGTTGCTATTGGTGTCTATTTATCAATTACGTACATTGTGTTGGTATTCTCATACCATTTACTATGTAGCATTATTACTGGATGTGAATTTTTCAGAATGGCCGGAGCTTTATCATCCAAAACCAAGCAAAATTTGCAAGAGAGTTGCTTCCACAGTATTATAAGCATAACAATATGGCAAGTTTTGTTAGACAACTTAATATGTGTAAGTATTAAACATTTCTTTTTCTTTTATAATTAACTTATGCATACAGTGTTTAGTGTATTCTGAAAGTCATAAGCAAGGTATTAATACATATAGTGCAGAAGACTTTATACTATATGTAGTCAGTCAGTCAGTCAGAAGAGTAATATTTTCTGTGGATTATTAACCTTGGATGGTTAATAAACAGGGAAACTCAAGAAAGCAGTGTGGCTGAATTCCACTGGAATCCTTAGGTCCTCCTCCCTAGGAGGCGACTGTGTCCTGTGGCCTGGTAGGCAACGCTCTCACCTCACAGTCTGGGTGTCTATGGTTCAGTCCCTGGCTGGGTGGGAATATTGGGAGTTTCCTTACACCTGCTTCCCTGTTCACCTAGCAGGCAAGTAGGTACCAGGGTGTTAGTCGACTGGTGTGGATCGCATCCTGGGGGGACAAGATTAAAGGACCCCAATGGAGATAAGACAGGCCTTGATGACACACTGATTTCTTTGAGTTATCCTGGGTGATTAACCCTCCAGGGTTAAAAATCCAAACAAAATCTTATCTTACCCATAACAGTCGTCTAGCACTGAAGTACTCTCTCTTTACTGCTAGGTGAACAGAGGCAGCAAGTATAATGAGACTCCTATATATAATGCCTCACTCAGGATTTAAATCAAGGTTCTTATAGCTGCAAGAATGGTCATACCTAAGAGAGACCACAATGTTCACTTGCTTTATCAGGCTGTCACATGAAAGTTTGGCCACATTCCAGCTGTAGATGTAGGAAAACTCCAAAAACTTGTCAGAGATTTGTGATGGTATAGAATTTATAGTACCAAAAATTGGGAAATTTTGAAATGTTTCTGGTAGCAGCTTGTTTACCTTACCTTTGCAGGATTGTATTTAGAACAGTACATATGTTGACATATGTACATTCAGAAGAGGCATACATTCAGAAGAAAATATATTTTATATAATAATGTGTTTGCCCTTATACACAACAGGTTAACAAAACTATTTTTTTGGTCAGAACTGCATCTAAAAAAAAAAGTTTTCTTTTAGATGGCTTCCACAAAGTGGTGTCTGCTGATTCTGGAGGATTACGGGTAGAGAGAGACGAAATGGAATTTGCCCATCAACATTTTCTTCGTGGCCAGGAATCCCTAATAGAGAACATTAAGAGGAAGGTATTGTCTGGCTTGTATATGTCAACATTAACTCATGCACACATTTATTTTGGTGAGGGGAAAAATAGTAGGCTCTTGGTGTATGTGGTTTGATTGATTTCCTCATTCAAAAACAAAAAAAAAAAAATTGCCAGTATCTCAAGGCAGATGTGTGATCTGAAAGATCATATGAGTAGAAATAATTGTTAATCACAGATTTCTGCTAAGTGCAGTACTGCAATAGCAATACTCATCTTACTGAATGTATTAGTTATCATTATACACACTTGAATAACCACAGTAACTAGCAGTCAGTTCATTATTATTTATTATAATGCTTTCATTTACTCACATCTGGCTACATACTCATATGCTAATTCACTTTCACCTCACTACATAGTGTTATTCACTTTCACCTGGTTACACATTCGTATGTTGATTAATTTCACCTGGCATGTACTACAGCCTCTCCTCACTTAACGATGGAGTTCCGTTCCTAAGCCCACGTCAGTAAACGAATTCGTCGCTAAGCAAGGAGCATACAGTGGAACCTTGGTGCTTGAACAGCTCCCTACTTGAACAATTCGGTATTGGAACGCTTCGTTCAGTAAAAAAAATCACTCGGTAGTTGACTGTTTGCTCGGCACTCGACCAAACAAACATGACCTGCCAGAACTTCTCTGCAAACTATTTCATGTTTTATCGCATTTTTTGGGGTGTGGTTTTTTATTTTTTATATTAACACACTGGCCGATTCCCACCAAGGCAGGGTGGCCCGAAAAAGAAAAACTTTCACCATCATTCACTCCATCACTGTCTTGCCAGAAGGGTGCTTTACACTACAGTTTTTAAACTGCAACATTAACACCCCTCCTTCAGAGTGCAGGCACTGTACTTCCCATCTCCAGGACTCAAGTCTGGCCTGCCGGTTTCCCTGAATCCCTTCATAAATGTTGCTTTGCTCACACTCCAACAGCACGTCGAGTATTAAAAAGCATTTGTCTCCATTCACTCCTATCAAACACGCTCACGCATGCCTGCTGGAAGTCCAAGCCCCTCGCACACAAAATCTCCTTTACTCCCTCCCTTCAACCTTTCCTAGGCTGACCCCTACCCCGCCTTCCTTCCACTACAGACTGATACACTGTTGAAGTCATTCTGTTTCGCTCCATTCTCTCTACATGTCCGAACCACCTCAACAACCCTTCCTCAGCCCTCTGGACAACAGTTTTGGTAATCCCGCACCTCCTCCTAACTTCCAAACTACGAATTCTCTGCATTATATTCACACCACACATTGCCCTCAGACTTGACATCTCCACTGTCTCCAGCCTTCTCCTCGCTGCAACATTCATCACCCATGCTTCACACCCATATAAGAGCGTTGGTAAAACTATACTCTCATACATTCCCCTCTTTGCCTCCAAGGACAAAGTTCTTTGTCTCCACAGACTCCTAAGTGCACCGCTCACCCTTTTCCCCTCATCAATTCTATGATTCACCTCATCTTTCATAGACCCATCCACTGACACGTCCACTCCCAAATATCTGAATACATTCACCTCCTCCATACTCTCTCCCTCCAATCTGATATCCAATCTTTCATCACCAAATCTTTTTGTTATCCTCATAACCTTACTCTTTCCTGTATTCACTTTTAATTTTCTTCTTTTGCATACCCTACCAAATTCATCACCAACCTCTGCAACTTCTCTTCAGAATCTCCCAAGAGCACAGTGTCATCAGCAAACAGCAACTGTGACAACTCCCACTTTATGTGTGATTCTTTTAACTCCATGCCTCTTGCCAAGACCCTCGCATTTACTTCTCTTACAGCCCCATCTATAAATATATTAAGCAACCACGGTGACATCACACATCCTTGTCTAAGGCCTACTTTTACTGGGAAATAATCTCCCTCTTTCCTTCATACTCTAACTTGAGCCTCACTATCCTCGTAAAAACTCTTCACTGCTTTCAGTAACCTACCTCCTACACTATACACCTGCAACATCTGCCACATTGCCCCCCTATCCACCCTGTCATATGCCTTTTCCAAATCCATAAATGCCACAAAAACCTCTTTAGCCTTATCTAAATACTGTTCACTTATATGTTTCACTGTAAACACCTGGTCCACACACCCCCTACCTTTCCTAAAGCCTCCTTGTTCATCTGCTATCCTATTCTCCGTCTTACTCTTAATTCTTTCAATAATAACTCTACCATACACTTTACCAGGTATACTCAACAGACTTCTTTCTTCTTTCAACACATCGGCCGTATCCCACCAAGGCAGGGTGGCCCAAAAGGAAAAACAAAAGTTTCTCCTTTTACATTTAGTAATATATACAGGAGAAGGGGTTACTAGCCCCTTGCCCCTGGCATTTTAGTTGCCTCTTACAACACGCATGGCTTACGGAGGAAGAATTCTGTTCCACTTCCCCATGGAGGACTCAACAGACTTATCCCCCTATAATTTTTGCACTCTCCTTTGTCCCCTTTGCCTTTATACAAAGGAACTATGCATGCTCTCTTCCATACATTTATTAAATAATTGCATCAACCACTCCAAAACTATATCCCCACCTGCTTTTAACATTTCTATCTTTATCCCATCAATCCCGGCTGCCTTACCCCATTTCATTTTACCTACTGCCTCATGAACTTCCCCCACACTCACAACTGGCTCTTCCTCACTCCTACAAGGTGTTATTCCTCCTTGCCCTATACACGAAATCACAGCTTCCCTATCTTCATCAACATTTAACAATTCCTCAAAATATTCCCTCCTTCTTCCCAATACCTCTAACTCTCCATTTAATAACTCTCCTCTCCTATTTTTAACTGACAGATCCATTTGTTCTCTAGGCTTCCTTAGCTTGTTAATCTCACTCCAAAACTTTTTCTTATTTTCAAAAAAATTTTTATATTGTATGAATAAGTCACCATGGGGCCTACGAAGATTAGTGATAACAACCAACCAAAAAGAAAATTAGTTGGGAAAAATTCGTTCAGTACTTGAACAGATTGGCACTTGAACAGCCTTTTGGAATGAATTAAGTTCAAGTAGCGAGGTTCCACTGTACTGTAATGTGTCATCCATCTTTGATATTATTTTAATGTCACCTTTGCACCATTTGCAAACATTTTTAGTATATTTTTAAATGTTTATACAGTAGTGTACTGTACTATATTGTAATGAACACAATAGAGGAAATTGGCTTTAATATACATTATTTAGGTACGCATACTTGTCAGAGAGCCCGTCGTAAGTCAGAGTCGTTGGTAAACAAGTATACAGTGGTACCTTGACTTACGAGTGCCCCAACTTATGAGTTTTCAGAGTTATGAGCCGTCACTTGGTCGATTTTTTGCTTTGAATTGCGAGCCAAAATCTGAGTTATGAGTGAGCTTCAGATACGCCACCACTAGTTGGCGCAGTGAACTCCACAACATCCACCCAACATCCCAGCGTTTTGTGCTTTTTGTGCAGTTATTTTGCCAAATTTCTTTTTTCTAAAATTGGGTCCTAAGAAAGTAAGTGCAAAAGACAGTGCTGAGAAGAGGGGGAGGATGATGTCCATTGAATTAAAGCATAAAATCATAGAAAAACATGAGAAAATCGCTTTTTTTTTCAGTGTTTTCCTTATGAAACTAGTGATCTAGTGTAGTTAGCCTCACAAACACTCCATTTCTCTTATAATGAGACCTCAGAAGGGCAAGAATGGGAAGGTATGGTTACCTTGGGAGTGGCCACTCGTCACATAATGACATACGTATTTTATTCATTCTAGAACATGTATCATGTTTCTATGTTATTTTAGTTATTTATTTTGTCATTAGATCAGTTGTGATACATAAATAAGCCATAGAGTGATGATAACGTTACATTGAAGTATTTTCTCCTGCCTCCCGAGAACCAGGAATTCCGGTGGAACGGATTAATGGCATTTCAGTTAATTTCAGTGAGGAAAATTGATTTGATATATGAGCAAACTGAGTAACGAGCTCGGTCACAGAATAAATTAAACTGGTAAGTCAAGGTACCACTGTACGTTGTTAAGTGAGGAGAGGCTGTATTATACTATACACTTTTACCTAGCTATGTACTCTTGTGACATACCTTTACCACACTATGTATTCTTGTACTATGCATTTTCACTAGGCTACATGCTCTTGTGCTATACACTTTGCTACATTCTCTGGTTCCGTACCCTTTCACCAGGCTAAATATTCTTGTGCTATTGAGTGTTTGCGATTGCGTGGCTTATTTATATGTACTTGTCAGTCATATTGGATGTCACATTCCACAAACTTATTTTGAGAAGTGTATGTGATAAACTTAGACAATAATATGGAATGAATTATGCTCTTAAATACTGTTAATGCTCCTTGTTTTACACTTTTTTAAACTTTGTCATCTTCGGGATGATCATTGTCATAGATATCTGCAGAAACTTCACTTATGCGGTTAGAAAACTGTGTACCTGTTGCCAGCTGGTCTATTAGCAATTTCACATCTCATGGTTTACAGTATATTAATATGTGGTAAACAATCATTCCTTACACTGAGGAAGATCTGATAGTCTACTAAAACCTTGATGCTTACCAGTACAGTAGAGGCCAACTTACAAATATCTCTTTCCCATAAGCAATGTAAAATTGATGAATAAGTTCCCAAGCCTTAATTTTCTGTTCTTTATCAGCATAGCTTTTCTTTCTTTTGTTGTGTTGTTTGCTACTTACTAAGCAGTTCAGCACCCCTTTTTTTTGGGGGGGGGGCTTTCATAGTGGGTAATTTTCTATAAATTTTGTATGCCTTGTCATTCAGCTTTGTCATACACTAAGTTGGATGTGTACTTAGGACAGTTTCCCAGGTAATGTTTGATAGTTCCTTGTTTATGCTGTCCCAGTCAATTCTCTAATTGTTGAAGCTGAATTTCTAAACACCTTATGTTTACTCTTTTCTTAGGTTTTGTATACCTGTATTTTTGCTTGTTTTCACTTAAGTGAGGTTGATGATTGTCTCTGATAACTTCTTATTGCTTTTTGTCAAGATCAGATCTAGCATATTTTTTATTCTAGTAGATTCTGTTCTCTAGTATAACTGTTGAGTTAGAGTACTTCCTGATAAAATTTCTAGCCCAATGCTATTTTCTAATCCTCTTCTGTTGTACATTTGGGAGGTTGAAGTCTCCAAGGAGAATAATGCAGGGTGTCCACAAAAACACTCCATGATTTCAAACAGGTATAACATGTAACTTTATTGTAATAATCTTTCACAGTTAGTAGCTTCAGATGCAGGATTTCATTCAGTTTCATGTGGTATACAGTAGCATTAAAGGCACTCACTGTGGGCTCCTCTGGTTGCTCAGCAAACATCGATGCAATAGTCCAGTTCGGTCAAGATGCTCTGCAGCATATCTGGTGTTATCATGCAAACCACTTCAGTGATTGAAATTTTCAGCTCCTCCAGGGTTGCAGGTAGTGGTGGTACGTAAACTGCTCTTCACATACCCCCAAAGAAAGAAGTCACAAACAGCTAGGTTTGGTGACCTCGCAGGCCACTTGCAGAGGTCACTTATTCACTCTGTCACTTTTATATAAATTATAATTTGAAATCCATATTTCATGGTCAAATAAATCCTTAGTGTGGGTTTTTGTAAAGGATCCAAACATACTACTACTTGTTTTTGTGAGTAGCCATTTATGTACAAAATTTTATTTTTCATATTTGTTTTTATGCCTTGTGTATTTGCAAAGATAAAGGAGGTTACGAGTATTCTACAGTATTTGTTTGGCACTGATAATTTTGTTGGTAAATTTAATACTGGTGAAATTGTTATTGATGTCACATGCAAAACCTCAATGCACTTTCCACCTGGCTTCATATTCTTCTGCTATACACCTTCACCTGGCTTCATACTTTGGTTCTATACACCTTCACCTGGCTTCATATTTTTCTGCTATATGCTTTTACCTGGCCTCATACTCTTGTGCTATACACTTTTACCTGACTTCATACTTGTGTACTATGTAATTTCACCTGGCTGTATTATCTTATGCTATACTTTTGCACCTGGCTACATACTTTTATGATTCAAAAATACTTCTACACAAGGAATGCCTTTATTTTGTGATGTTTCACCTACATTGGGTGAAACCTCAGAAAATAAAGGTTTTCCTGCTTAGTCTCTTTGAACTGCCATTTGTTGGATTATGCCATTTTCTACCTACCTATTCTTGTGATTTAAATGTTTTATACATTGTGTAAATTTTTGCATTCTTTGGAATTGTAATATTTTTGAGAGTTTAGTGGAGATGGATGTGTCTCAGTCTCCACTATTGACATGGAATCTTGTCTTGAGATGCATATGGGAAGTCTGTTTTCTAGCCATATGGTGGATTAAGTTGCTCAGGAAATACTGAAGTTAATAATGCTTGCAATGTTGGTTTTTATTTTTTTTATGTAATACATTAGCTGTTTTCCCCACCAGTGCACTATGATTAAGAAGGAAACACATGCACTGTCATACATTCTCCTGCTGTCTTTACAGAAAAGACAATTTTTTTAGAAATTAGCCAGTTTATAAAATAAATATGTGAAATTGGTGTTTTCTATCAAGATTAGACTTTTTAACAACATATTTCTGATTGCTATATTTGTGCTTCAAAATTAGGATTTTTTTTTTCAACATGTCAGCCATCTCCCACCGAGGCAGTGTGACACAAAAAAGAAAGAAACACTTTCACCATCATTCACGCATAATCACTGTCTTTGCAGAGGCACCCAGATATGGCAGTTCAGATGTCACTCCTAAACCAATATCCCAAATCCCTCCTTTAAACTGCAGGCATTGTACTTCCCACCTCCAGGACTCAAGTCTGGCTAACCAGTCTCCCTGAATCCCTTCACAAAATATTACCCTGCTCACACTCCAACAGCTCATCAAGTCCCAAAAACCATTCTTCTCCATTCACTCTTACTTAACATGCTCACACATGCCTGCTGTATGTCCAAGCCCCTTGCATACAAAACCTTTCACCCCTTCCCTCCATCCTTTTCTAGGATGACCCCTCCTCTCCATTACAGATTTACATGCCCTCCAAGTCATCCTATTTTGCTCCAGCCTCTCTGAATGACCAAACCACCTCAACAACCCCTCCTCATCCCACTGAATAATACTTTTAGTAACTCCACTCCTAATTTCCACACTACGAATTCTCTGCATAATATTTAAACCACACATTGCCCTTAGACACAACATCTCCACTACCTCTAGCCTTTGCATTGCTGCAGCATTTGCAACCCAAAAATAACAAAATAAGGCACAATACCGTGACTGGAACGATACACAAATAACCCGCACATAAAAGAGAGAAGCTTACGACGACGTTTCGGTCCGACTTGGACCATTTAAAAAGTCACACTGTTTCACACTGTTATAACATTGAATACTTTTGAAAATCTAGTCTGTAGAATGTTAAAATGGAAGTTGTCCTATCCTGCTTGAGGTCATTCACATGTTTCCAGCAGTAGCTGCCCCTCACACTTGGATATACTGTATACTTGTTTGTATTAGCAGTGACACTGACCCCTTGCACTTGGTCTATATATGCTTTTTCCCCAGTAAAGGTTTTGTGGTGATCCATGTATCTTTCTCATTGTTTCTTAATCTTCTGTGTGTGTGTATTCCATTCCATTCATCCATTTGTCTACACATTTGTCTTACTCCATTGTCGTGCATAAACAGTGAGACTTGTGTATTATGTTAGGATCTAGGAGAGCATCTTGGTTTTAAAGCAGTTTGTCTGGGTCTGTAACTAAACAGTACTTCACCTGCTGCTGTAGCAGTGTACCACCTTCATCTGAGGAGCATCTTCTTTAGAAATTAGAATGCATAGGAAATGTTCCAATGCAGTATATGAGGAGCCAAAGTGGTGGCATTAGTATCTGAACATTAGTAAAACCATCCTGCCTCAGTGGGAGATGGCTGGATTTTTGGAAAAAAAAATCAAGAAACTCTAGTTGAATATCAGTATATGATAGTGTTATTTAAAAAGTGATTTACAAAGGTTCATTTTAACTGCTGGCTAGATTTTTTAGAGGACACATTCATTCTGAGCATTGCTTAGAAGTGCTTAAAAGCTAACTTTATTAGCTTATTAATTAAACATTCGGAGTGGTATTTATCTCATGGTATGTATTTCAGTACTTAAAAATCAATAAACTAAAATGCAGAGCTTTTTTTTTTATGCTGGCCATCTACCAAGGCAGGGTAACCTGAAAAAGAAACCCTTCCACCATCATTCACATATATATGTAACTTAGAATTAGTAGGTTTGAGCAGGTATGATGACTGGCAGTGGATATTATATTTCTGTATATAATATCTTCCACCCATCCCTTTTGTGTGGTAAAACAAAAATATGCCTATTGCTATTGCAAATTTTGGTTTCATAATGCCTTTTATAGGAACTTGATGTGTTGCTCATTTGCATTTTGGAAGGTATGTTACATTTATTACAAGATACTCTAACATGTGCAAGCATTAATAACAAATATAATTTGAAATACAGTAGCTACTTATGGATTGCAGTATTTGACAAAATTGATCTCAAGAGTTAGCTTCCACCATAAATCCAGATGAATACACCCAATTCTTGATTCCCATTAAATTGTTTTGTGCTGTTTCTGAATTTAAAGCTACTGTTTTACTGATAATTCCACTGGTCTAGAGCAAGAATGATTTGTAAATAAAACTAGTTATTCTTTACTAATTTTGGGTCACTGAATACAGAATTGTTGTTAAATATGAGAAATTGACTTTTTTTTTTTTTTTAGGTAAGCAAGACATTTTGGAAAGATTCTTTTTATTCTTTCATATGGGGTTAGTCACTGATAGGGAGGTTGGAATGTACCCCCTATATTGCCATGTTTTGATCTTGATCATTGTGACATTGCTCCTTGTGTCGTTTTTCAGAAGCACATTCCCCGAAAATATCAAGAGTTGGGTGTATTGGTATCGAACATATCCTTGTGTGTAGGTTTCCCATTTGCATCTCTTGCAGCAACAGCGTAGACTTGCAAGCGATGGCGTCGATTTTTCCCAGATACCTACGAGCCGTACTGTGATAATAGAAGAGAACAAGAGTGTTAAGAAGCTGTTGAACGATGTACGGGATATGAAGCGCGACCAGGACACAGTGAGCGCCAAACTGTTAACCCTGAAACGTGAAAATGAGGCGCTCTGGAGAGAATATGCTAACATGAGGCAGAAGTTCTCTAAGCAGCAACAGATAATTGAGAAGGTAATTTTATTTTTAAGCTACTGCATCTGGTTCTCAATAATGAGATTTTTATGTCTTAATTGTACTGTATGGTAGGTTGAGCATTTTTTTTTTTTTTTTTTTTTAAAGGGAATTACTTGCATTTTTATACTTGTTGTTCTTTCAACAAACTGGCCGTATCTCACCAAGGCAAGGTGGCCTAAAAAGAAAAAACAAAAGTTCATCTTTTTAACTTTAATAATGTATACAGAAGGGGTTACTAGCCCCTTGCTCCCTGCATTTTAGTCGCCTCTTACAACACGCATGGCTTACAGAGGAAGAATTCTATTTTTATACATCTTATACTTTTATATTTATTCTAATGCTTAAAAAAATAATTTCTTCACAGGTATTGAACAGTTTGCACAGTGCACATAGATATATTAGCATTTTATGAATTTCTTTATGTAATACTGCAAGATAACATACACAAAAAAGTCCCTTTTGCAGTGAAATCACAAATATTCTCTTAGTCTTGTTTTCCACACATCTATTCAATTAACCATTTTTATCTTGGATAATGTTGCATTTGTGGACACAGTAGTGCCTATGTTAACCTTCCTATGGTGTAGAAATATACCTAGTTGGACGAATCTTATTGAAGCTAGCTGGCCCAGTGGCTAACGCGACAGTCTGGAGTTTTGAGACTCTTACCGCGGGTTCAAACCCCATCCGTGGTATGGTTTTTTTTTTTTATGGAAAGAAACTTTGTGCCTGCTCATGACAGTGGAAATGCAGGGGATATTTGCATATGTTTTACACATTTTTATATTTATAATCTGTCAGAACATAACGTATACAGTGGACCCCCGCATAACGATTACCTCCGAATGTGACCAATTATGTAAGTGTATTTATGTAAGTGCGTTTGTACGTGTATGTTTGGGGGTCTGAAATGGACTAATCTACTTCACAATATTTCTTATGGGAACAAATTCGGTCAGTACTGGCACCTGAACATACTTCTGGAGTGAAAAAATATCGTTAACCGGGGGTCCACTGTATACATATCACTAATGGAACTACTTTCACTGTTTTCTACACTAAAAATATCATATCTCACCATGGTGTTAGACTGTTTAGACAAGTTTCTGTGGGTTTTGTACATGATTTATTTGTGTATTATCTTTCTTTCAATGAACCGGCCATAATCCACCGAAGCAGGGAGACCCAAAAAGAAAAACAAAAGTTTCTCTCTCTAACTTTAGTAGTGCATACAGGAGAAGGGGTTACTAGCCCCTTGCTCCCAGAATTTTAGTTGCCTCTTACAACATGCATGGCTTACAGAGGAAGAATTCTGTTCCACTTTCCCATGGAGATAAATAAACAAGAAGAAGAACTAGTAAGAAAATAGAAGAAAACCCAGAAGGATGTGTGTGTATATATATGCTTGTACATACCTGCACTTTAAACCTTTGACTGTCGCAACCCCCAATCCTGAGGTGTCTCCTGGTGTCGCAAAATTTAAAAAAAAAATTATTTTTTCTTGTGAAATGATAGAGAATCTTTTCCCGATTGTAAAGACACCAAAAAAACGAAATTTGATGGAAAACTGATGGGATTACGCTCTCGCAAAGTTAGCGACCTCGGCGATATTTACAAATCGGCGATTTCGCCCACTTTGAGCCCTATTTTCGGCTAATTCCATTATTCCAGTCAACCAAACTCATAGATATTTCTTCAGAACTCCATTTTTTCCATCGATTGAGTACAAGAAACTGCCCATTTACCGATTTCAACTACCCAATAACATGGTCAGAAATTTGCAATTTGGCCAATTTCATGAAAATTAAAAAATATGACAATTTCAAAATAAGGACCAGAATGAACAATGCAGACATTCCTGGCTCTAAAATAACATTTTCTTTGTTCATCAGTCATGTCTCCAGGCCCCTGTGATATTACTCTTGCTTTTTATTTTGAAATTTTATTCAAACAAAAAATAGAAGATTTACTGTTATGCAGACTACTGCAATACTGTAATAATTGTAAAAATTACATCAACCCATTCATGACTGCATATTAGAATGGCTATTTGGACATTTATTGGACAATGACATTATTTGTTTACTTTTGAACATCGGCAAAAATCAAACATTTCCCGTACTTTGTGCTCCATTTCCAGGTTCTTTTTATAGTAAAATTAATCAAAATCACCTCTATTTCTATAATATAGTTTCCATTCTATCAAATGAGACCAAGAAAGCGAGAATACATCCACAAATACTATACGAAAATAGACCACAAAGTCGGCATTTTAATTAAAAAAAAGTCGGAGTTTTTTTTTTCTCATTATGCACTGCGTGCTCCAGGATTTTTTTTATATGGTGCACACTAACCACACAGACCCATTCTCTCACATGTGGGCCTACCAGCTTTCTCCTACCTGATTTGAAGCCGCTAGAATTTATGAGTATATATACATCAAACATGGTACCTCGTAAACGTATATATACGGCCGCGACAGTCAAAGGGTTAAAGGAGGGGTTTGGGATGTTGGCAGTTGAGTGACTATCTAAACTGTCGTATCTGGGGGCCTCTGCAAAGACAGTGATTATGCATGAGTCATGGTGAAAGTGTTGAATGATAATGAAAGTTTTTTCTTTCTTTTTGTTTGTTTTTTCTTTCTTTTGGGTCACCCTGCCTTGGTGGGAAATGGCCGACATGTTGGAAAAAAAAAATGCTGTGTAGTGTGAAATAAGTGTAAGTAGATGTAGCAAGATGTACCTGAAATCTTGCATGTTTATGAGATGAAAAAAGAAAAGACACCAGCAAGCCTACCATCATGTAAAACAATTACAGACTTTTGTTTTTACACTCGCTTGGCAGGATGGTAGTACCTCCATGGGCGGTTGCTGTCTACCAACCTACTACCTAGTTATCTGTTTATCTACAAATTATCTGTCTTCATCTAAACATTTTTTTTTTTTTAACATGGCCATTTCCCACCGGCAGGGTGACCAAAAAGAAAAAACCCAAAAAGAAAGAAAAATACTTTCACCATCATTCAACACTTTCACCATCACTCATACATAATCACTGTCTTTGCGGAGGCGCTCAGATACAACAGTTTAGAAGTCTCTTCAAATTGCCAATATCCCAAACCCCTTCTTTAAAGTACAGGCATTGTACTTCCCATTTCCAGGACTCAAGTTCAGCTAACCAGTTTCCCTGAATCCCTTCACAAAATATTACCCTGCTCACACTCCAACAGCTCGTCAGATCCCAGAAACCATTCGTCTCCATTCACTCCTATCTAACACGCTCACTCATTGATTACAGGTTAGCCTAATTTTAACTTACAAAATTTGTGTATAGTGTACAATGCATACTTAGCACCCAACTCCATAGGTAGCATTATTTGTGAAGAACAAAGAGGCACAATAGTGGGTTAAGTAAGCAGACACAAACATAGTCACACTTGAGAATTGACCACTCAAGGAAGAGATGCCTTGATGCTAAAGGTAGGGAGGGGGGTTCTTGTTCCAGCAATGGACTTTTTATTTTTTGGATTGAACCTTAATACCTCCCTTTCCATAGGTATCGTATGACCCCTACAGGTTTATCATCTATCTAATTTCTTACAATCTGAGTTATCCTTTGATAAAAAGATGCCATATGAAATCTTTATATTAAAGAAGATTTAAGCTTGAAAAAATATAATTCTCAGAATGTGGAAAAGACTTGGACTTGCAGCTTCTCAAGACATTTATTGATGCACAATCAACATTTCAGTGGCAAATCAGTCACCATCATCAGGATTCTTTTCTGGAACATGATTTAACAACATGCAGTATTTTTTTCTTCAACGAGCTGGCCGTCTCCCACCGAGGCAGGGTGGCCTGAAAAAGAAAGACTTTCACCATTGTTTACACCATCACTATCTCACCAGAAGCACACAGATGCAACAGTTCAGATGTCCCTCCAAACAACAAATATCCCTAACCCTTCCTTTAGAGTGTGAGCACTGTACTTCCCACCTCCAGGACTCAAGTCCGGCAAACCGGTTTCCCTGAATCCCTTCACAAAATATTACCTTGCTTACACTCCAAGAGCTTGTCAGGTCCCAGAAACCATTTGTCTCTACCTCTATCTAACATGCTTACACATGCCTGCTCTATATAATATATATAATGTGCAATACACTATGGATAACTTTCATAATTATTGGAGTGAAAACTAAGTTAATAATATGTGAAATGTATAATGCTACCTAATTGTAAATTTGTTCATGCTTCACAAAATATAAAACTGCACATATGAAATTAATAAAATGAAGGAATTCTGTTATTTTTCAGTTAATCCACTTCTTACTTGCTATGGTCAAGAGTCCTTCCAAAACTATGATTCCAAAAAGAAAATTTGGTCACCTGGCTTTGGAAGGGGGTGAAGAATCGTCCTCGTCATCTACCAAGCTGAACTCCCTTTCACAGTTTACTCAAGGAAGTCCCATTGATGTGAGTTTTTCTCAGGTAAATCAATCTCAGCAGAGTTAAATGTTACAAAAAGTATATGTTGAACTGAAATACATTAAAATGTCAAAGAGCTATTTAAGCATTTGTTTAATTCTTATCAGTCATGTATCAACGTCAGTGTTATTGAATGCAGCATTTGAATTTGTTCCTCGTACACTAGACTGTTACATGACCAATTTACCTTACTGTGTTGGGGGGAAGGAAGTCAGTATGTAAACCGGGATTTCCTGTGTGTGTGTGAACCACAATATAAATTTATTGCATTCAGTGTTTCTTAGTTTACTCTCATTACAAGCATCTCTCTCTCTCTTGCTTTTTGTTGCAGTGTGCTGTATGTATTGCTAAATAAAAATGATTTAACCTTAGAATTATAATGTGGAGTATATAGTAAGTAGTTTGTCACTAACTCTTCTTATAACTATACTTCCACCAACAGATATTTTTCTGGATGTTACACACAGTAATAGCTTTTTTTTTTCCAGTGATTGGGTCATATGGGATTAATTTTCCATTTGAAATCTTGGTAAGTTGTAAGTACTGCACAAAACTCTGACATGTAGTACATTAGTTATTTTATTTTATTGTCTAATTATTTTTGTACAAAATGCCCCCAAAATTTTAGATTGTTGGAGAATGTGAAGGTGGAACAGTGGGTGGTGCCCAGATCCAAGAGGTTACAGATCTGGTAGATGGTGAGGATCCACAGAGCTTCACTAATGTATTCTTGAATGATGAGAACAGTTCAGAAAATGACACAGTGTTTCCTGAAGCAGACACAAAGTAAGTAGAGCAGACTTGAATTTGGTTACTAATCGACACATTTGATCTAGTGTCAGTAATATTCAATATACTGTACTATAGTAGCATACATTTCCCTTAGGTAGAGTAAATTACTATATTATATTACTATATTATAATATAGTAAATTACTATATTATATTACTATATTATAATATAGTAAATTGCTATATTATATTATATATTCTTTGTTTTAATAAATAATTTTATTTTTATAATCAGGTTTTATAATTTTTTTGATTATCCAGATTGTTGCTGCATGGAACCAGTAAGTTAATCCAACCATCACTCTGGCTAGTTGTGTGTGTGTGTGTTCAAAATATTTCCATTTTTCATTGCCTGTAAATTCAATTATGTTAACCCAATATGGATTGAATTGTGTACCAGAAACTAGCAACTAGGGCTTTGTGTATATAATTACCTCTGTGGTTGCAGGGGTCAGTTCTCAGCTCCTGGACCTTTCACTCAACTTGTCACTTGACATTCACTCTCTCTTAGCCTCAGCAACTCTATTGAATCTACTCTTAAAACTATACATGGAGCCTGTTTCCACCACTTCCTGACCAAGATCATTCCACTTACCAGTCATTCTTGAAACTGAAGCAATTATTCCTAACATCCATGTTCCTCACCTGTGCCTTTGACTTTCAACGGTATCCCAAGTTCCTCTTTCTTGCCTCTTAAACAATCTATCCTTGTCTATCTTATCAATTTCCTTCAGTATTTTGTATGTTATTTTGTCCCTCCTCCCCCTTCCTTCCTGCCTAGTTCTTCTGTCCTCCACTGTTGTTAGGTCCACTTCCTTTAGCCTTTTCTTGTAGCTCATTTTCCCCTAACTCCCTAATTCTTATTTCATACTTCTGTACTGCCTTCAGTTTCTTTAATATGCTTTTTCAGGTGCAGGTTCCGTACTAGTACTACATACCCCCAAGATGGGCCTAACGTGTGTGTGTGTGGGGGGGGGGGGGTTGATTTGTTTAATATTGAGTACTGTATTACAGTGCTTACTTGTATTTAATGGGTATTCTAGTATCTTTGGGTCACCCTGCCTTGGTGGGAGATGGCCATCAAGTTAAAAAGAAAACACTAGTATCTCATTATGCAGTAGAATAAATTCCTGAAAGATGTTATTATATAACATTCCAAGTTAACCAACAGGATGTTTTTCCCCAGTGCTGGCATTCAAGTATCAGAATTCATTAAAGATAGACTGGAACCAGAGACAATTCTCACAGTCAATGGTGAGCCTTTTAATTTCATTGAAACCAGCCAGGACCCTCTTGGCACAGCAGCAGTTACCAAGTCTACTACTGGTGAGTGAAATATAAATTGATTCCCTATTTCAGGTACATTTTTCCTTGTATACTGCAGTTATGTTCCTAAAAACCACTATGTGCTAAGTAATTATACTGTACCTGTTTATAAATTTAAGGGAAAAAATAAGATTAGGTTCTAGGTTACTATGATGTATAGCAAAAAGTATGTTGTGCAAATAATGTATAGTAGTGCAGATTTCTTACCTCACATTCTGGCAGTTCTGGTTTATTGAAGTCAAATATACAATACAATGTAATTTTTATTTCTTTGTGGTAAAAAAAAAAAAAAGTAGTTTACATGTAATAAAACAATAGTACGTCAGTAAAATATGGAAACTTAACTCGACTAAACCTCAAAGCATAAAAAGACTTACTGAATTCATCAGAGGAGTGGTTATTTACTGTGTGGCCTTCTGTTTTCTACTGTAGCTGTAAGAGCTGCCAGTTAATATTATTTTATATTTTTCTCTCCTTGGTCTCTTATGATAAGCCCCACAGAATTTAAGTCGAAAACTTTTGTTGTATTGTATGTGCTTCTTGATGATGGTTTTATTATTTCCACATATTATTTTCCACAACATTAACAGTGTATATTCTTTTAATATTTTGAGTTTACTTAATATGATCAGTTGTTCATTCCTAAAAATTAACAAGGTATTATATTTTCAGCAACGAGTGTGACAAGTCCTGGTGGAACAAATATGGCTCAAAATTTTGAACACCCAAATTCTAGTCCATTACTGGATGAAGCACCTCTCAGTCCTGAACTTTTAAACACTGTGGATCCAAGTGCTGTGACTCAGTCATATGTGTATGCTCCCAGTGTTACTCCTGTTGTGAACTCCAGGTGAATATATTTATTGATTTACTATAGAGATATCATTACCTAATAACCTAAATACAGTTATTTTAATTATTTATTAATTTTGTGTAATATCTGAGTTGGCAGTAATATTATAGAGTATTATTTTACCCATAAAAGTAACAAATTGCATGTAAAGTAGAACCCCCAATCCACTGATTTCGTATCTGTGGTTTCAGTCATCCACAGTTTACTGTGGCCCAAAAAATACCTCTTAATTTTGCATAATAATGACTCCAAAGTGCAAAAGTAGAAAAATTGGCAGTTCTTCAAAGCCTAAGAGAAGCCATGAAGTGCTTCTCATTAGTGAAAAGTGATAATTCTCTACTTTTTATACATAACTTATCAATTAAACAATATAATAGGTATGTATGGGACTTGTATATAGGGTTTGCTACTGTCCACGATTTCGGTAACCACGGCAGGTCCTTCTAACATATCCCTGTGGACATGGGGGTCCTACTGTTATCTTCTTTCAACAGACCGGCCGTATACCACCGAAGCAGGGTGGAGCAAAAAGAAAAACAAAAGTTTCTCTTTTTAACTTTAGTAATGTATACAGGAGAAGGGGTTACTAGCTAGCCCTTGCTACCAGCATTTTAGTTGCCTGTTACGACACGCATGGCTTACAGAGGAAGAATTCTGTTCCACTTCCCCATTATTACTGGTAATGATTATGTTACAGTTCTGCTACAATAAATGCTATTATTAAATATGATAAAAAATATTTGAACTTTAATGAAGCTTTTAATTACATTTAGCACCAGTAGTGGAGTGAAGACTACCAAAGGACCCAGCACTTCTACTTCAGTGAGCTCCCAAGTGAATACAGTTGCCCAGAAGGGTAAGATGAAATCGATTAAATCTGAAAAGGGCACTACTCAGGCTCCCACCATGAGCGTTGCAGTCCCAGACAAGGGTATACAAAAGTATGTCACGTTTTAATTGCATTTTATTGCTTGCCTTTACCAACATATTGAATGTTTTTTGGACATATTATTCTGTATAGTAACTCTCCTACATTCTCAGTGTTCATGTGTTGAATTTTGGTCATCAGTTAGTCAGTTTTGATCGTAATAAAAAAATACTGTACAGCAAATGTTATTATGATGTAGTTATAGTTGTCAACAATATATCATGGAACTACTCATTCTTTGGGAAGCAAAGACATATGCAATTACATGTATTCATTTTTCTCTTGAACTCCTTAATTGTTGGCTTGCCTCTTGTCATCAGAATTTTGATGAGTTTGGAAATGGGTGTTTTTTGTATATACGAGGAGGTTTAGGGCTTTCTAGCATCTTTATCCATTGGCTTAATGAAGGATGTGGTTTATTTGGAAAAAACATGACCCCAACAATATTAAGAAAATGTATTAAATGTAATGGGATAATATCTAGTGTTACCCAAGAGAAGCAGTCCCGAGTGAGTAAGGTAGTTTTGTACAGCTTGGAAAAAAAAAAAGGACCAATCCTTAAAAAAAATTTGGCTTGAATCGTGCTTTCTTGCTGGAGTATCAGATTACTGGGGGACAGGGTATGTAGTATGGCCTTTTATAGCTGTTAGTGGTACTCTAACAGGAACTGAATCTTAAAATCCCCTGCTGTAATGCTTTCCTCAAGAACTAAGATGATTCCTGGCTACCTTGAACCTTGGAACTCTTTTTCATCTCTGGATATGAAGGTTGATGATACCCTTTACTTTCAGTACAGAACAATTTTGTCAACCTTAAAGGCTTGCTGCAGTGTGTGTAGCAGCCATCTTTGATCATCTTTAAAATGTTGATATGAAGCAGGTGTTTTGGTATTAGAACTTGCAGCCTTACCACTCAATGTAATGTTGTGCAAGTTAAAACATATATTTATTGCTATTTTTCTGTCTCATGATCACTTTAATCTTGTATGTACTTCTGACTTCATTTATTTTTACTTTTCTTTGTGCTTCTTAACAGTTCTTTTTCCTAAAATATTTTCTTTACACTTTATAATGGCTGGTTTCAGACTGGGCTGCAGGGGTGATGATCCCCAGCATCATTAACAGATAGTTCAGCATGAGAACTTTACCATTGTGTGCTTGCATATTTATCTCAAAAGGAAGGAAGGAAAGGTTTGGGGTTTTCCCAGGAATGGTTGGAGGGATGGGGGGTAAATGATGCTTTGAATGCTAGAGGCTTGAGCATCCAGCAGGCTTGCTCACTACGCCACTACTAGTGGCAACACCATGGGAAAGCTGGGGAGCTTCAGTCCTCTTAAAAATTCCATCAGCCCTCCAAAATTCCCACAGTCCCTCAGAGCCACCCAAATAAAAATAGTAATATTAATAATGTTTCTTCAAAACAGTCTCCTAACCCTTGCCCCTTCCAGCCAAATAGCTGTCTGGCTGGAAGGGGTCAGATAGCTATCTGGCTGGAGGGAGCAAGGGTTAGGAGACTGTTTTGAAGAAACATTATTATATTATGGCTATGTTGATGAAGATAGGGAAGCTGTGATTTCGTATATAGGGCAAGGAGGAATAACATCTTGTAGGAGTGAGGAAGAGCCAGTTGTGAGTATGGGGGAAGTTCGTGAGGCAGTAGGTAAAATGAAAGGGGGTAAGGCAGCCGGGATTGATGGGATAAAGATAGAAATGTTAAAAGCAGGTGGGGATATAGTTTTGGAGTGGTTGGTGCAATTATTTAATAAATGTATGGAAGAGGGTAAGGTACCTAGGGATTGGCAGAGAGCATGCATAGTTCCTTTGTATAAAGGCAAAGGGGACAAAAGAGAGTGCAAAAATTATAGGGGGATAAGTTTGTTGAGTATACCTGGTAAAGTGTATGGTAGAGTTATTATTGAAAGAATTAAGAGTAAGACGGAGAATAGGATAGCAGATGAACGAGGAGGCTTTAGGAAAGGTAGGGGGTGTATGGACCAGGTGTTTACAGTGACACACATAAGTGAACAGTATTTAGATAAGGCTAAAGAGGTCTTTGTGGCATTTATGGATTTGGAAAAGGCGTATGACAGGGTGGATAGGGGGGCATTGTGGCAGATGTTGCAGGTGTATGGTGTAGGAGGTAGGTTACTGAAAGCAGTGAAGAGTTTTTACGAGGATAGTGAGGCTCAAGTTAGAGTATGTAGGAAAGAGGGAAATTATTTCCCAGTAAAAGTAGGCCTTAGACAAGGATGTGTGATGTCACCGTTGTTGTTTAATATATTTATAGATGGGGTTGTAAGAGAAGTAAATGCGAGGGTCTTGGCAAGAGGCGTGGAGTTAAGAGATAAAGAATCACACATAAAGTGGGAGTTGTCACAGTTGCTCTTTGCTGATGACACTGTGCTCTTGGGAGATTCTGAAGAGAAGCTGCAGAGATTGGTGGATGAATTTGGTAGGGTATGCAAAAGAAGAAAATTAAAAGTGAATACAGGAAAGAGTAAGGTTATGAGGATAACAAAAAGATTAGGTGATGAAAGATTGGATATCAGATTGGAGGGAGAGAGTATGGAGGAGGTGAATGTATTCAGATACTTGGGAGTGGACGTGTCAGCGGATGGGTCTATGAAAGATGAGGTGAATCATAGAATTGATGAGGGGAAAAGGGTGAGTGGTGCACTTAGGAGTCTGTGGAGACAAAGAACTTTGTTCTTGGAGGCAAAGAGGGGAATGTATGAGAGTATAGTTTTACCAACGCTCTTATATGGGTGTGAAGCATGGGTGATAAATGTTGCAGCGAGGAGAAGGCTGGAGGCAGTGGAGATGTCATGTCTGAGGGCAATGTGTGGTGTGAATATAATGCAGAGAATTTGTAGTTGAGAAGTTAGGAGGAGGTGCGGGATTACCAAAACTGTTGTCCAGAGGGCTGAGGAAGGGTTGTTGAGGTGGTTAGGACATGTAGAGAGAATGGAGCGAAACAGAATGACTTCAAGAATGTATCAGTCTGTAGTGGAAGGAAGGCAGGGTAGGGGTCAGCCTAGGAAAGGTTGGAGGGAGGGGGTAAAGGAGGTTTTGTGTGCGAGGGGCTTGGACTTCCAGCAGGCATGCGTGAGTGTGTTTGATAGGAGTGAATGGAGACAAATGGTTTTTAATACTTGACATGCTGTTGGAGTGTGAGCAAAGTAACATTTATGAAGGGGTTCAGGGAAACCGGCAGGCCAGACTTGAGTCCTGGAGATGGGAAGTACAGTGCCTGCACTCTGAAGGAGGGGTGTTAATGTTGCAGTTTAAAAACTGTAGTGTAAAGCACCCTTCTGGCAAGACAGTGATGGAGTGAATGATGGTGAAAGTTTTTCTTTTTCGGGCCACCCTGCCTTGGTGGGAATCGGCCAGTGTGATTATAATAAAAAAAATATTTGGCTAGAAGGGACCAGATAGTTATCTGGCCAGGTGGCTATAGTCACCTCTAGGTCCCCTTCCCTGGCACTTCCTGTACCCACTATGATGTCAAGTAGCTGATATGTTGTTACCCAGCTACTGTTTCACACTTAATAAATATCTTTACTGAGAAACACTTGGGATTGTCCTATACAAATTTTTGTGCTCACTAAATGTGCAGGGTGTGTGAGGATATTAATTTTTTTTTTTTTTTTTTTTAATAAATTTGCAAAACTTCAAAACTCAGGACAGGAATAAAATTTTGTAATCACCTATTTGAGTTTGTGAGGGTGAGGTTGAGCTCTTGGTGCCTCTTAACATTTGACCAACTAACATTATTTTTGAACCTCTATAGAGTCTGCTTCCACTCTATCATTTCTTGCCATATTCTACTTATTTACCATTAATATGCTGAAAAAATACAGTTCTTCTACACTTTATGTGGATTTACTTTATGCAAATTCACTATTATGCAATGTCCTATTTCTGTCAAGAATTCTGTTTGTGACATATTTTCTAGAACATAAGAACATAAGAAAGGAGGAACACTGCAGCAGGCCTGTTGGCCCATACTAGGCAGGTGTGGTTCTCATAGTGTTTAAAATTTTTATCATGTGGAATTGATTTTTTATGGCATGATTGAGCTTAATATAGCTGTCATGGGCTTGGTATGCATCTTAGCATAAAACAAGGGATGCCACCTTCATATTTCCATGACTTGGGAATGTGATCTTGAACCCTTATTCCTTGTTCTTGATGTATCCCTAGTAAAAAGCTTTTCCTAGGCTACCTTATTATATATATTTTATGGCACTCATAAATCTATTTTCTAGACATTCCTCCTGTGAAATAAGGCCTAGTTCTTGCATTCTTTCTTTTTAGCTCATTTTCCTCAGCTCAGGTACCAGTACAGTACTGATTCCTTCCATTGCTTTATCTGAAGTTTTACCGTGTTTATATTCAAGATCATCTTATAACACTGTATAAAGTATGTCATTTCGAGTTAAACTGGTCAGTAACTTGAAAGTTAGAAAAACTGACAGATAATGCCCTTAAATTTGATGCTTGAAACATTTGTTGAAGAACTCTTCTTGAGTATTTGGCTGTCTCACAAGTAGTCTGCTTTCACTGATAAAGCAGAATTTGTGGAAAGCTAAGAATTCCCTTAGAAGGAAGGAAGGACTGAGTGGTTCGGGTTGTCCCAGAAATGGCTGAAGGGATGGGAGGGTAAAGGATGTTTTGAATGCTTGAGGTTTGAGCATCTAGCAAACTTGTGTGAGCATGTTTGATTGGAATGAATGGAGATGAGCCAGTTTTATGGTTTGATTTGCTGTTGGAGTGTGAGCAAAATAACATTTATGAAAGGATTCAGGGAAACCAGTTAGCTGAATTTGATTTCTGGAGGTAAAGTAGTACAGTACCTGCACTCTTTAGGAGAGATGGAGATGTTGCAGTTCTCAGGTTCATTTGAATTCTGATGCCTGTGCACATCTGGCAAGTCAGCTATGGAATGAATGGTGGGGAATGTTTCCTTTTTTGAGGCTCCCTACTTGGTGGTAGACAGCCAGTGTGTTTCAAGAAAAAAAAAAGCGTAGAATAGCTTTGTCTTGCATATTTTCAGAGCTATTTATAGATATGTTGTAAAAAAAAATGCTATTCCATGCATTCGTGTAACCCCTCCACACGTACATACACGTATATGGATACCGTATCATTTACTGTGCTTAGAACTTTTAGCTAATAGCAAAATTTTTCATTCTTTTTCTAAGCAGACAGGATCTCCAGACTCACATGGATGATATGCAAAACACTATTGATAGTCTGCAAGATTTTCTCAGCACAGGAAACTTTAATGTTGATCCATCCATGCTTCTCACGGTAAGACTTTGGGTAGTAATATATCTTTTGAGGTCTACAGCAGTTTAGGTTTGATTTGTTGGTCTTTTGAAATCTAAATCTGGATCTTAGCTCACTGTGCAATTCGTATTTGACATTCCCTAGCATTTTTGCTTTTATCCCCTTGAGTATTTGTTTTGAAGGATAGATAAGTGTCCCATAGTTGCACGTGGCTTGTTGATAATGAGGAAATTGATACTGAGGCTAATAGTTTGCAATTCTCCTAGTTTTTGCTACTTGTTAGGGGTAAGCCAAACATTCTTAAGAGGTTATTTCACTATTAGGAATTGCTGCTGTATAATTTAAAGTTACAAATTGTTTTTAAAAAATAAATAGATAGTTGTTTTTAATATTAGTTTTATTTGTTCAGATGTTTGGGCCTGATGACTACATGCCAGAATTGGACTCCATGACTTCTGTTACTAGTGGTAAGCACAGTAATTTGCATATTTTGTTGCTTTTATAATTTTTTTTTTTTTTCAACAAGTTGGTCGTCTCCCACCGAGGCAGGGTGACCCAAAAAAGAAAGAAAATCCCCCAAAAGAAAATACTTTCATCATCATTCAACACTTTCACCACACTCACACATTATCACTGCTTTTGCAGAGGTGTTCAGAATACAACAGTTTAGAAGCATATACGTATAAAGAGACACAACATATCCCTCCAAACTGCCAATATCCCAAACCCCTCCTTTAAAGTGCAGGCATTGTACTTCCCATTTCCAGGACTCAAGTCCGACTATAAGAAAATAACCGGTTTCCCTGAATCCCTTCACTAAATATTACCCTGCTCACACTCCAACAGATCGTCAGGTCCCAAGTATCATTCGTCTCCATTCACTCCTATCTAACACGCTCATGCACGCTTGCTGGAAGTCCAAGCCCCTCGCCCACAAAACCTCCTTTACCCCCTCTTTCCAACCCTTTCGAGGACGACCCCTACCCCTCTTTCCTTCCCCTATAGATTTATATGCTTTCCATGTCATTCTACTTTGATCCATTCTCTCTAAATGACCAAACCACCTCAACAACCCCTCTTCTGCCCTCTGACTAATGCTTTTATTAACTCCACACCTTCTCCTAATTTCCACACTCCGAATTTTCTGCATAATATTTACACCACACATTGCCCTTAGACAGGACATCTCCACTGCCTCCAACCATCTCCTTGCTGCTGCATTTACCACCCAAGCTTCACATCCATATAAGAGTGTTGGTACTACTATACTTTCATACATTCCCTTCTTTGCCTCCATAGATAACGTTTTTTGACTCCACATATACCTCAACGCACCACTCACCTTTTTTCCCTCATCAATTCTATGATTAACCTCATCCTTCATAAATCCATCCGCCGACACGTCAACTCCCAAGTATCTGAAAACATTCACTTCTTCCATACTCCTCCTCCCCAATTTGATATCCAATTTTTCTTTATCTAAATCATTTGATACCCTCATCACCTTACTCTTTTCTATGTTCACTTTCAACTTTCTACCTTTACACACATTCTCAAACTCATCCACTAACCTTTGCAATTTTTCTTTAGAATCTCCCATAAGCACAGTATCATCAGCAAAAAGTAACTGTGTCAATTCCCATTTTGAATTTGATTCCCCATAATTTAATCCCACCCCTCTCCCGAACACCCTAGCATTTACTTCTTTTACAACCCCATCTATAAATATATTAAACAACCATGGTGACATTACACATCCCTGTCTAAGACCTACTTTTACCGGGAAGTATTCTCCCTCTCTTCTACACACCCTAACCTGAGCCTCACTATCCTCATAAAAGCTCTTTACAGCATTTAGTAACTTACCACCTATTCCATAAACTTGCAACATCTGCCACATTGCTCCTCTATCCACTCTATCATATGCCTTTTCTAAATCCATAAATGCAATAAAAACTTCCCTACCTTTATCTAAATACTGTTCACATATATGCTTCAATGTAAACACTTGATCTACACATCCCCTACCCACTCTGAAGCCTCCTTGCTCATCCACAATTCTACATTCTGTCTTACCTCTAATTCTTTCAATTATAACTCTACCGTATACTTTTCCTGGTATACTCAGTAAACTTATTCCTCTATAATTTTTACAATCTCTTTTGTCCCCTTTCCCTTTATATAAAGGGACTATACATGCTCTCCGCCAATCCCTAAATACTTTTAAATAAATACTTTTAAATAATTGTTCAAAAATCTCTCTTTTAGTAATTGCATACAGAGAAAACGAAGGAATTCAAGGGAAGACTAGTTAGCCAGATTTAAGTTCTGGATATAGGGAGTACAGTGCCAGCACTATGAATTATGGGGAGGATACTACAGTTTGGTGAATTACTTAAATGGTGAAGTCCATGTACTTATATAAAGTCAACTAGGGAATGAATAATGGTGATTGGTTCTCCCTTGAGTAAGAAATCCTTGGTTTATCAGGGATCTTTTTTTCTGATTGATTTTGCAATAAATTTTTGTAAAAGGTTACAAATTATCAGGTAAATGTGTTGGTGTGAACTAAATTGAGGGATAAAACACTTATTGTTGGATATTGTCCTACACATTCAAGTAGAAATTCTTTTCACTACATCTGTTTTCTGGCTTATTTTCTCGCTAACATGCTCGCTGTCTCCCACCAAAAAAGAAAGAAACACTTGACTATCATTCAACATCTTCACCATCATTCACACGTATTCGTTGTCTTTGCAAAGGAGTTGGCATGTCACTCCAAACAGCAAATATCCCAAACCTCTCCTTTAAAGTTCAGGCATTGTACTTCTCACTTCCAGGACTCAAGTCTGGCTAACTGGTTTCCCTGAATCCCTTCATAAAATATGACCCTGCTCACACGCCAACAGCTCATCAAGTCCCAAAAACCATTAATCTCTATTCACTCCTATCTAACATGCTCACACATGCCTGCTGTATGTCCAAACTCCTTGCACACAAACATCTCTTAACCCCTCCCTCCATCCTTTCCTAGGATGACGCCTACCCCTGTATGCTTATGCATTGTATGCATATGCATTGGGGTCTTGATCCCAGTATACACAAGTACGTATACCAAGTGTAAGTATTATCACTCCCATACTGATAAGATATATACTTGTACAGTGGAACTTTGGCTTATGAGTTTAATCCATTCCATGACCTTGCTAGTTTCCCGATCTGCTCGTATGCCGAGTCAGTTTTCCTCATTTAAATTAATTGAAATGCCATTAATCCTTTCCAGCAGAATTCCTGCTCTTGGAGGCAGGACAGAAATACTTCAGTATGACACTAATATCAACTCTGCAGCTTATTTATCTATCACATTTCATCTAATATGACACAATAAACATTATAAATACCATAGAAATCTGGTATATACTCTAGAATGAATAAAATATATCATTATATGACAAGTGGTGGCAGCCATTCCCTACCTCAATTGGCCGCCTTGTTGTGGGTCAGCGGGGGAGACCTCCTGCCATCCCCTGCCACTCCCACACTCCCGACACCACCATCCCAGCTTTATGAACACTTGTTCAGTTCCACTTCTCTCCTACAAGCTAGCTGTGTTTGTGAATTGTGTTTTGATCTTTTAATTACCATATCTTGTATCTGCCAAGCAATCATGACACCCAGTAGGCATACCAGTGTTACTGACTTACTGAATGAGTGACTTGACTGACTGAATGACTTAACTGACTGAATGACTTAACTGACTGACTGAATGACTTAACTGACTGACTGAATGACTTAACTGACTGACTGAATGACTTGACTGACTTACTGAATGACTTAGACTTTTTCACTGAAGAGGACCTTGAAATGGTGTCTAGAGCAGCTGATGCCTACTGTCAGTTGTATAATGTACTGCAGGGTAAAATGGAACAGAAATCCATTACAGAATTTATGCACACTCCAGTACAACCATTGACTTCAGTACCAGAACCTCTGCCATCCACCTCAGCCAAGTAGGGCCACAGCATTACTCTACACTCTCTTCACAATCATCGACAAACACCAGCACCCACAATTTAAGGTAAGAAATACTATTATTTCTGTTGTAATTATAGTCTTAAGCAGTAAAAACAACATAATACATCACGACAATGGGCTACAATTATATACGTATTCACTTTTATTTTTGTAAGATCTGGAGGTCTAGAAAAAAGTTATCTGAGGGGGAAGCTCGCATCCTGAATTTTTCCTAGTATACTGTTGTATCTGGAAAACTTGTATAATGGGGCACTCATAAGCCGAGGTTCCACTGTAAACTGTATCAATAAAATGTTTTCGTCCTCTCATGATCTTCAGATATTTCATAAGATTAACACAGGCAACATTTAATATGATTGAGCTGCCTTATAAATACGATATTTCTTTAAAATGTATAGATACCAAATGTTGAACCCTTTCAGTGGCTGTCATGTAGGACTATGTTATTGAGACCAGGGTCTCTCACATAGTTCTGTGTCATGAGCTCAACTCACTCAGATTAAGCTGTGAGTGATAAATTTTGGCTTAGATATGAGAGAATCTGTGGTGAGTGTGCACAATATAAAAAAAAAAGTCCTGCCCCCACATGGTGCTTGATGGGAAAAAGCAAAACTAACCATGTGTGTGATTTAAAATAGTGATTTTGAGATGTTTTTCTCAGATGGTTTTTATCGTTTTATTGGATGTTTCTTGGTATCATTTGGTAGACTGGAAGACATACTATAGAAGTAGAAATGATTTTGGTTGATTTCAGAACCAGAAGTAGCTTGAAATTGAGCTCAAATCAGTGTAAATATTCTGTTGTAATTTTTCCTCTTTTATGTTTTTTTCTAGGTTTGCTACAATTATTGGGACATTGTAAATCATGGCCAAACTTTCCTGATTATATTTTATTATCCAAGAACTTGAGTATATCTTTTATTTTTTGTGTGATTAAGAATTCAAAATGAAAGACAATTGTAATATAGGAGAGACTTGGGGACATGATTAATGAACAGAGAAAATGTTTTGTATTATTTTTAAATTGGTATTTTTTTTTTAATTTTGTAGAAAATCGGCCAACTTACCAACTTTGTGCACTTTATAGGGTAGTTGAAATAGTTGAATGAGCTGTTTCTTGTGCTCAGTAGAACAGAAAACATGTTAGGAAAATAGCTAAGAATTTGGTTGAATGAAGCAGTGAAATTGGCTTAAAACAGGACTCAAAATGGGTGAAATTGCCAATGCATAAGTTGTGCCAAGACTGCTAACTTTGTGCCTGCATAATTCTGTAAATTTTCTATCAAATTTTGTACTTTTGGTGTCATTACCTTCAGAAAAAGATTCTCTTCCATTTTGGAAGAATTTTTTTTTTTAAAGTGGACACTGAGAACAGTATTTAATTTCATTGATCTGAGCACTGAAAGGGTTAAATGCTGTAATTTCATTTTTTGTGTGTATTAAAACTTGTGTCTTTATATGTTGATTGTGATGTCAGCACACTTTTGGAAAGATGGCAATTATGTGAATATTGATAAATGTGTTTTCTTCTTTGGGTCACCCTGCCTTGATGGGAGATGGTCATTCAGTTGAGTTAAAAATGCATGCATACAGTTTCCTGTGGGATTATCATAAAGGTTCTTTACAATATTTGCTATGAAATAAATTAGATTGTACTTTTTTTCATTTTAGATGTTTTTTCTCAGAAGGGAAATATGTATTAATTAGATAAAGTAGTCACAGGATTGTTTTTAACATGTTTTAATTTATTTTACAAAGGCAATGAATTATCAGTGTATAATCCAAGCCTGCTAGACCTAGCAGGAGACATGGAAGACGACGATCCAATGTCCTTCCTCAACAGCGGTCTGACTTCTACTTCTGCTGCATCTACTGTGGTATCCTCTTCTACATCAACCTCTTCCAGCACATTGCCCTCAAACACCTCTGTGGGGCCCACACCACCCAAACAGCTTAGACTTAGCATAAAAAAAGAGCATAACGATGATGGCTCATTGGACACGCCCACGGTTTTATCTCCTGTTAGTGCCCCTGTATACAGGGGTAAGAGGCGTACTAATTAAAAAATTATCATTATGTATTTGTTATGTGAAGCATATCTGTGTTTGCCATTGAATTGTTAAGCAAACAAGGACATTGGATGCGAGTTTGCGAAAACCCCTTCTTGTGACAGTGATATTAACTTTGCATCATTCTGTATGCAAGTAGCCTTAACATGTTTTTTTTTATATACGTATATATATACTGTATATATATATATATATATATATATATATATATATATATATATATATATATATATATATGTACAACTGAAGTACAGCAAGTAACTTGAAGACTGTGAAGATAACTGAAGATTTAAGTGCACAAAAATTGGGTTTGTGAATTACTCTAGTATTGTAATTTTTATAAAGCAAATTTCATTAAATTTGGTTATTGTGTAGTTAATCATAAGAAAGAAATCAAGGAAGCACTATTCAGTTATTTTCACACTGAATATATAACTGTAAACTACAAAAAATAATATATGATGTGGTGGAATGAGATAAGATACAAATCTGTTTTTTTTTTTACAAGAGCTTTATTTACTATTTAATGTTACTTATGCTAAATTTATGTTAGTAAGAGAATTTGCCATTGCACGAAAATGTAACTAGACAGAAAATTATTCTTAAAACACTACTTGAAAAATCTAGTTCAAGCTGCATTCCAGACCTCCTCAGGAGCAGTTTGTGGTAGACTTGTTTACTTAGCCTTTAAACTGTAGCATATTCAGGTGTGTTATAGTGGTAATATTACCACCATTCTTCTCTTTCCACCATTTAATATAAAAAGAATGACAGCTACATGGAAGGGGAAATCTGTGGGGATCCTACCAACATACCAACTTTGATTTCCTAAGTTAGATTATTTTCTTGGGTATGTGAGGAGTGAAATGGAAGTTATTTCAGGGTTATGCTCTTAGCATTTGGAGAAAACTTCTTTGTGGCATTTAGAAAATTGTGTGATTGATGAGACTAATGATTCTCTTGAGGCATCTGGATATCAAAGTATAAGATGGCTATAAGATAAAAGAAAGCTTGGTTACAGGACAGTTGTGTTCTGATTAAACTTAGTTAACTGTATAAGGAAAATATACAGAAGAGTAAGGTGTTAGCACAGTATAGGGTGGGATAGATAATAAAGAATATCTAGGTCAGCATAGGACGGATATTGGTTACCATAATGGTAAGATGTGTGGGACATATGGCGTATATACTCGAGTATAGATCAAGGGTTTCAGAGAAAAATTTTAAACAAGAGTAGAGGTTCAACTTATTCATAAGTAACACTTTTGAGAGGTTGAAATCCTTACATATTGAGGACCTACTGCAAACTAGATCACTACTACTTTGGGGCATCAAGGGCAAAAACCACACAGTATCCATATTCTACCTAAAATATACAAATAAATTTGATAATATTCAATAGTTTTATTTGTGCTGCCCTCTAACCTTAGTTTACAATACAACAGTTGATCATTGCAGAGTTGCCAGATTGATCATTTTTCTGTCCTTAAGGCTAACCAATATTTTATTTCTCTTTTCAGTTTATTAATATAAGATGTGAATGTGGTTTATGGGATAATGTAAACAGATACGTACAGTGGACCCTCAACCAACGGCTTTAATCTGTTCCAGAGAGCTAGCCTTTAGTCAAAGTAGCCATTAGCCGAATTAATTTTCCCTGTAAGAAATAATGAAAATCCAATTAATCCGTTCCAGATAGCCAAAAGTATTAAAAAAAAAGTAATTTTTTCTACATGAAATATATATTTCTTTACACAGAAAACAATCAGACATGCCCAATACATACATAAATAAATACTAAAATGACACTTACCTTTACTGAAGAGTATTGATGAGTGATGAGACTGTTTTTCTTGAACACTGGGATTTTCAGAGTGATACATGAGTAAAGGCTTCACTTTGCAATCCCCACTAGCATTACAACAAAACATGAGAGTTAGCCTGTCTTTCATAGGCTTGTGTCCTGGGAGTGCCTTTTCCTCCTGAGTAATGTAGGTCCTGTTTGGCATTTTCTTCCAGAACAGGCCTGTTTCATCACAATTAAACACTTGTTGGGGTTGGAATTTTTCACCTTCACCATGCCTTATCACACTGTGTATGCCACTACGATTCTTAAATCTCTCAAACCAACCTTTGCTGGCCTTAAATTCACCAATATAAGCACTAGTTCCAGGCATTTTTTTCCTGCTCACCTGGGTGTTAGTCGACTGGTGTGGGTCGCATCCTGGGGGACAAGATTAACAACCCCAATGGAAATAAGTTACAGTCCTCGATGACACACTGACTTTCTTGGGTTATCCTGGGTGGCTAACCCTCTGGGGTTAATTGTTTCTTGGTATTCTCGATAAGCACCAACAAGAGTCTCTCCACATCTTCAAGTAGTACAGCTGACCGTGGTGCAGCAGCAGCTGACGGTGGTACAGCAGCAGCTGACGGTGGTGCAGCAACAGCTGATGGTAGTGCAGTAGCAGCTGACCGTGGTACAGCAGCAGCTGACCGTGGTACAGCAGCAGCTGACCGTGGTACAGCAGCAGCTGACCGTGGTACAGCAGCAGCTGACCGTGGTACAGCAGCAGCTGACCGTGGTACAGCAGCAGCTGACAGTGGTGCAGCAACAGCTGATGGTAGTGCAGCAGCAGCAGCTGACCATGGTACAATAGTATTTCGATAGTATTTCTCACTCTTTTTACCGCAGGGTTGGCACTAGAAGCTTTCCTGGGGCCCATGGTGGCTTATTTAGCAGTTACAAGCACTAAAATTAATGGAATAATACAAAATATATCACAGGTATGCGTGGAATCGACTGCAACATCTTGTAAATAATGGCACACTGGCTATACATGGAGTCTTGGAGTGGCTGGGCTCGCTCAGGCTGCATGGACACGTTCGGGACAAAAGCCTTTAGACAAGTTTTTCGGCGTTGATAGAGCCAATATTTTGATGCCAAAGAGAGCCGTTAGTCGTTTTTGGCATTATTCGATGCCACTGTTGGTCGGTGTGGGTTTGTGGTGTGGGGAAGTGCTGAAGGTAGTTGCATAAGGAGAGCAGGTGAATTGTGTTTGGGTATAATAAGCCAAGCCAGGGTAAGGAGTGGGCTTGCTCCAGTGCATAATTATTATGTAATGGTTGGGTAAGAGTAGTAATGTAGGAGCCTACAGTGCTCATCTGTATGTACATTCCCTTATAATGGTGGGGTGTATGAGTAAGACCTGCCCGGTATGAACAAGTAGATCTACTGCAGTGCTCCTTTATTTTTCTTGTTTGCCATAAATATTGAAGTCTTTGACACTATTTATATATTTTCATTACTTTTCTCAAGATTTGAATATAATTTCCATCAGAATCATATGGCCTTTTTCAAAGTTCCTCAAACACTAGGGTAGACTTGTACTTGAGATACAGTATATGAAAAACTAAGGATTTTTTGGCCATTGGGTTATACTCGAGTATGTACAGTAATAAAGAATATCTAGGCCAGCATAGGATAGATATCAATTCCCAACACAAGATAATCAAGGATTATAGAGAATTTTTGTTTGGTTGCTCAGGGCCACCACAGCTTGTGCTATATTGTTTCCTACTTCTGGTGCTCAGAGAGGAAATTTTACTCTAGTTTGGGCAAAAATTGAAAATAAAACAGGCTCTTTTTAAAAATAGAAGAGGATAAAAGCATTTCCAAACAGAAATGGTTGGCCTCCCTGCCAAATCTTAGGTAGAGCAAAAACTACTATACCCCACCTGAGTCAATGACTAGTTTATACTGTCACAAAAATCAGTAGCATAGAAATAGGGGCTGATGCTTGGCACCCTGAATGAATACCCAGTGAGCAAGGTGTGATGAGAACAAGTATCTCAGGGAGAAAATAGGCAAATGTTTGCCACTGATGTTAAAAGCAGAGAGATTTGCACCCCTACAAGTCAGCTAGAGAAGTCCAATTACTGTATAGAGAAACTTCAGTTTAAGTATATCATATTTATAGATTTAGATAATAGTAAACATAAGACAAATTATGAAATTATCATATTGGCGAAGGGAAATGGTAGTGTGAATATTTCTTTTAATGGAAGCAGCTTTTATCTTAATATTTGTAATTTTATGTTAATTAATAACTAATTTCTCTAATTTTCTTTTTGTGTGTTTTCAAATTAACATTTTTATATTTTCCATAAAATTTTATGCGTGAAGTCTGGTGTTGAGCAGTATGGTTAGCAAATATTGGCTACAGTAGTATCTCAAACCTAGGCAATTTCATTACAATTCGGTAAAATTATATTTAATTTATAAAAGTGCATTTTCATTTTTGTAATTCACAGTCTTAAAAAGAATTTTCTTATGTTTATGTGAATATAAGTATTTCTCTACCCCCAGATCCACTATAGATGTTTTGTTTCTTACACAAATAACCCATATACAGAAGAAAGAAACTCGTGACAATGTTTCAGTCTGACTTGGACCATTAACTATTCACACACTAACACACGAAGGTGAGCCCTTCCTTTCATGTGTTAGTGTGACTAGTTAATGGTCCAAGTCGGAGCAGAATATTGTCACAAGTTTCTTTCTCCTATGTGTATGTTGTTTGTGCATTGTTCCAGCCATGATACTGTGCCTTTTTATTCTTTGTTTCTTCTTGCTGCTCCCGTGATAGGTTCAGAACCTTTTATCTGAAATTCTGAAATTGGAAAAGTTCCAAAAACCAAAGATTTTTTTTGGAGTGTGGAGCATCAGTCTTCTCAGTGCTGGGTCATGCCACCATGTGGCGACATTGAGAATCATTCTGAACTTCGAAAAATTATGAAATTCGAAACAATACTGGCCCCAAAGGTTTCGGATAAAGGGATGTAGACCTGTAGTATAACCTGTGGTGTTCCTTGTGGAATCATTCATAGTACTGTAATACATCTACAGTAATATACACCTTTCAATTCATTTTATCTTTGAATAAAATGCTACATCACATGACTAGTGAGTGAGGAATAGGGTGCTGTTCAAGTACTGTCCTCAATAATTATATATATAATTATCAAGTTGTTATTCATTTAATGTAATTTTTTCTCAGTAACTCTACAGGTTTCTTAGACTATCCACAGATGAATAAATAAGGAAAAGTATCATTAGAGATCTTTGAGTTATGTCTGTTATGCTGTATTTTGCAAAGTACATAAGCATAAATATTTCTCAGTTCATATAGTGTG